CCCCCCCTCGCTTTCACACCTGACGCTGTTGCGGTTGGCCTTTCCTACCTTCGTGCGCGTGGTTTCCCAGTCCTGTTAAGGTTCGTCCACAGATATGACACCGGGGACGTTGGTAATGATACCGTTTCGGTTGAACACCATGTTTAGGATCGTGCTCGCTTATATGTAGTTGACGGAGAAGTTTGGGGTTCTTTCTTACTGCGGGAAGGTTTCTTTGTTGTCGCTTATATTCTGCTTACCTGTACCACTTGTTATTCGCGCCCTCTTCGTGCGCTGTTTTTCTTATCATGTACGTAGTTCTCGTAGCTGCGGTAGTTAGTTTTTGTACTTTGTTTTTGTCTTCGGGTTAGTCGGTGGAGGTTGTAGTCGGGTAGTTAGGTGTGCGATAAGCTTCGGCTTCTAAGCAATATAAGATTCTCTCTCTCTCTCTCTCTCTCTGTATTTATTCCACGAATATTACTTTTGTTCTACGCTACGTCATAGGGCTCATCTTGGATCTCGGATCAGGATTGAACCACCTCATAGTCTATAGTTACGAATCTCTTGATACTAAGTCTTTGCCTCGATTGTATTCCTTGACACTATAGTCCCTCGTCCATAGACCCACGTTATATAAAGACTGGTGAGAACAGGACTGAAGGGCGAGAATGAACCTGAGTACTTATACTCCAAAGGCCTCTATTCTCTGCTCCTAACTCCTTACTAAGTTCCGGTGAAGCCTTTCCTCGGTCTGGAAACAATACCACCGCTACCCCGCTTTTCTCTAAGTGTCAGCAGGTGTTTCCGATACCCAAGGCAACCACCCTTAGTCAAAGCCTTTGTAACACCTGCAGCCTTGGTTGCCACACAACCGGGGCCTACATGAATGAGCTGCCGCTCAGGTGTAAGCTTAATCATTACTGTAGAGCTTTCGCTTATTGTAGACCTCCCTAGCATAGTCCCTGCCCCTTGGGCGGACTTGCAATGCTCAAAGGATACAGAGGATCACCGGGCAATCAGAGCTTCACTCTGGCCGGCCTTCTAGTCACTGGTGAGGCATAGACTCGTCAGTCATCGCTCCTATGAATAGATCACCTTCCTAGTGCCCAGAATGTAGTTACTCTAATAGCTGTTAGGTAACCACACCGCCGGTACTTGCATATCACTGTGCAACTGGCTTCCAACAATAACTCTCAGCATGTAACCGGGTCCTGTATGTGCTCATACATCGGACACTTGAAATGGCTCTGTTACAACAGTTTCTTATAACATTGACAGATAAAATGCTACCTGTTCTACAATTGTTTTTGGAGGAAATACTTTATAATCATATATATCATAATGTTTACCTACCTTTCCATATATGCAATACTCCCTATTAGACATCTAAAAAAAAAAAAATTTGAAGCTGATATTTACATTACATTGGACTATGGACATAAATAAGGTCATCGACTATAGTTGCCAAAGAACATAATCGAAGCGAAAGGTAGTATAGATGGAGACTATGGACTAAGCGATGTACTGTGGACTCCCTTGGTATGGCATACTAGTGGACCATAGCTATAGGCAATAGACTATTGACTATAGACTCAAGTGGCTGATCCGTATCATGGGATATAGATAGCCCAACTTGTATAATGTAGAACAATAATAGTATTGCAAATAAACAGACAGAAAGGACAAAGAACTATAGAATCTAAGCTAGCAGCGAGGATGGAAACAGGAAGGTTGAGTAAAAAGAAAAAGGAAAGAAGAGAAATAAGAGCAATACCCTATGTATCTATACTTTTCCTAATCCCTGTCTGTATTACCCATAACTTGTGTAACAGAAACCTAAAGAATATACCGAAACCTAATAACTAATCTAACATTCTCCTTTCTGTAACCTAAGTTTCGGCACGCAGTAACAGTTTAACTTCAACGCAAATATAAGGAGGAGTTGGCAGAAGAAGTTCTTTATCACGTGAACGGGAACTATTTAAGCAGTAATCTAGAGCTCAAAATACATAGTAGAAAAACAAAGTAGGGTGTAGATTAGTTTATATATCGGGAGCGGATTTTAAATCCAGAACTCTACCTCTTTGTTATTCGGAAGATTGCACAGTGAGGTAGTATAGTGATACCGGAGGATAATGCACCTACACACATAGATCACTCTCATGATTATCCCTGTGAAAGACTAGGTATCACCATATTTATTTGGCTTGCAAATTCACCTTACTTAAATTCAATTGAATGAATATGGATAGAAATGAAGGACAATATCCAAAATCAAATAGGGATGGATTTTGCTGCAGCCGCAATCAAACGTCTAGTATTAAATGAATGGAGGAATTACCCAGTAGCTAGAATCAACCAGCATGTCAAGAAGGATCGAGGCATGTATTGCAGACAACGGGGGAAACAATTTCAACTTTTGACCTACTTTGTTATGATCGAGCTCCGTACTTACTGCTGGATCGTTCACGCACTCGAGACATCTACTCGCAATTTCACAGCGTTTCCGGACGCAACTGCTATTGCATACACAGAAAAAACCCGCCAAGGCTATCGTTTGTATGGCATGCAATAGTGGTCGCGTCCGGAAACGTCAAAAAACTACGAGTACCTGTACCTACCTGTACCTACCTGCACCTATCATGCGGACCCAGCCCGGTTCAAAAACGTCAGGAAAATACAAGTACTCTGCCCGAAACTCTCCCTGCTCTTGCAGCTTGACATGGCGTTGTTATGGTTTAGATCTAAACCTATCATTGGCCCAAACCACCTGCCCGGCCTCCTGCACCTGTCATGCGGACCCGGCCCGGTTCAAAAACGTCAGGAAATTACGAGTAAACTGCCCTGAACTACATTTACATGTACATATGTCAGATCTAAAACCACCTGTCAACGGACCTACATGTACATATATGTACGGTAGGTACCGTATGCATGTGTAGTACATAGAGTACAGATGTAGATATATATAAACGCTAAGTATCGGGATTGTGAGTGATTGATTCAGAATTGTTACCAGGACGTAAGCACACCAGCTTGACAGCGACAAGAATAAGTTTGACACGGAGAGCTCACTCCATGTACCCGGTAAAGGAAATTGTTCAGGTGGGAGGTAGCCTCAGTCGATAACGATAAATGTAGTGCCCAGAGCCACCGGAAGACTAGAAAGTAAGCTTTAGATTATTATTCTCTTACGGTAGCAGAAGTACATATATATGTGTGTGAGTCGCCTGGCTGAGATCATGTAGTTAGAATAATATTGTCCAAGAAGGAAAGTAAATTTTGCTATAATAGATAAAAGAATATATCACCTCTTATTTTTGGGGCAATGATAATACCGGTTGAAAATCTTTGGTAGTCGAAGTAGCGGCGCTCATGCGTTATTGTACTAAGGTGACTTTAGACCTTCCGTATGTAGTGTATAGTCTTTGCGAATGGACACAGTGGTGACCAGCCATCTGTAATTATAATTATCCTCAATACCACGAAGTCTTCGACGGGCCCGCGGGTCGACCGCCGTGATAGTCATAACTACCATACTACCTACATGTAGTTCTCCTCCTTGGCTGACTTGTCGGGTCAAGGGACTATCCCTTCGTCTGGCAATGCTGCCCACCCTATAACGCAGGAATTAGATTTGTATGGGAGATCTATTATTTGATAAGAGAGATAACGGGATCTGTTAGTAAAGCCACATATAAAATTTGCTTTTTGGGGGGTGGGATAGCGGAAGTAAAATAAGGGAGTGCGGGCCTTTGATATCGAACCATATATAATTGGGTAATTAGACTACAATCATAAAGCGCCACCTGGCCAAGCTGACCCATGATATTTTTCAGCCCCCACGCAAAGAGGATCAGCATCACACAAGGAATAATGGCTATGACGTTTCACCTATTAATCCTATCTCTATGACTACAGCAGCAGGTACTTAATCCTTACTATCAGAGGTTTATACGGTTTTAAACTATGTATCAATCACGAGAATATTGGCAACAAACAAGGTACCTATACCAAACTTGATCTATCGGCCCTGTTAAGTTCATTGCCAATTTACAACCGTTCGGGCTATAAGTACCTGGTTTAAAAGTGACTAGCGGGCAATTTAGTTTAGGCAGTTAGCATTAGTTTGTAGTATTCTACCCATAAAAAAGGATTAGCTCTCATAAAATACGTTATTTCTTGATCAAAATCCTGTCGGTGGGTTTCCTGCAAATAAAAATTATACTACTCTTAATACTAGAAAAAAGATATTGCCATAATTTTTACGACCTTGTAGTGTTTACGTATAAATGAGGTCAGCATGCATTCTTCAAAGATACAATGCCTGTCAGCAAAGATGAGTGTCTAAACCGTGCTATCTACTGTATGCTATCACCCACGTGCTGGGTGCTTTTGTTAGCTTTTCAGTTGTATTCAGTAATTCATCTACAAGTCACTTTACGTTTTGAGGCCAGCAAACAAATCACTTTTATCGAGACACGACTTTAAGTAGTGGCTAATTGAGCAACCTAAAGTTGGCGACGAAAACTACAAACGTTTTCGAATTATTAAATACTAATATAACGATTGCCCTTGAAAGAACAATAAATAAGAGATTGTGATTATGGATGGATGGGAGTGAATAAGAATGGACAGGGTGAAATAAAATACACAAGGGAAAAATTATGTCTGCTAGTCACAGGCATTTTTTTATCTTGGTAATTGAAGCTTTACACAAGGTATAAATTAAGTGATGAAAACTATCGAAATTCCTGCCCAATGGAGGCCACGGTAATCGAGGTATGGCAGCCCAATGGGCACAGTTTCTGAAGGAAATAGAGACAAGAAAAGAAAACGGAAAAAAACATGACATTGAGGAAGTAGAAAATGAGAAATTGCGAGGGGAAAAAAAAAGGAGAAAGAAAAAAAAGAAAGAGATGCCGATTAGTTGAAGAGATACAGGATTTGGAGATCGCTAAATCCAGAAACAAGACAGCAAAGAAATTTTCATACCGACATATCGAGAAATCGTTTTAAATTTAAGTGGTGGCCTGAACTGGGGCTTGACCAACAGTGACAGTCTCCGGAACAACATCTTCAATGGCGGTAGCAGTTGGCTCGGCAGTTGCGGCGGACACTGCTGTTTCACCGGCTTCTCCAGTAGTAGCGGTAGCGGGCTCCTCGGTGACAGTCTCCGGAGCGGCAACCTCCTTATTCTCAACCTCCTTACCGGTACTCTTTGTTGACTTACTAGCTTTGCGCATTAAGCCCAAAAATCCAGCACCAGCTTTGGGAAGAGGCGAGGTTGAGCCTGACTTGAGTGCTGGCTCGGCGTCTTCCGAATCAGACTTGACATCCTCTGATTTCTTATCCTTCTTGAAGGAGAAGAAGCTAGATTTTCGCTTCTGCTCTCTGGGGCTGGTAGCCGGGCTGGTAGCGTCAGGAGCTGCAGATTCATCTACAGCAACGATAGGAGTCGCATCAATATTCTCAGCGGGGATCTCTGTCGCTGCCTCGGCAGGCTTTGTGTCGGTCTCCTGTATTTATTTCTTAGCTAGGTATCAGGAGACTGAGGCAGATAAAACCCTTACCTTTTCAGCAGTCTTAGCAACAGGGCTCTTTTCCTTCTTATCGAAAAAGGTAGAGAGAAATTTTTGTTTGGGAGGAGACGAGGCAGATTCAGTAGTCTTCTCTGTAGTAGCAGCCTCGACAGGGACATCGAGTGGTTTAGCTTCAGTGGCAATAACTTCGGCTGGTTCAGAGGCCTCAGCCTTAGCGTCTTCCTTCTTCTCTTCTTCAACTTCTTTCTCCTTCTTCTCGCGGATGAAAGCACCAAAGATTGAGTTCCTCTTTGTGGGCTTAGGAGCGGCGGTGGGCTCGACGGACTTATCCGCCTCGTCAACCTCAACTGTTTCTTTGATTTCTGTTGGGGCATCTGTAGAACATTAGTTTCCCAGCATTCATGAATGTCCGGCGGTGTGGGATTAACAAACCTTCGGTGACGGCGGGAGCAGCAACAGGCTCTTGTTCAGTAGGCTTAATCTCTTCTTTTTGCTCTTCTTCCTTGCTCTCGGCGATCTCGTCTTTCTTCTCCTCAGGCTTCTTCTTCTTATCAAGGAAGGCAAAGACAGAGGTTCTCTTATTCTTCTTGGAAGGAGGTTCTGCCTTCCTATCGGCTGGACCAGATTCTTCCTCTGCTCCGGAAGTGACATCTTCTTTATCGGCCTTGGCTTCGGAGTCTTTAACTTCCCCGGCCTCCACTTCAGGAGATTCAGACGTCTTCTCTGGTGCTTTTGCGGCAGCAGTAACTGTGGGTTTGGCTGCAAAAAGATGCATGATTAGCCTAGACCCGCTCCACGCTCAACCACTCGTGACTCACTAAGTTTTTCAAAGGCAGCTTTATATCCTTCTGAATTGGTGATTTCTTCAAAAGCCGCCTTGGCCTCATTGATCTTATGATTCAAGGTGAATACCCAGCTGTCACGCTCCGCAGCAGAAGATTCGAAATGAAGATCCTGCGCAGCTAGCTTCAAAACAAACTTGGTGGTGCCAACTGGCTGAACTTCGGTAACGTCGGCCTGCAAGTATATTAGCACACATATTAAGTCGAAACATAAGTAGACCACTGACCAACTTGATAATTCCATGAGGAACTTCCTTCTGTCCTTCCGTTTTGGCATATAGGAGTAGTCCCTTGCTGGTTTGGCTGGCATATGCAGCGGTTGAACGGGAAGAGCCATCCTTGTGAAGATAAACTTTCAACTTATCCTCAGAAATAGGCTCATCCTGGAAGTAAAAGAACCGTTTTTGTTTGAAAAATCTATTGTTTCTTACGTCAGGTCACTGCATCACCTAGAGGAATATTGATTCCACTCACGACAGAAGCCCCCCATGGGCCTTCGCCAAAAGCCCGTGAGTAATCTCCTTGGGCTCTGGCTTCTCCTCCTTTTTCTCTTCAGCAGGCGTCTCCTCAGTGGTCGCCTCGGCTGTTACTGGAGAGACTTCCTCTGTTCCTGGTACTGTGACTGCTTCTGATGTTGTAGGAACTTCTTCGGCGGCCTTGGATGGCTCGAGAACCACCTTTTCCTCTGGCTTTCCTGAATTATCAGACATGTCTGCTATTCTTGAGATTGTTTTTTATTTTGTTTTTTGCAGGTGCTTGAGGTCGTATTTAAAAGCTTGATCCTGCGAAGGGATAGCAGATAAAACTAGCCAAGTTTGAGTGGAAGTAATTGGGGGTTTAAGGCAAGCTTCTGAGGAAGAGGAGAAAAGAGTGCAAGCTGGTGTGGAAGAGAGGAGGGGAGGAGGGAAGGAGAGAAGGAAGAGGGAGGAAGTAAAAAAGAGGTAGCAGAGGTGGGGAGCACATGAGAGGCTCGAGTTTCAGGGCAAGCAGGGTCCCCCAGCCAATGAGGCACCCCTCCAGAGCTTCCCAGCCATTTTGTCCAGCCAGCGATCCAGCCCTCACACGCCCTAATTGTTCTCCCTACTCCCTACATCATTCCCTCACTCTCATCGTGCAGTCCGTCTCATACCCCAGATGCCGTTAGCCCGTCTCAAATAATATTGCAGAACAGGGTGCTCAGTCCATACTTGTAAGTGTATCCTTAAGAAAATTATTTGTCCGAGGAAGATACATGGAGCTACAGCTGTATTATCTATCACACACACCCTTACTCTTGATGAGATACCCACTATCACGTATTTTTTTTGCCGAATCTTACTCTGTATCGGTATGGTTTTGTACTGTACCTCTTGACACCCTCCTTCCTCCCTAGGTACCCTCCACAAGTTTTCTCTCCATTCACTGATCGCATGACTTCGTTTCATCCCCTCGGTTTTACTCGCTAGTCTTTGTTTGGAGGTTATATGCGCTCTCATCTGTCTTCTCGCGTGCCCTTCTGTCCACCCACACACCCGCACTCACGCACACACCGCAACAATCTCGTGTTTTGGGATATGAATGTTAGATTGCACTGTTTTTGCTCCCCGCCAAGATATTACTTTATTTACTAAGGTCAGGGTCTTTCCGTGATGCATCATTGTCCAATCGCGTAGGCCGGGAACCTAGCCCTATCGAGGTGGTCTAATCGCTACACCTCTCAGGGGTACTTCCTGGCCCTTTCATGAAAAGAAAGGAATAAAATGTGCCAACCAATAAGAGAAGGATTAAGGGAAGAAAAAGAAAAACATAAACACCACCCGATAGATATGCAAGGAAATGCTTTTGGCTCGTGCATCTGTTTATCTATCGTTAAAGCAGGTTTTTACAACTTTAAGTAGGACTCGCTCTGTATTAATCTTCTCACCCTCCATCACAGTAATATTTAGGCTTTGTGCAGGTAGAATACAAATATGTACCTTCATATTGAGACAACGCAAAGCGCACTTTGTTTGAGCAATGGATAGTAGTGTTAGTATTCTGTGTATCTACCTGTAGGTACATGTAGGTACATACGTTTTTAATCAGGCTGCTATTGCATGCCATCCAAAATCATGGCCTTGGCACGATTTTCTATGTCATGTAATAGCAGCCCGTTTTAAAACGTCAGGAAACTATGAGTTCTTGGAGAGTACTCGTTTAGCACGAAAAGAACCAGAAAATGTAAGTGACAGAGACAGGGATAATTTGTATGAGAGATCACCGCCACTCCATACAAATAATCCTTGCTCTGAGCAACTGTATTTTCTGGTTCTTTCCGTGGTAAACGAGTATAGTTGCCCTCCGCTATACTAAATGCCAAAAAAGCCACAAATCTGCTATCACGAACGGGTTTTGGTGATCCGAATCTGAGTTTCACATAGAATTTTACCTGCTGTACCGAATAATCTGCTGTATCGAACGAGAAATTTTGGAATATGCAGGTTCGTTATAACGGAGGCGACTGTATCTGAGTACAAAGCAGGTACATGTATGTACGTACATGACCTACATGTACATGTAGGTACATGTAGAGTACTCCCTCTACTCTAGTGTGCCTTTTTTCCATCGTCCAATTTCTCGGCCAGGCTAACCGTAATTGATTGTATACCGTCCAGCGCATTGAGGAATTACCATTCCTAATTTCCCATGCCCGGATTTGGTTGTGACTTGTTGCAAGGGCTCCGAGCACGGACACGTTTTCTTGGCTGTTCCTCGCTAGTGCCCGTTTGAATCGCGTGGACTCGCCGTGGGTGAACGCAATCCAGTCAAAGTTTAAAAGCTCAGTACCCTTGGAAAATCTTGTCTACCTATCTCAATGATGGCACCAGTGATAGGTGGTACTGCTTTAGCCCTGTAGGTACCTGTACTTTACCAATATGTTCACACAGTTTAAATGACGGAACTGGACTAAGGCCCTGTTCGGTCTCAAGGAAGGGTGATCTGCGAAAGAAAAATTCGAATAATCCGATTATTCAGCCTTCCATGGATTTTAATGACAATTGAAACTGAAGATTGTGGTTTTAGGTGCGCTCTCCATTCTGTAATCCATACATCAACTACTACCGTACGCCTGTCGGGATACATGTATGTGTTTCTTGCAACCTTATTTTCACGAATCACGATTTTCACGATGGATATATCTCATCCAATTGCTCGACCTGGAGTAAAAGAGTCGGAGCCAATAAATTATTTAATCCAGCAAGTATAGGTAGCTTAGCTAAAAATACCTGGGCATCATATTCGTCAATGAACAGAATTCTTAAATATATGTACCTAGTACGTACTCTACATAATGATGCTGAACATGTGTAGAAATCCTGTGTTGATTGAGTTTTCTATATTGGTTTCCACCATTTCTTGTAGTGCAATCGACACTGGCTTCTGTAGCTTCCATACGGTCCTGCAGATAATAGTACTGTGATACTGTTACTTTATAGTGTGAGCCACCCGAAGATCCTAAACACTTTTTCTGATATCAGTTCTTGTACACCCGCGGGAAAAAAGTGACGAAACAATGAGTGGCCACCAACAACGCGGTTAAGCAACAACCGTGACTTTTGAAGGGAGGCCATACAAGGTAGTAAATACACTTCAGAGGCCGTAGTATATGCTCTCTTTTTCATTTTGTAGTTAAAGTACTTCTTGTCATTAGGGCTCAAGTTAAGTGCAGGCATTGTTTCGTCACTTTTTCCCGCGGGTGTACTAGAACCCACAGTCGACAAGTATGTAATAGCATTACACATACTTTATATTCCCAAGTGTAAGTAATTAAGCCGCAAGATCAGTACGATGCTACATTGTTTTTTAAGACAGCTCAACTTCGCAAGATATGCTTCGAATGCGATATAATAATTTTGCTACAGTAGACCCTACTATGTGTCTAAGCAGAAAGAGAAAAATAGCATGATCTCCATACACTTGTGATATGACTAATTGAATTCCTTCTGCCCCATAACAGTCCGGGCTAGGGGTGTGCATCAACAACTTGTTTTATCACCCAGCGCTTGTCAGAACATAACTAAGGAATTTCTCTTGTTAGCTATTTGTGAATCTGAAGATGTATAGAAATTGGCGGTATCGGAACGATGACTGGCTGTCATTAGATGGCGACGATGCACTACTCACCTTGTTATAGCTCCCATTCGTTCACTCGTAAGCTTCAATGATAACTTCAACAATTCCTTGGCTACATCTGGTTCTTTATCTTGTAATGACCCCCAATTTCTTTGGTCAAGTACCCACGCAACAGTATCCTTCTCGGCAAACATGTTGGCGGTCCGATGTGTCTCTGAGAAGAACGGCAACTCTCCGCAAGTAGTTCCTGGTTATTATCAGATGTTGATTATCTTGTTTGGAGGTCAGGTGAGATTTACCAGCCACGATACTCTCAAAGAATTTTCCTTGTTCGAGATCATACTCAGCGACAAATATACCTTCTTCCAAAAGGTAGAATTCCGTGGATTTATCCTAATTTCCCTTAGCTTTAATTCTGAAAATACTGTATACCAAATTTGCGATATTTCTTACCCCTCTGCGAAAAAGAACAGTCCCTTCAGTATATTCTCTTCTCTGGAAGAATGGCACTGCTTTAAACCAGAAATCTTCGTTTTTATCGGTCATTTCTGAAAAAACCTGCAAGATCAAGGGTAGTGGCTGCTTAAAATTTTGCCACTTTGAAGGTTGGGCAGTCTCCTCGTCTTTGATGGTTGAAGTTGCTGCTTGATGGACCAAATTCCGCCGTGGCGAGCCAAGCGAAGCATCCACGCTAATTATGCCTGAGCTGGAATTATTTGGGACATCTGCGCACTTATTAATATGTTACTGATCATAATCGGAGCATGAATCTATTACCGAGATGTCTCGACTCATTATCACGCTCTCGCCTGATAATCTCATCGCGTTGGCGATAAAGTGCAGAAAGAAATTCATTTTCACATGACTCGAGTGCTGCATTTAAATCTTCGAATACTTGCAATTTATCGTTATCACCCCAAAGCCCGACTGCCCTCAACCCCCTCCCAACCTCATCGTCTGGTTTCACCCCTGATAGAATCATTTCTACTTTACGAGCACCCAGCAGCCTGCGCATTCGAGTAAATGCTTCTGCCGCCGAAAAATCGATTCCGGTGACATTTCCGACGTCAATGATTAGATATCGTATTGGTTGAACTTCAAAGTTCTGCTCTTTGAGCAGATTTCGGATCGTGTTCTCGACAGAGGAAATAGTACCAAAGAAAATATATCCGGCAAGTTTGTATACTTGAATTTGGCGGCCGACTTGACGCAAAAATCGTTGCTGAATGGGATGACGCCGTACCGTCGAGCGGGCAAAAACCCCGGAATATGCAGCACGAATTGCAGACTTTTGTGATGTCTGAACGACAAAGGACATGCAAGCCAGGATTATTCCAATCACGATACCAATAACAAAATCCCATGCGCCCATTGTAATAACAATTATGCAGATCTGACAGATTAGCAATCATCAAAAGCGAGAGTCGGCCAAAAGAATAATTACTTACCGTAAGATACTCAAGCCTGGATAACTTGCCCCATGTATCATAGAGCGCTTCACGCAAGAGCTCGATGCCAAGTAAGAAAATAAGTGCTCCGACAACCATGATTGGTATGTATCCAATTACTGAAGGTCCAATCATCATGATACCAGCGGTTCCCAGAGCGAGCATAACACCCGCAACTCTGCTATCACCTCCACTTCGGATGAATAGTATACTGTTAGTATACACAAGGTAGTTCTGGATACTACCAAGAAGGCCGGAAAGTGCGTTTGACACTCCATGTGCAATGAGTTCTCTGTCTACATCAACATTATCTTCCCCAGTAGACACTCCCAAGGCGGGAACATTGATAGGGACATGGAGTATTCCAAAGAAGGTCAGAGCAAACATGGCGGGTACTGTGCTAAGCAATGCTCTCCAATCCACTTCCTTAAAATCTAGAAAAACTCAAAGATTAGATGAATTCTCTGGTTGGGAGCAGAGCAACAGGATTCAAGGGTTGCTTACCATAGAGAGTATAAAAGTGCCAAAACGGTACGTTGTCTGCAGGGGCGTCGAACAGCCACCCATTCTCTCTAAGACTAACGATGTTAAGTTGCGGTACTACTGCGACGACAATAAAAAAAAGTGCGGGGATAAAAAGAAAATATAAAGGCACAAATAGCGGCCATTTGATAAACTTTTGACAGAATATCAGGAACACGGCCAGAAATAATGGTATGGTCCAAAGTGCAAAAGTCGATGGATCAATGAGTTTATATAATGTTGACAGATCGTAATTCAGGTTACCCTCAAGTCTGGCAGAAACCTCAAGGCCTGTTGCAACAAGAAACCATCCGACGCCACCTATACAGCCAACTAAAATATGCCTCGGGAAGAACCCAATCAATGAACCAAGCCTCATGGTACCAAGTCCGAAGAATACCACGCCTGTGAGAATGGAGCTTAAGGCATACGAAACAACCGTGGTTGCCAAGACACTTTTGGGATTATCTTCACCAACCCGGTTGAGGATTGTAATAGCCATCTTATGGAAAAAAGGCACAACCTCAATCTAAGATGAATTAGCTAAAATCCAGGAGATGAGGAAGCAGAATGAAAATTCATGAAAGAAAGACTTACCATCTCTGAACCTACTCCACCCTTGAATACACTTCCGCCGCATGAATACACAAGCTGCGAAACTATGCAGCTCACGTAAAATATCGAGAGACCATCTGGACCCAAATTGTTGAAAATATCATGACCCAGCGGAAATAAGATCATCCCTATTAAGTTATCAGTCGTTGAGATGCATGATCCAAGATAAGTGCCCATCCATACCGTACGATAGTCCGTCCAAAATATTCAAAAGTAGTCCTAAGAATACGGCGGGAAGGCATTTTGTCGTTTTAACTACTCCCTTTTCCCACAATTCTTTCTTATTCCACGTCTTGTAGTGGAATACGCTTCTTATCGCCTGTAACCCTTTTGCACTGGGCCAAGTGATTACCTTTTTGATATTAATGCTCGACACTGGTCGAAATGGATCTCGGGTTTGGTTATCATCGTTCCTAGAGATAGTGTCATAGACTCTCCTCTGGATACTTTCGGGGTGTGCTTTTGGAAGCAGTGATGACTGCTCGGTCAACGGTGGGCAGACAGAGACGATATCGTCCAACATCGATTGGCCTTCAGAAGAGGCTGGCTTGTCTTCAGCCTCTGAGTCGGTTTTTGGAGGCGAGCTCCGTAGCAGATGCGTCAGATATGACTTTCCCCTTGTGCCCGCCAGCTCGTCTGGCGTCGTAGGTTCAGACACTTCGTTTATAACATCTGCGCTTCTTAATTGAAGAAACGCGCGATTGTTTGCCCTGCTAAAGCTGCCTGGCAAGAAACCACCCTCGAAATTGTGGTTTGAGTGAGATGAAGGCAAAGTTCGAGGCGGTGTACCATTGTGAATAGAATTGACATCCGAAAGCACTAGATTTGCAAGTTCGGCGGTGTGCTCACGAACGCCTGATGAAGAATACTGTGGCCAGAGAGACTTATCGATGTCTGTGATTCACTTTCATTAGTAACCCTCGAATTGCCCTCCGAAAAATAAGAAGGTACCAACCATTTTGCGAATCATGATAAGAGCTATGAAAAAAGGAACGAGAATTTTGTTTTCCTAACTGAGTTGGCGGAGACGGTGGCGATCTCGAAATGGGGACGGAGTTTGAATCAAATGTCAACCTGCGCCGTGGTTTGGGTCGAGGCGTTCCAAATTCCAGATCACCTTCGCGATTCTTTTGTTGCCGCTGTGATTCTAGTGGCGGCAGTGTACCCGAGATTGAACTGGAAGAATTCCTCCTGGGATATGATGACGAAAACATATTTTGTTCAAAGAACCTACGCACAGCGACTACTTTAGTTCCACGGGAGACAAAACCTGTCTACAGACAATGTTGAAGCCCAGCCTGAGCTGCTGTCCAGCTGTGAGAGTTGGGAGATTTCGAATTACGTCAATTTGTGGGAAGTGAGGGAAGAAAGGCAACTTCGCTCATGGAGAAAAAAACAGAAAAGACCTAAGCAGAAAGAGGGTAGCTAGCAAATTTACGTGAGTCAATAAGCTGTGGCTACCTATGAGAATTCTCAATCGAAATTGAAGCACGCAGAGGAGGAAACTGGCAAGTTGCGGTTGGGCTGAGTTATATATGGGGACCAGGCACTTGTAGATACATGTATGCGGAGGACAAAAATATGGGTAATAATATTCTTATCGTTGGCGTATCCGAGGTGGACATTTCAAGGATATTCATCTAGCTAGAGTGAAGAGTCTGTATGTCGGAAAGTGCAACACGCGGAGGCAAGAAGCTTATGGAATAATCCTCGTGGGACCTCCTACGGAGTGAAAGTTGGAGTTATTCTTTTGACTGGTGCATGTGCGCTGGGGAAGACAACTGGTTGATGCATACCCTACCCGGACGAAAAAACGGTTCGGGACGTCAATTTTCATGTCTCAGGGGCACGTTATTTTCCTTGCGAGTCGCCACCAATAATACCTTTTGTGCTCTTTCAAGGAGCTCCAACTACAAATACAAGGAGTTAAACTCAGTCTCTAGCCCTAAAAAAAAAAAAAAGCCAACTTGTTGGCAGAGAAGACAAGGCGTGTGTCGCTTAACACCTCCAAGATGCTGCAACGCCATGCAGCCTGATTGACAATCATGAGCCTGGATTCATTCCGTATTCCCGCAGTGGCATTGCGTGCCGCCTACTTCTATCAAGGTAAAAAAAATCAATACATATGCGGGCCCCTAAAGTACTACTCTACTACCGCAAAATCTCAGGAATAACGAAACGAACTGGACTGGAATATTGGGCTTCGGATTGGTCAAATGCTTGTTGAGCCTCAATCCGACAGACCCAAAGCGTAACTTTTGGTCGTCTTGACCAATGGGTAAGTGGTATTCCAGCCCAGTTCGTTTCGTTATTCCTGAGATTCTGCGGTACGCGTTGCAAATACCGATGATATTCGACCACTTATCACTACATGTATCCCTTTGTTTGTTTTCACACTGCCGGTCGCGATAAACTAAGTTGCAGACATTGATGTCAGTAAAACCCTAACCCTGAATTCAGATTTTTAATTATATTTGACATGGTTTGCGTAACGTCTCAACATGTTATTCTTACGAATCCGGGAAGCGTCTAAATATCGCTGGATAGCTAGATTAGAGTGTGTACTGTTAATTGCACCGGATTACATTCCTGGCCTGTCACGTCTCAGCACCAAAACTACACAATTTCTCGTCTTTTGATGTTAAGCATTACCGGCATGCGTCGTACGAAACATCCTTTCCTGAAAGCGTTTCGGTGTTGGCGCTGCCTGATCCAACCTGCTAAGACTGACTTCTATTCGGCAGTTATTCCATGACGTTTGAGGGAACGGTATATATCTATTTAGTTATGATTTTCGGCATACTGTGTCCGTCATTCTTCACGGGAATACTAGCCGGCGCCATGTGTGTATGGCTACTATTTCTCTTCCCAGTAACACTGCCGGTGGTCTAGGATTTACCCCACAATGAGGAACGACACTGGAGTGACCACAAAAGTCTGGGAACGACACTACCGGCACAGATGTAAACATGTAGGTATACGTACTTATACATCTAGAGTACATTAACTTCCCCCCAGGCGGTCTTCCTCTCCTAGGACCATGTTGCAGTAGAATTTCCCAGTTCAAATTCGGAATATCTGGTTGGTAGATGGGGGAACTCGGAGCCAATTAGATTACCACAACACATAGCTGGTTCTGCATATGTTCGTGCAAAATCAACTAAAAAGTGAATTTCAAGGGTACGTATATGATGTATGTACATAGTACGTCGGCTGTGCGACGCTTTCGATCAGATACAGTACTCTCATCTTCTTAATAGAGTATCAAGTGAATATAAGTACGTGTACTTACCAATATATATGCACTTCATAAGTTTGAATAAAACGGCAGTTGTGCAACTTTGTGCTGTGAGCTCGAGACGCACGCATTTAAACGTCTAGATACGTGTAGTGATCTTTAATGTTTTTGAGAAGTATTTCTTCATGATTAGCTGGAAATAGGTTGCTAGGAGCGGGTGAGTAAATCATAAAATTTCTCTTTTAAATTGATGTTTCTTCATATTATTGAATGCCTGCAGCAGTCAATTTCTAACTATAAACTCCGTATGACTCCAACAGGCCTATGGCCGGGCCATAGTCTTAAATGTAATAACGGAAAAAATTGATACATGTACATGTAGTATCAGTAAGATGTGGTAAGTGGCAGGTTGCTCACCCCCCCATGTTTTGTTAATGCCCTCAATCTCGCAATATCAGACACACCAGCCATTAAAAACGCCCATTTGTTGAAAGAGCCTGCGTACTTCACTTTTGTTCAATAAAACCTGAATGATTAACATACTGGAGATCTAGACGTGAAATCCTATTCTAGTTAAGTTTCTGCAGAAATCCTTGCGTTATCAACCTTTCTACATCCCCTTGTCGTACAAAAAACTGACTGTTCTTGGTGAGAGTGATGGCGCTAAAACTGGTTAGCATTGGCGTTCAAATCAAGCTTGCGAATCCTTACCCATATTCTGTCTGAATCTCACCGGCATCCTTCAATACTCGAACATCGATGAATAAATCTCTCGGTGGTTCCAACGATCCTGTCAAATCAATGTCTGTCCACTGTCCTTTATATGCTGCCAATAAGTCACTATATTGCCTTGCGTATTCTGCCTCCTCAGGACTTAGGGAGCTTGTGTTTACTCCATCAGCAGCACCCAAAACCCCAGAGGTATTTCCTCCTCCTCCACTCGCACCACCTAATCCCCCACCTTCCTCGTCCGATCTTTTGCCTGTGCCTTGTTGTATTTGCTCCAGCAAATCACTCCCATTCCAACACATCTCCTCAATCTTGTCTGATCTGACCCGATGGTACGCCAGAAGACAACGCTTGTTTCTGCGCATACATAAGTGTCGAACCAAGAGAGAACATGCTGTGGCTGGGTCCTCTGAAGGGTTAAAATGTCCATCGAACGGCTCTAGCATCTCGGTGACATCCCGATCGAGGTCTCGCACTTCACGAGTCACGGCCCGAACCATCTCTGCTTGAAACGGGGGAAGGTGAACAAGTGACTGTGTCCGCTTGGCATGTTGAACCTATTGTGGGCTACTTTCAGGGTAGGGCCTTTTTAATGGGAATTGATAAACTAACGTACCAACTTCAGGCCAAGGTCCCCGTACATTGTATTATCACGCTCGTGTGTTGGTAATAGTAATAGGGAAGTATTAGTAGAAGTATACAGTAGTATGGATGTGAGGGGTGGTTTGCAAGGTAGAAAGACGCGTGCAGCGGTCTTGGTGAGTGGCGTACATTAACTCGCATACAACACTCTCTCTGCAGGATTGCCCGAGAGAAGTGGCACACGTTGCCAAGGAACATTTGCACATAAACATAATACCTAGTCTAATATAATAATAAAGTAACGAACTGTTGGTCCGGGATCAACAACTGGATTTTCCTAGTTAGTAAAGGATGTAGTTCCTGACTGAGCACGACCACCACTCTTTATTTCTTTTACAACCGTAAAAGAATTTAAAGTGCAGGTTCGCTCGACCATTTCGGGAGCTTCCATCATAAGGGTTGATTCCCACATGCGGCCTTTCTCATACACTGTAAGTTCTCGGTTGAAAGGCATTATTCGGATTGATCATTGACGGAGTATCATGAACCACCTGAATATATAAAAAAGGATGAAATGCAAATAAATGGAAGAAAGGCCCATCTATGGACAGAAATCGAAATAGGAAGGACAATCAGCACTCAACCACCAGAAGATATGAACTTGAAAAAAGGAGAAAAGTTGAACAATAAACGAATAATGGATGCATATGCTGACGAAGAGTGTTAAATGACCCAGCGGCCAGAGAAGTAAGTATTCAGACCTACATGTAGCCATAAAAAATGAAACTGACAGAGATAGATAGCAGAAAAATAAAGAAAGGAAAAATGAAAGGAAATAAAGGAAATAAAATAAAATGAGAACCGAAAAACTTTCCAAGAGACACATTATTTAGGAAGAAAGGAACAGTCATCCGTGCTTGCATAGGACATGTAATCCTCAATTCTTTGGTTTAAAGCTATCCTACCCAACGAGCCCCTATTCTCCGAGCTTACTGTGATTGGTATTGAACGAGGTCTTCGGTCAAAACACATCTGCAATCTTGTATTCAAAAGTCCAAGTTTATTGCAACCACTCATCGTAACGGAATTGGTCTTCATCGTGGCCAATTTCTCCAGTTACGCTCCACGGTTCCTGATTATCCAAGAAGCCTTGCATGCTTTGGTCATATCCAGGTAATTTCCTGACATCAAATCTTGGATTAATGCCACTCCCATCAAGGTGGTTGATGGGTTCTGAGGGAACTCCACCATCTGGGAAATGCATATCGGGTATTTGACTGCCGGTTGCAGCTGCGAATAGACGGTCAATATCGAATTGACTAGGCTCGTAATTACCTTCATCGATAAATTCGCTAGACAACATATCATCCTCACCAATGTTTTGCAATCGGCAGTTGTTGTATGGGCTGACACGAACTGACTCATCCCCGAGTAAAGCAGGGTCAACTTTCGAATTATCATGGAGATTTTGGAAAACAGACTGCAAGCTATATCCATCAACTGAGTCCATTTGATAAAGCCTATTCTGATTCATTACACCCATTGGGGCTTGAGTCTTCCGAATCGTCACATCTTCAATTATTGCTGGGTGCATTGGGTGAGAAATCGGGGTTGTGGAGTTGGCGCGTACTGTGGTTTGATAATATTGCCCGCTCATGTCTGTGCTGCCCATGCACATTGGAGGCGTCTTTCCTGGATTGTTGTGAGTGAAGGAAGATCTCTGGGCCCCGCCTTCCATGTGGTCGTAACATAAGCCCATATAGCCATTGATGGGATTTCCCACACTTTGAGCTTGACCTAAAACCTTCTGATTCTTCTTTCCACCCCGTGGGTTTTTCCGTGCCCGAGAACCCCCTACCGTTGTTGCATAATCATCTTCCTCGGCATAAGGCTCATTATCACTTGCTCCAATATCGTCAACACTTTTGGAGTCTTTTCTTTTCTTCGAATTCTGAGCTTTGCTGGGGGAGAACTTGTACCCAGGGTGTGCCGCTTGGTGATTACTCCGTTCGATCTTTGCCAATTCGTTATATTTATCTCTAATTGCTGCGGGCTCAAGGGGCCAACTCTCACCACTAACGGATGAGACGACTTGATGGTTATTCTGAAGACACCACAACTTCGTACGCTCTGCAAATGCAGAGCGATATAGCATAAAACTGTTCATAGGCCGTGTGACATATCCTCCACGTTTTTCAACTTCTTGCCTGCGGACCTCTGCACTTCGATGAACCCAGCATTCCATGTTTCTTATTGGCAGGTCATGATAGTCCCTGGTGAGTTCACTCAAAGACTTTGTCAATTTGGGTAATTTCGGTTTATCTGCTTTTTCTCCGGTGCCTTTGCGCTTTCTCGCAACTCTGCAGACCCTGGCAACCTTCATGGGCTCGCCATTTAAACCGCTTTTAGTGGTGATCGAAGATTTATGGTTGGTTACTCTACTAATGTCGATTCCCATACTACGAGTCCGTGTCTGGGGAGTATGTATCACCGGCGATACTATTTGATCTGGATTTTGGGGATTAATATACTTTAAATCAGTTAGCCAGTTGCCCATACTTCTTATCATCGTGGAAACTCACTTCTCCGCCTGTTGGAGAGAATTGATCTCGAAAGTAGCCATCCTATTTGCAGGTTTATATTAGGAAGTTGAATACATCCCAAGTTGATTATTTGACTCACAGTTAAGTCATGATATCCACTATTTACTAAACCATAATCATCATTCTATATCATTTGATGTCAGATCACTCATACTAGCTGTCTGAGGTGTGGTAATACTGACCAATAAATCCATATTGAGTTGGGTGTCTATCCGGGATGGTAGACCTACCATTGCACTCGATGTCATGTTTTCCTAAAAAAAAAAAAAAAAGACAGAAGGTTTATTTTCAGTGACTATGAAGACCGAAGAAACATGAGAAGAATTTACACACGTTGGATTGATATTTACCTCCCTCTTGTTCTTCGTATTCTCCAATGCTATATTGTGCCTTATCTTGAAGGAAACTATTTTCTTCGTTGAATGTCCCCTCTAGAACCGTACTGGGGGACCGGAAGTACGGTTGCCTTTCAGAGGATAGATAGGTTTTCTCTGATTGTAGCTGTCTGGGATAAGAATGGTGTGATTCCTTCGTTGGTGCGTCGGCGAGGTGATTGGTGTTAAAAGGCAGCTCTAATTTAACGTTTGATGAAGATGTTGGTGATAGATGTTTTGCTGTGACCTTCATGAGCGCTGTCAGGGTATCCCTGCTGAGTATCATCAATCTATCTGTTTTGCTAATAAATTTGGTAGTCGTAACGTATTCCGTGATCAAGCTGACATTGACTTATTTTCGGAGCGTACGCATGGATCGTTCGGCACAGGGCTGTTGGTGAAGAACGGTGCCCGACCTGGGATGGACAGCAATATAAAAGGGCAGCCCTAGAGCGGCAGGCTACTGCAAGGGAACGGAGTTTGGTTATTGAGTTACGGAACTAGTAAACTACGCTAACGTGACATATGCCTCTTTGTCACGAGAGACGCTGTTGAGATATGCGGTGCAGTTCAAGGGCGTCCAAGGATAGCGTTTGACGAAGTTCCTGATTCCCTGGCGATGATAGTTCCAGCTTGTCTACGAAGACCTTAATTCTGTTCAAAACAGTGATCTAGACTCCCCAGAAGGATATTATCCGTCCGAATTACAATTATCTCTAAGTCTAGATAATCCAAAATTTAGTTTTGTAGACCAAACGACGATCGAAGGTACAACTATATGTGTTGTCTATCTTTGCATAATAAGATGGAGAGAGAGTTAAAGTAAACGAACCCTCGTATATCAAAAATGTTCGTTGAGGTACGATATAATCCTAATAATTGCCAGTCAGCGGAAAGTTGCGATGGTACTGGCTAGACGCTTGAATTACGCAGGCCAACAGGGAATGCGAACAAACATGCGTGCACAACCTTCGAGATGTGATACTTCGGATACCCTTTGTTCGTTACTAGTAAGAAGCCTTTGAGGGTTCGGAGATAGGAATCTCTGATGAGAGAAGGCCTAGGCAGTCTGCGAAGTTCTAGCAGTTGACGAAGTTCTTTGTTCTTCCACAGTAACGGCAAGCAGGGCTACATGTACCCAGAATCTAACTATGTAGAAGACTAGTCCATCAAGAGAACGAGAGGGCATGTGTCGTTAGTGAAGGTGTGCTTGGTAAAAGGTACTTGAGAAAGCTGAGAAAGGTCGTGTGATTGCCACTTGATGTTAGGAAGCTTTTAAAAATATTTTATGCGGCCATCTACATCGTAAGTTACATGTATACTTTTCGGCTGAATAGTTAGTTTAATACTAGCATATTTAGACGGGTAACTATTAACGTATGTGGGTTTTCTAATCCGGCATCACATCGCTAAAATGAAGCTTGAGACCTGGGGATCGTTTTGTTTTGGTACATATTGCCCCGAGAGCCTGGTTCCCGACCCAGCAAACTGGATTCAATTCGATGTGCTATCGGACACGGATTTCTCGTAAAACACTAAGTTAGCACGGAAATTGCAAGAAAGCATTGATATAGACTAGCGAGTGCCCGTTCGGCACAATCAGCGACGATCATACGTTCTGCTACTCCACTTGAGGGAGATTGCATGCATATCTCGCACAGAAGCATACAGCGATGGACTGCTTTGCAGTAGTGGGGGAAGCAAACCATGGTACCGTTACCGCTTCTGCAGGGTAATGTGCGAACAAGCAATACAGAACACAAGAAATACCTGACACACTGGCTCGCGCATGGAAGATTCTTGGGGGTTTCTGGAGAAGGCAGGTGCACGCCATGATGTACCGGTTTCTTGCATGTGCACGGCGCATGCATCCAGACCTCTGGGAACAGGAGTATATCTATGAGGCTTTCAGGTGCGTGCACCGAAGGTTTCCCGCTTATAGCCTGTGTAGTTTTCGGCTACGGTGTGAAATCATTGGCAGTTGCATACGCCAGTTATGGAAAAGCGGCCGGGACAAGACATCTACATGTTCAACTCATCTAGTACACTCTGGAGTACTGCGGTAGGTACATATATCTACATATGTATCTAATTAATCAAAAAGGGAATTACATCAAAATACACCCCCAGTATTATAACATGCGCAAGCAGAGCACCACGGCTACTGAATAAGACATGTATACATGTACATATCTACCCTTGCTGTTTTATTAATATAAGAGTCAAAACTCAGGACTTAGCGTATTTGCAAATCTGTTTTCTCACAATCAGGAAACTAGCTTTCCTTCTCCAGCAAAAATCGTTTAAATAATCTGTGCGCTGATACCTACAATTTCCTGGCATAGTCTCTGCGGGTACCTCACGCCTCTATTTCTGCAGTAAGGTTAAAAATGGCACATAGATGGTGTAATAATCTATGATCAACATTTTTTGTTCGGGCACTATGTTGACCGATGCCCCCTGGTCTCATTTTCAATCATACGTGATCACTCGCTAGCAACTATGTCTTGGCAAAAACCATATGTAGGCTAGGCACGCCCGACCGGTGACCGTTTCAAATCTTGGCAACCGCTTCCGTCCTAACCGCAGATTGATACATTCACGGTACCATTTCTTGTACGAGATATACGCAAACATAAAGCGATTCTATCAATACCCGGCCGCGCGCAATGGCACTGAATGACTCCCCGGACTTGCTTCATATCGTCTCAAATGCATACGTGCTACATGTGCTAAGTACGTACATATATTTACATGTATTTCCTTTGCAGCTTATATAATACGCCATGCATGCGTTTTGCGTATTCGGTCTGATGTGCTACATTGTAGACGGCACCTTTGTTCATTCTGACTTCAGCCTCCGCAGCTGACTAGCGTCGAACTATAGAAACATGTACTCTAGTTATGATTTTCCGAAGGGCATAGGAGTAAATGTTTTATCCATAAGATAGAACCCTAGGTATCAACGACGCATTTGCCACTACATGTAGCTAATGGCTACATACCATTCATATCCTCGTCTGTAAAGATTAAAACGAAGTTGCTCAGTAGACGCCTTCACGGGGGTATGGTTCTCACGGGGGTATGGTGCAACGTTCAAGAACATCAAAAATGAGCATGGAGAATTCGAGAAAAATCAATAGAAGTCCTTATTTTTGCACAGGGAATTGTATCTATAAGCTTTATTTGCTGATATTCCTCGTAATTTTTGTGCCCATTTTTTGTGCCCATTTTTGTCGTTCTTAGTTGTTGCACCATACCCCGTGAGCACCATACCCCAGTGAAGGCGTCTAGTAGGCAACTTTTACTCGGTAATAAACCTAACCCATATTCCGTGAACCTTTTGCTGTAAAGTCACCTTCTGTGGCCCCCCCCCCCCCCCCCCAAAATCTATTTTTCCATATATTCAGATTTAATTTCATCCACACTGAACTTGTTAAGAACTTCTGGAGTACAACAGTAACAAGCGTGCCTAGTGAAGTTTGTCCTACATAACCTTAATACATGTAGTTAATCTGTAGTAACAATTGAAGCCTATCAGACCTAATATGCAAACAAAGCTGAATTGCCTACGCTGCCAAGGCTCCATACAAACCTTCTCCCCAAAGCCACAATGATCTCAAACTATAAAACATGCCGTTCCCGCAAATATCGTGGCAGGGTTCACGGGCGCGGTCCAATCCGATGTTGGGTCTTAAATTAATAATTTAGGCAGTATCGATTATATGTCGCTTGAACATAAATTTACTTAGGACTTCTGTATGGTAGTGGTAGTAAAAAATTCCTACATTTAAGTTATTAAGGCTGGATGATGAGCAACTACATGTAGTCCATACATAGGTTGATTCGAACAAAACGAGGTCATATGATGGCTCAAATATCACAAGATTGCCGTATTGAACCAATACTATTTGGTTTCAAGTATATCGTATTCTAAGTCCAGGATTTGATATGAACCACCAGTTGAAGGGTTATACATGTTCCTGGCTTCTATGATTATGTGATTTAAGGCTTAGTGACCTGTAGACTTTCTAGTACCATACACAGGCTCTAGGAGAGATAGCATGGTGATCATATTAATCCCCCACCCCCCTTCCCACACACACACTGAAATTAAGATATACCTCCTAGAGCCTTTACTCTACTTTAAGTATATGCATATAAATTCGAGAAAAGATGAAGTAAAGCGACGAGTCGTCGTAGTCCAACAGAAACGGCTGGTGTTTAAAAATTTGCGGGACTCACCGGACCGGTAAAGATGTTTCGAGAATTGGAGTTCTCATGATAAGGATGCGCATCGCTCTTTCCGGAGGAATCACTCGTATTATTATTCTGGCTGTCCATAAACGGGATGCAAGTTGACGGCGACGATAGACTTGTTACGAAGCCGCTTGGTGCGGCACCGGAGTTACCATTCAACGGTTTCGAAGGCTCCTGGTGGAATTGATAGCTCTCCTCCTGGGATGCGAGAATACGGGAGTTTTGCACACCGTTGGCAAAACCAAGATTTCCCGTTTTTTGTAAATCGGATATGCCATGTTCTGGGTCAGCCATGAGCAAGAGAAAATCAGCTGAGGCTTGTGCCGACTCTTCTCGGACACTGGCAACACTGTCACCACCTGTCCCATTATCAGGCTTGAGTTTGCTTAATGCGGATACAGTGTGATTCATAGTAGGCTTTAAATGACCCAGAGTATCTGCCTCCACATGACGTTCTTGAACGCCACTGTGTCCGGAAACTAGGAATGTCTCAAGTTTAGATCCTTCTTGAATCCCGGGTTTAGATGCCCGCGGGAGACTTGCCGGTTGGCTAGATGACTCAAGAAAGATTGGCCGCGTATTCTCATGACCTTCGGGCAAATCCATTGGAGAACTCTTGGTTGAGCTACCGATGTGGAGTTTTATCGTAACACGTTTTTTGTTGTCCATTTCACGCCGCATACATCTTTCGCAGGTAAAGTCGCCTTCTATAAATGAGGGTGGAAGATTCTGACAGGCAAGGTGTTGCCAGACAGCACATTTGTCGCATGCAATGATTGTGGACCCGCCCGCCTACAAAACTTGAAAATCAGTTCCATTTGCCAATCATGGTTTCAGACTTTGGACCCGGATCTTACATGTTTTTTCCCTGAAAAAAACCTGTTAGTGTTGAACCCAAAGAATAAGACAAAAACAAAAACTCTAAACGGATAGAAAGTGCAAATCTACCATGGACGCCACAACGGCAATCAAACACCCAGTCACCTTCTTTTTCTTCGACTGAGGGTGACCGTCGTGATCTCCTTGTTTGTACTCTCGTTGAGGCCCTGCGACTATTGACACTGCTCTCGTCACCAGACGTAACCCTGCTGCATCCAACGTCTTGAGTCTGTAGCTTTTTTCCCCGTGCTTTATTTTGTCGAATAATTTGTCGCTCATATGCAACCAAACGGACTTCTCGATCCTGTAACGTGTGTAAATATGTATTTATATTTGTGGATTTCACGTGATAAAATTCGTTGGCAATATACCTTCTCTCGTTTCCGCTCTTCAGCCTGGCTCTTCTTCAGTAGTTCCTCTTGCCTGCGTTCTTCGGCAGCCTTTAACTCTTCTTCCTTTTTACGGATCATTTTTTCGTCGATACGAGAGGATCGTTTTCTGTTGGCTACCGCTTCTTGCTTCTGCCGTTCTTTCTCGATATCAAGCAGTTTCTTTTGCTTAAGCTATAACCAGGTCATTTATCAGCACGATACAAGGGATATGTGGATTCATTTCAAGTAATCACCTCCTCGCTCCGATGTATTTCCGGCAACACCTCCCCATTAAGGTATTCATAAAGAGCTTTCTCGTCGGCATCTTTCGAGCCTTTTAAGCCCGACACAAACTTTTCCCAATCGCCCAAAGATATACAAACACATGCCCACTCCCTAGTCTCATTGACTTTTGCCAGGGCCTCACCGGAATCAATACTAGAATTATTTGGTATGCGCTTGCGCTTACGCCCCGCACGTGATGTTTGAGATTTCTTCTTTTTGGGGGGTGAAACAGCACCTTCTTTCCAAGGTGCACGACGATATAGACGGTTATCGTCAAGTATAAAGTATTCATTATTCTTACTGTCATAACCGGCAGGTTCCATCCTCTATTGACAGTTAGCGCCACTCAATAATGGCAAATCAATCAGGATTTACCCAGAGGAGTTCTTCAGATATATCGATGACCCCCATCCTCTCACGCAGCACATTCGGATATTTAAAGGTCCAAAGGGAGAGTTGGTGCAATACACGGATCTATTGGGGGGTCAATAGTCAATATCACCCAAGATCAGAGTATATCACCATTAGGTGAGACCATAGGAAAGAGACCTTTATAGATAAATCCATATCATTGAAAGATATTGCAGCCATATCATCACCTTCAAAGGGATTCGCCTTAGCTTCGTTCAATAGGTATTGCTTCCTAGCCTGGTCATCGAATTGTTCGATCAAAAGACGTGCATTCGAAGTGACCATCTTGATGAGCGTCAACTTTATCTGCTCAATTAAGGGTGATTGTGGCGCTAACAATGCTCCCTCAAGTTCCTATTATACATGTAAGTAAAAAAATATAGGGAGTGAACGTGAGTTGAGATATTGAGCTGCTAACTTACTTCTCGCCCAAAATCTGGCAGATTCAAAGCTCCAACACCGAACATGAATAGGTATTGCCCTAATGCTGCAAACTCTTCCATGTTTCTGATACGATCCAGTTCGAACGACGACGGCGGCGAGGAAGTAACATTTTCGGCGACTTCAACGCCGCGCTTGCGCTTTGCTGGCATGTCTTTTTTATTTCCCTTCCTTTGAGGGGGTTTCAAAGGGGTTTATATCGATGCTTGCTGAACAGCTAGCAAAGTATTAACTTTTAATTCGCGTCCAAGCAGTATTGGAATCAAGGACATTACCAGTCTATGTGCTTTATGGATGTACTTTATCACTAATCTTGAATTTGGTACTCGCGTGTTCCGTACAACAAGAGAGAAAAATAAGACCGTAAACTATGTAACTGACTCAAAAAGAAGATGGAAGTTGGAGATACGGCGGAAAAGAGATGTCCAGGGTGGGAGTTGCTATGATACAGCGTTCTATTGTGCTACAACTGCAGACCTGCTAAGGGAAACGCGACGCAGAGCCGCGTCTGCAGGCAAACTCCCCTAACTTCACCCGGCTGCAGGAAAATCCACTTACCCGGCTTTATCGTCAATATCATTGACGAAATGTACAGCATGATAGTGGTTTAATAAGTACTACAAGTTACATTCGAAAATCTAGAGCCGGAGGTTCGTTTGGCTTCGTCTCTAGATTATAATATGGCTGCCGTTGCGGATGTCTAATATAGATGCATTATCTCGTTCTAGACAAGTTTAAACAATCGTAGATGGTAGGATTTGATCTGGAAGATGGAATCTCTCGGGTTGCTATTTATATTTTCACCTGCGACTGCAGAACACCCCACAAAATTTCTCAAGATCCAATGCCATGCAACATCAACTCGCCGGGATCCACTTCCTCCATATATATCGTCTCGTTTCTAATCCGAAGTCAGGCGGAGTGTTGTTTCGGGGTAGTCCAACACGCACAGAATATGAATTACACACAATAGGTTACGCATGCAATAGCATTGAAATTACATATATATTTTCAAAGTCTGAGTACGCGGTCATTCCGTTTACAAAGATGTTACACATACTGGCATTCTGGCAAATCTACACTTGAGATTCCTTAGAACCTCCTCCAGACCCTTCTAACAGAATTCAAAATGGCTTGGTACGATTAAGAATGTCACTTTCCCATCAAGGCCATAATATCGTCCGCAACGCAATACCTGTATATTTGGGAATATTCATTCATCCGCGTCATCGGCGTTATCATCTCCGAATATCGCTTTGAAAACATCATCTCCTGCTCTCTCAGCCTCTAGGGCCTCGTTTGTCTCGGTATCCACCATGGGCATAGCATTTTTCGCCTCAGGCAAGGTGTAATTCTGGTCGCCCCTCGCCTCTCTCATCATCTCAGTCATTTGAGCTTTGGATACTAGCTCTTTTGATGGGCCATGAGTCGGTTCCCAACTTCCTGCACCGTTTTCACCATTTCCTCCGGTTTGTTGCACATGAATAGGTGGCTTGACGTTAAAGCGTTTACATAATAAACGTGTAGGGAAAAATTCCACAATGGATCGCGTTATAGGCCCGTACATCGACATTTTGGCTGCTGTTTCCGCAGGTTCCTCCGGGATTGGCTGGGGACGATGAATGGGTATGTCTAAATCAGTGCTTGTGGACACAGCGGTATTGACGTGGAAGTTGGAGGTGTTTGTGGTTGCGGATGTAAACCGGTTCGCTATCATACCAGTCAAGGGCTTAAAGATACGTGCGGCGCCCATAAACTCGTCAAGTTCTTTAACCCAGTCTTGAGTGTTCATCCCATATTTCTGAAATATATCGTAAGCTCTTATTCACAAAAGTGTCGGAATGATGTATAAACATACTCTATCAGGCAAACCTTCTTTAAGTCCGGCCTGAACTTCTAAAAACGTACGGTACCTTGTCCGCTTGTCTGGATCATCAGCATATGGCATGAATCCACCTCTGATAGCCCCAAGTGCCACCGCAGGGTCCAACTTTGGAACTAACTCTGCCAAAGAGGATGGGCCGGAAGACGAAAACGTTGATGGGGGTGCTTCGCTAAGCGCTTGTGGCAAGTTTTTATTCCCGGTAACAGACGCGATGCGATCTCTTGCCGCTGGAGTCATGAAGTCAAATACAGACTTCCCAGGTAAAGGCGTTTCGCCTAATAACGATCCACGAGTTCGAGGATCTAACTTCAGCTCCGTCTCGGGCCCTTTGCGGGCCAGAATAGTTTGAACTGTCAGTTGACTTTGATGATCTTTCTTCTGAGACGCACCGGGTCCTGATGGAGCCCAGTGCGACGGAACTTCCGGAGGGAGATACCACCCATCTTGTAATTGAGCAGGGCTGAGCGAGAGAACAAACCCATCCAATGGAACTCGTCCATCGTGGCATTTTCGCAAATTAATGCTTGACTTGGCTTTAATCGACTTTTTGGAAATGAAAACGTGTTTCGTCGGTTTTTTAATAGGAGGCTTGGCGCTCTTCTTTGATTTCTCACCAGCAATTATTCGGTTGTAGGCCGTCTTTGGGCGGATCTCGTAAGGATCATCATCATCTTCCCCATCATCATTCAAAACCCCGACACCGAATCCGCCTCTTGTGACATGTTTTTTAAGCTTGGTGCCCGATAATTGGCTCAGTATTGATTCTTCCGTCTGCTCGCCCGGTTGTTCTCTTAAACATCCTTCTCCAACATATCCCACTCCTTTCATGTCCGATTTTTTGTTGAACTTCACCAAAGTTGAATTTTTGGGCGCGAGTAGATAACAATCCCCATCTGTTGTATCACCGTCCTCGTCCCCGTCTGAAATTTGGACTTTCCTTCGAACCTTAGGGCCGATGCCCTGTCCTTCTTTCCAGCCCATCTTCTTCAAGAGTTTTACCCCCATAGTATCTTGTACAGCTGGAGTCAATAGATCCATTAGAGTGATCTGTTTTCCCCTCCTCACCAACTCATCCCCGGTAGATCCTAAACCAGTAAAATTTTGATTTGTCTCAAGTTTCTGGGCTTCAGCGGCTTCAGCGAGATCTTCGGCGTCCATAAAATCTTCAGGGCGTGCTGGAGTAGCCTGTGCACGGGCGGTACGGGATGATTTGAAAGTAGCAGGAGTCCATCCTACGTGTATCGTATGAATACGAGGCTGAAAAGTACATTAATGTGGGATACTTGGGGCAGAGCAAACCTTCTTTGGACCCCACGGTGTTGAAATACCTGCACCATAATAATTTAGTTTTTGACTCGAACACCACGCGCACGCCAGGAGACGTGGATGTGACTTACCCAGCACTAAAGCCACCTGTAAAAGCCCCGTGTAATCTTTTCCTTCCTCGTTCGTCTGTGACTTCCTGTTTCCACAAAGGTACATAAGAACCATCATCTCTGGTTTCTGAATCATAAGGGGGCAAAGCTGTTCCGTAGAAAACAAATGGATAATCCTTTTGCTGGTCGCCAGCAGTTTCAAGAGAACTTCTATTTCGTTTCAAGGACATTCTAGGAGTTGTCTTTGGGAGTGGTGAAGGCTTTGGGAGTGGTGAAGGGTAGGTCGACGTGATGAGATGATGTCCTTGTGGTCCAAGCATGAGACAGGACACAAGACAGCTCACTCGGCAGGCAACACAAAGAGAGATTATGTATCGAAAATCGGGGGCTTCCCGCACCGGCACGCAACCATTGCCGAGTGACGGTTTCCAGCCTAAGACAATATCCAAATCGTTCCCAGCAGGGATCCCGCAACCACTAATAATCCTTCCACTTACACTATCCCTTACTCGATCAGTCCAAATTGAAATATAAACTAACCGTATCTGTGCAGCTGTGCTGTGCTGAACGCACTGAATGTTTATTTATCTTATCACGTTCACAGCCTTAATGCGGGGATAAACATGAACGGCGTTCAACACAGAACATATGCCAGATACGGTTAGTTTACATTTCAACTCGGACTGACCGTGTAAGGGATAACTTATTGATACCTGTGTAACTTTAGCCACCCACTCTACGTACATGTACCTACATGTACTCTACATACATGTATACCTACTTCTTACATGTAGGTAGAGTACCAGCTGAGGTTTCCCCGGTACTCTTCAGATTATATGCGCTCGTTATCTATGAACTATTCATCACCGGACAAGAGCCAGCTTGTAGGCCCCCTGGCACTGTACAAGATAAAGGAAGGAGTGTATGCAATTACATACATGTGCGTACTGTAGGTACCACCACTATTTGCATGGGTGTGGTAATGTTCATGATTTCTTCGGCAAGAAGCCGAAACCTATCGCCGCAGTCTCGGGCCTGCGCCAGCCTGGATCATGATCACTCAGAGCTGTCAAAAAGGCGGGGACGGTTATATTGATGAGAGTGGATGGAGGCTAGGCGCACGCGCCTGTCCCAGGTTCATAGGTCTAAATCGCTTGTGGATCATCCTTATGCAGTCAAAGTTCTATCGTGGACGGAGTCCTTGAGTATCTTGACCAGGCGAATAAGGAATGCTGATACATGTATTTACATGTGTGTTAACTGTACTGTAGACTCCATAGATGTATCCTTTGGGATTTGTCATTTGTCCTCTACTCCGTGCGCTTGGTGTTGCTATCAGCTAGTGCAACTGTTGGTGCTGCTTATTCCTGCTTTGCCCTCCTCTCTATCCCCACACTCCATCACCTCCTCCTCTTGATCATTCTTGTTTGGTCTGCGCCGTCCGTTGCGCCGCGCCTACATCCACTCCCATCCCCCCTTCTCCTCAACCTCCTCAACCTCATCCTCGTTCTTATTCTCGTCCCCGTTCTCCCACTCCACCTCTTCCACCTCCTCCCCATCCTCCCCATCCTCCTCTCCATCCTCTCCATCCTCCTCGCCCTCTCATCCTCCTCCTCTTTTGCTTCACGCCAACTTAATCACCCCTCCTTTCCCTACCGATATCCCTTCACCCCACATCTTTGCTGCTTCTACATCTGCAATAGCACAACTAGCCGCGCTAAGAACCGCAACATATTGCATTCCACAAGTTCCTATATACACACACGCGCGCGCGCGCACACACACACACACGCACACGCAGACACATATACATACACATACAGTGATACATACGTTCCAAACACATACACTTCCATCCCGGCACTCGGTTCTTCTCCCGCTCCTACCCTTGGTTCTACATCGGTCCCACTCCTGTTACAGGCTTGTCTCGTTTCCAACTGTTAATCCTTACTGGGCCCGCATCTTTTATCCTGTTCCCCCCGCATCAACCCTAACCCCCTCTCGTGGAATCTTATATCTCAACTACATCCTCTCAACGGCCTCGGACACCTACTTCCTTAAACCCCGCGTGCATCTAAAACATCTTAATCGAAATCACCCAAACTCAAAACCTCTAGATATCTATAATCAGACATCAACTAAACTCGTCAGAAATGTTACCCCAACAAGCGCCTATTATCGTCCAACGACAGCACAGCACCCGTCACCAGCGACAACCTTCCTCCTCTTCGTCTTCTTCCAAACCTCCAGCATCGTCATCTCGTCCACCTACTACAGAATCCTCAACCATTGGCACCCGAGAACCCGAGTCACAGCGATTGACTCCTGCTGCTCCTGTAGTTATTTCACCCGCCGCTGTCCCTTTGTCACGTCCAGGTGGCCACTCAAGACGGGCATCCGATATGTCTGAAGCCACTAGTACCGTCACAACCTCCAACGGGACCCCAGTACATGCTCCGTCTGTTGTTCCCGAGGAAGGTAGCAGGTCAGGCCATCACACATCATCACAACGTCCTAGAAAAACATCTATCCATGGATCTAGTGGAACATGGATTCTCGGGAAGACCATCGGAGCTGGTAGTATGGGAAAAGTGAAACTTGCTAGGAAATCAGATGGCTCAGAACAGGTTCGTACCATATCAACCCCGAGCATAGCTTCCTTGATTTCTCACATTATTGCAATATCTGCAGGTCGCGGTCAAGATTGTACCCAGGCAAATAATCCAGGAGCGGGGCATAGACCCAGCAACCGGCCAGCCTTACCCACCTCGCCATGATGAGAGCAAAGAAGTTCGAACCGCACGAGAAGCAGCTATAGTTACACTGCTTGATCACCCCTACATTTGTGGAATGCGCGATGTTATAAAAACCAACAATCACTGGTATATGCTATGTGAATATGTTAACGGCGGGCAAATGCTTGATTATATAATTTCGCACGGGCGCTTGAAGGAAAAGCAAGCTCGTAAGTTTGGTCGACAGATTGCCAGTGCATTGGACTATTGTCACAGGAATTCGATCGTTCACCGTGATTTGAAGATAGAGAACATCCTAATTTCAAAGACTGGCGATATCAAAATCATAGACTTTGGTCTTTCTAACCTTTTTTCCCCTCGATCACACCTTAAGACCTTTTGCGGATCTTTATACTTTGCAGCTCCGGAACTTTTGCAAGCCAAGCAATACATTGGGCCGGAAGTTGACGTCTGGAGTTTTGGGATTGTTTTGTATGTATTGGTCTGTGGAAAGGTCCCATTCGATGACCAAAGCATGCCCGCGTTGCATGCCAAGATCAAGCGTGGGGTAGTGGACTATCCACAGTGGCTTTCCGGAGGTATATTTCCCCATCAAGCATCAACCCTGGAGATTTGACTGACAGTGATAAGATTGTAGAAATCTTTTGGCGAGAATGCTTGTAACCGACCCCAGGCAGCGTGCTTCCCTACAGGAGATTCTCAATCACCCATGGATCCTCAAAGGCTTCCCCGGCCCTCCCGAGAATTATTTACCTCATCGCGAACCTCTTTCTGGTACCCTGGATGCCGAGGTCATTCGTGGTATGACGGGTTTTGAGTTTGGTACCAGCGAAACAATCGCAGCGCAACTGACCAAAGTCATCGAATCGGAAGATTACCAGACTGCTGTGCGAAATGCAGCGAAGGAACCTCTTATGGCATCTCCAAGCCTTGAGAAAAGGAAGGCCTTTGGCTTTGAATTTTATAAAAGGCGGTCATCCACAAGCTCCAAAGATACTCTGACAAATCTAAGTACCGAAGTACTATCCCACCCAAGTAGTCCTGACCCTATCAATGCATATAATCCCCTGATTTCTGTTTATTATCTGGTTCGCGAAAAACTGGAGAGGGATTCCATCAGCAAATCGCCCGCTGGCTCGCAGCCCCCACTGCCAATCCCCGACGTTGAGAAGCTCCGAATACCAATCCCCAAGCAGCCAGAAATCGCACATACAAGTGAGGCTAGTTATGAGGTGAAGGGAGAACCAGCATCTACAAGTGGAAGGACCCGTCCTAGGGCAAGAACGCACGGTGACGAGGAAGTTTCGGAGGCAATGAAAAAGGTCAATTTGGGTGGTGTATCTCTTCCACCGTCGCCAGTTGTTCCGCAGTCAGCAATCAAAGAGGATTCTGTCGTCAGGAAGGAAAGTACCGTTGGGGGGATGCTTAGGCGGTTTAGCACTAGAAGACATAATGCCAAGGCGCTTGCACCACCAACTTTATCAGTACAGGCGCCTGGCCAAGCACCAGTCGAAATCGCAGCCCCTCGTAAAAGTCTCTCCGTGCGGAGACCTCCGACAGAACGACAGCCTGTACCGTCCGGTGCATCACATTCTGGAGCACCCGACCTTCTAACCCCTCCCACAACAGCTGATGGTCTTCCAGGCTCAAAGAGATCTGCCAAGATCGGGAGGTCCACTAGTGTCTCCGAGGTGGACTGGCGACGTAAATATAGAGGGCAGCACCAATCTGGAGATCCTCCTGGAACAAGTGGCTCAGATCGTTCGGCATTGTCTGTCAAAGAAGAAACTACACAGAACGAGAAGGGGGCGAATAGCTTCTCAAAACCGTTGACAATGCGGGCAAAATCTTTAGGACATGGAAGAAGAGAGAATATCGCTCGACGTACTCGTAGGGAAGAAGCTGCAGCGGCGACATCGGTCCCTAACGATGTCCCAGAAGAGGATGTTGGTGATGGAGCGACCTCAGCGGGCAGCGGAGATGGCGCATCCACCACTCCATCATCCGATTTTGTCAGGCCTGTCTACTTGAAAGGGTTATTCAGTGTGGCGACGACTTCGACAAAGCCACCTGTTGAAATACGAATGGATATTATCCGGGTTCTGAAAGAGTTGGGTGTTTCCTATAAGGAGATTAAAGGTGGATTTTCCTGCGTTCATAGGCCCAGCATCGATCTCAAGAGCGTTCAGGAGAATGTCCCACAAACCCCTGAAGCCACCAATATGGTCAACCCTCCCTCACACAGGCGTAAGCTTTCATTTGGTGGTTCCACTAGTAGTAGTTCAGCGCCTGCACCCCCACCCCCGGCGATGAAGGGTCAGGGCAAGAGGAACAGAGCAGACACAAGCTATACAAACAGCGATGTCTCAAACGAATCAATGCATGATGGGGTTCTAGGAGGATCTTTAATTCTCAATTTCGAAATCTATATCGTAAAGGTCCCTTTGCTTTCACTGCACGGTATTCAATTCAAGAGTGTTAGCAAAACGAATACGTGGCAATACAAGGGTTTGGCAAGTAGGATTCTTCAGGAATTGAGGCTATAACGATTTATGTTTGTTTTCTTCTTTTCATTAAACTGTTTGGTTTTGGCCTGCATAGTTTAGCTTAGCGATTCCCTACTACCACTTCTCCCTTTCTCACTCTTTTCTTTTGGAATTGTCGCAGGCTTTTGGGATACCCTGGTCTCGTATACGCATGGTGTTTACTCAGCTATTGCTATTTTGAGCTACAGTTTTTTTCTTTCTTTTCGCTCTTTTTCCGACAGGGGATAACCTCTCTAATGAATGCTTTCACGAGGCATACGCAAGGTACAAATTGAATATGCGACCAAGTCCTTGTGCGCCAAAGACGAGGAAAATACGGACCTTCTTCAGTTAAAGATATTTGTTTAGGCTCTATGATGACACTATTTTCGTGATTGAATAGCCACTGAAAGCTCGAGATTTTCTGATATATTACTAGCACTTGTTTGAAATTTTGTTTCTCCCTTGTGTATTTGTTCTTTTTCTCTAGTTGAGGATAACATTGCTTAATTTAATTCATAATTCGGTATTTTGTTGTAGAATTCCTGTCTAATGTCAATAATTTGAAATGCAATACATACATGATATCTACATGTATTATAACGTGAGACACGATAGGCGATAAGATCAGAATGAGATAAAGGGTGGCATAAATATAAAGCTACATTCACATTTATTGATACAGGTCTAGCCTACTTTACAGATTGGCCGTGGGAGACCCAGCACTTCGTCCAAGATTGGATGCGAGTGAGCAAGTATGATCTACACCAGGAAGTTCGTGGCAGAGCCGCCTCGATAAAAGCTGCAGCCATATACTACAATAATAAGCGGCAATGATTTCTAGTACTCTAGACTTTTGGTTATTAGAGGAGAATTCCTGCAGAGACGTTAATTAGACTTCATAGTGAAACGTTAGGCTGCTTGCCATGTGACATGCATACCATTACCAAACAGTTGCAGGTGAGTTTATCTTTGTCCTTTTTGTTTGGTCTACCAAGTACCAACTACACGATAGTGAGTCCATGCGAGAGGCGTACTGGCAGCTGATGATGTTACTAGAGTTGTTACCAGCCGCTACCGAGCCACAGGCCAGAATGTAGTATGTAGTACCAGACTGGGGTTAGTGCATTGTGTCCGATCTCGGTTGTCTTTCCTCCCCGCCGCCCTCCCTCTCTTCCTTCTCAGGCTGAGGTTTCTATCGTCTACTGCCTACTTCCCTCTTTCTCTTACTCCCTCTCTGTCTCGTGCGCTTTCTCTACCCCTCCGCTTCCTTTCTTCTTGAACAACACTATTCATCCTCACCTATTTTCTCTAGTGTTCTCTCCTACACCATTCCGTCATTCCGTCCGTTAGTTCCCACTTCCTACATACTAACACATTACTTGTGTTTCTCTTTTTTTCTTCTACAATTATACATCTCCACAGTCGTCTTTGTTGCTGTGGCCGTCCACTCACATAGTTAGCCTAGCTAGTCACCCCCGCCCTGCTGCAATCTGAACATCATATCCAATTCGATAATGCTGCAGTCGCAGCAAATGTTTGGCCATCAGCAGCACTTTGCCCATCCGGACCAAAGCAACTGGCATCATACCCAACATGTTCAGCAGCAGCAGCAGCAACAGCAGCAGCAACAGCAACAGCAACAGCAGCAGCAGCAGCAGCAGCAACAACAACACTCTCAACAGCAACAATTTGGTTTGCAAGGTCGATCATCACTAGCAACACCTTCTGGTCCATCACCTGCTCCTAGTTCAAATATGGGCATGATGGGCCAGGGCAACAGACATACAACAGATGAGGACTTGAAAGTGTACCAATGGATTGCGGAGTTGATGCAGGGAGGAAACAGGGAGACGGCATTGCTGGAACTGAGTAAGAAGAGAGAGCAGGTGGATGATCTTGCATTGATATTGTGGCACTCTGTTGGTATGATTCTCGTACTCTCTCTAAGGTTTATTCAATCACCACATATATGTGTCTATATGGCTTACAGGCAATGTAAATCGACATAGGTGTAATGACCGCACTGCTTCAAGAGATAATCTCGGTCTACCCGTTACTCATGCCCTCTAGCTTGACAGCTGCTGCCTCCAACCGTGTCTGTAATGCTCTCGCCTTGCTTCAATGTGTGGCATCTCACAACGAGACCAGGGCTCTTTTTTTAAACGGTATGTTCCCAGTTCCTAAAACTGTTTCGTCCGTATCCTAACATAGATTTTTGGAAATTAGCACACATTCCCCTGTTTCTCTACCCGTTTCTAAACACCACATCAAAGTCCCGCCCCTTCGAGTATCTGCGACTCACCTCTCTTGGTGTCATCGGTGCACTGGTCAAAAACGACAATACTGATGTCATTAACTTTCTCTTGAGCACGGAAATTATTCCGCTATGCCTCAGGATCATGGAGACTGGCTCAGAGTTATCGAAGACGGTTGCTATTTTCATTGTCCAGAAGATCCTTTTGGATGATATGGGGCTCGCGTATATCTGTCAGACCTATGAGCGCTTCTATGCAGTCGGGACAGTCCTTAGCAACATGGTCACTCAGCTAGTTGAACAGCAAACCGTGAGACTGTTGAAGCACGTTGTGAGATGTTTCCTCCGGTAAGTTATAGCCGTGAGTAAGTAGTACCTGGTCACCCTTTGACTGATATTATTTCCGATAGACTGAGTGATAATCCACGCGCACGTGAGGCTTTACGCCAGTGCCTCCCTGAGCCACTTCGGGATGCCACCTTTTCGTCTGTCTTGCGCGACGATGCCGCCACCAAACGATGCCTAGCACAACTCTTAATCAACTTATCCGATTGTGTTGTCGAATAAAGTATCGGCACCTAATCGCACATTAGACGTGGTTTCTTCTATTCACCAAGCCAGAAGTTTTTTCTGGGATCAAATCTTTTCGGCATATAAAACTTTAAAACGAACGTCCTTTATGAATACCATGGTGCGATAATGACTGGACTGGTTGCAGAATGTGCGTGTAAGGTGAAATTCTTGTTAGCAGTGCTCTGGAGTGCCCATTGGATTTTTTATTTTTATTTTTTCCCTTGTGTTTTGGCTGGTGTTCTCCGGCGGGAAATGGATACAAGGGGGTAGGATCAAGAACCCACCCCCGACCACATATTATTTAAACCTCGGTGTACTTGTTGTTTCTCAGGTGCTTGCACTGGTTTTTCCCTTCCCTTGCTTTCTTAGGTAGATCATTGATTACTTGCAGTTTTACTGCGGATGCAGATTTTTTTTTTATTGCCGATGTATGCTTACTTGCGCTTTTCCCTGTGGATCTTTTCTTTTATCTTCTCATTCCTGTCGACATCTACTGTCTGTATATACCTTAAAAGTCACCTACTTTGTTTTGTCGGTACCTGTATCTTTTCTTCCTTTTTTTTCTTTTTTTTTTCTTTTTACCAAGGCTTTGCTGGTTGGAATCGTCAAGGGATAAAATAGGGCATACCTGATATGATAGTTAAGTTAAATGTAAAGTATTAATGACTGGAATCGCGTCTCGCATCTGCAGAAGATTAATGACAAAAAGTCAAGCTGGCATTCAAGACTAGCTTCACATAAGTTTTTTTTTTTACCGTTATGGCTGAAACTCGGATAGATATAATGGACCCACCTGTGAGGCTGCTTGCCACGATATGTATATACATGTAGGTAGATGTAATTTCCCTTTTTTTGCGTTTGGCCCAGCAAAGGAGTTTGTCCTCAGACCTGCGGAGGTCTCTTTGATCACAGGAATCATAACACGACACGATGGAGCACTCTGATATATATTGTAGGGCTGCAAAAAAGTAACACGCTGCCCGAGCTCGAGAAATCTACACAGGACCCCCAGCCCCCAGACACTACCCCGTAACCCCCCCCCCCCCCCTTCCATATATGTATGTATCTATGTATAAATCTGTATTGAGGCATCTTGGAGATTCATCATCATCTGGCTGGCTGGCTTATTCTGAGAGTGTTTTTGTTTTATATTATAGTTGACTACGATATTGGCACTGTGGCTAAAAGTACAATACGAAAAAAGGGTATGGATTCGCTACGTTATTCCCGTTGATACGCTAGTAATGCAGCAAGATACGGCATTACTACGGTGTTCTTTTTGTAATGCTGGTTTAGTTCCGTGTTGTTCACTAAATCCCGTAGTCATACAGTATTGATTTCACCCCGTTTTTTCGTACTGCATTCTATCTACATACTCTACGTATTTGCTAGGAAATGTCGATGTGTGTGTGTGTGCGTACGTAATATCCTCACTTGGGCCGCATTGGCTGGAGGAGGAGGTAGGTTTTGTGTCTTTGGTTAGAGGTTTACGTTGGTGGTTGTTTAGTCGTCGTGGAACAAGAGGTGGAGAGGGCAGGCCGGGGTTGGTCGTCGTGCGGGCATGACTTTGGTTGATATTGGTACTAGGTTGATACTAGTGCTATATAGCCAGTAGTATTGCATCTGCCAAGGGATGATACTGCTAGTAGGTGTGTGTTTCGGTGTGTTGGTTGGTGAAGAGCGGCAATCCTCTGGGTACATGTATGTAGAGTAGGGCGCGGTACCAGTATGCTGGGAGAGGCGCGGAGGGGAGCGGGCATACACCTCTTGTGTGTGGAAGCGGTTTTGCAATGTAAGCATAGCCCATCACTCGCTCACGAAAAACGATGGTTTGGGACTAGTGTTTGTCCACGCGGGGAGGTGGGCGGATGTGCTGTTGATCACACCGCCCCTCCACCCGCCCGCCCACCCTTCTTTGCGGTACCGCGCGGACAGACATCGTGGTGCGGAACTGTAGGCGGGTGTGTCATAAGATAGGCACTTGTCCTCGATAGACACCGGGGCCCGGGTGAAGGCGGGGATCCGAAGTCACGCCTCGAGGTCCGGTGCCGGCTCTAGCCCCAGGTTGGCCGCCTCGAGAGTCGAGAGATGTACTTGTCACCCGCCGCCGCCTGAACAGACGGTACCCGTAACCTACATGTACGCACGAGGAAGAACTGTATGACACCCTCCCTCGCTCCCAACCGACTCGATGACGTACCAGAGGAAGAAGTACTAATCACAACCTATCACTCGGTTAGCACTAGCTGCTGACCCGACCAGAGTACTAGGGCGACGTCTTGAGGTCGGGCGTACGTAACAGCAACAGCCCTGGCTGGTTCCTTGGCTCGCCCTGTCCACGACGCCAGTGCGAGTAGAGGACAGATATGTGGTATGGTATACGCACACGGGCGCTGGAGGGCTACGAGTCCCCCCCCTGACGGATCACAGGTGCTCGTCGTGGTCATGGGATATCACTCGGTGTGCATGCGACACCGAGCCAGAGCGGATGAGGCCGTGACATAGCCACCACTAATCGGTGTCACGCCCACCTCTTTTTGTCTGGCCGGCTGGAGAGGAGAGTACGCCCTGCAGATAGTGCACACCACTACACCAGACACCACCACCACCACCACCACCACCACCACACCAGATGCGAAGACCACACCAGACACCACACCGGACACAACGCAGGGAAAGAAGTCGCTGGAATAGAGTACATTCCTCTAGGTGGGCACCGATAAAGATAGAAGATAGAGACCCCGTCAGTCGGTCGCCATACAGTTTAGTTTAGTATCTATTCCCGGCACCAGATCACATCACACTCTACCGTGAAGCTATCTATGAAGCTATCTATGAAGCTATCTATGAAGCCATGTTTGTAGGTACGTTCCAATGGAAGCACGCTATCCCGCCCGCCCGGTGGGCCTATCTATTCCAGGCAGGGTCTCATGTCCTGTCTTGGGTGGGCATTGCTACGGTTGGCTGAGAGAGAAAGAGGTGTGTGGGGTGTGAGTGTGGGTGTGGGGGAGGAGGGTGAGACCGTTGTCTGTCTGCCCTCTGCTATGCAACGCTACGCTATTCATCATGTGATGAAACATTGGTGCGCACTCGGTGCGCAATCCACAGCAGCCCCAGAGTCCGTACCAGAAGAGGGAAAGGAAAGCAAGAAGCAGGCAAGGCAAGGCGGGGTTTTACAGTTTTTCACGTTTCACTTTTTCAATGTGGAGAACTCAAGATGTGGGCAAGTGGACATGTGTTTTTTTTTGGATTGTAGAAACTAATGTTTCTACAATTTGTAGATTGATAATGATGCGAACCAATGGCGCACAAAGAGAACAAGGTGAAAATCCCAACCAACGTTCCAGAAAGGTAGTAGAGAGCTTCTTCCCAAGGTACCAACCGAAAGAGAATCAGACATCGTAAAAAAAAAAAAAGGACGCACCGAGAAAGAGATAGATGCTACTTCGCTTTCTACAGCAAAACAAAAAAAACATCGAAAGAAAGAATTGAAACGATGAAATAAGATCCTATCCAAATCATCACCTAGAGAGAAAAAAGGAAAATCATACAAAGCGCAGCGGGAAAAAGATAACACTGGCTTGCCTGTTGAACAAGAAAGAAACAACATGAACAAAAAAAAGCAGCAAAGCAATGACTTTTGTATTAATCCCCAATAGACAAGAAAGAATTCAAAACTTATGACCGCCGCCTGTTTGCTTGTGTGGCAATGTTCTTCCAGTGCTCGACTTGCGCTTTTAGCTCTTCGATCTGGATCTCCATCTCCTCCATTCTCTCCAACTTCTTCGCCCGTGATTTACGCGCTGCAAGCGTATTGCGAGCACGCTTCATGGCCACGGTGTCCGAAGGGTCTTCGACCACAATTGGAGGCAATGGGCCTCTTTTGCGGACACCAGAAGTCTGTGATCGTCGCTGGTTGGGCCCGGCGCTTGTGCTGCGGAAACGAGGAGAGGTACTTGGAGAATCTCCAACCGCATCGACAATATCATCATCCGAGTAGCCACTACCAATCAGGGGAGAGCCCTGCACTGGAAGAGTTGGATTTGGCGGAGAAACGCTAGAATCCTCGGTATCCGGGGCCGCATCTGGGAAGAGGGAGTACCAAGCACCGTCTTGTGTGATATCGTCGGGTGCAAAGAGAGGAGAAGTATCGTAGCTATCATTGGGAGAATCAAAGAACGACAGAGGAGAAGTCAAATGAGTGGTCGCTGCGGAGGCAGGCTGGTTCATGAGAAGTTCTTGTGGAGAGATTGTGGGGACAGCTGTATTGAAGTCATGAGCTGCCGTGAACTGCGGAGACGAGAACTCCGGCGAGAACAGCTCGTTGAAAGCTGCCTCGGGATCAAAGGCCTTCATTTGTTCTGTGGTGAAAGCGTTAGAGGATGAAAATTTATGATTAAAAGTCGGTGAAGCGACAAAATCAAGTGAAGAAAGCGTACCCTGCTGCATCTTATATGAGCGAAGTGTAGACTCTAACTGCTGGTGCTGTTGCGTCAAATTCTTGAAATACGCAGCGGCGGTTTGCGGGTCTAAAATCGGCTGTTGGTGTGGGCGATGCTGGGATTGCTGCTGCCTAGATTCTGGCTGGTGAAGGGAAGGATCCGAAGACTGAGTTTGAGCGAACTGTTGATACGATGGTGGGGGATTTGGCCGATGGCTGAACGAAGAAGGCGATGTACTATATCCAAGTCCTGACACGATTTCACTTACTCTGCGGGGTTGCGGAATAGAAGCGCTACGTGGGTGTTGAGGTGGCTGCACCTGATTAGGGATTGCACGCGGAGATGGTTGAGGGGCCGTTCTCGATGAGGGGAAGAGCACTGGATCGTCGAAACTGATTTCGTTCGATGGATCGAAATGAGAAAGGGCTGGAGACCTGGGCGTTGGAGGTGGTCTGGGATCTAGTGATTGTGTCTGCGGCGAAAGCCTTTCGTTTTGGGTTGGTGAAAGCCATGGTTGGTCGGTTGAGGGGAAACGCGTTCCTTCCGGGGGAAGAATGGTGACTATTGGTGGGGGGGTGAAGTCGCTAGGCGAAGAGCTATTCAGAGGTCCTTGGATCTCTGGGGAAGACGTGGTGAAGGTGTTTAAACGACTGTTCCTAAAAGGAAGTGTAATGGTTGACGTGACTTGGGGGGGGGGGGGGGTTTAAGCGGCCATGATTGTGGATACTGTAGTTATATATTTGTTGAAGGAATAGCTGATATGAGGGAAGAAGAAAAGAAAAGGAAGAGAAGAGGAGGGGGGTGGTGGGAAATGAGTCAGATCTTATAGGAATCGCGTTGAGTGGCCGCGTCGGGGGGGCCTGCAACAGAGGGATGGGAAAGCCCAAGGAAGAATTAATCCATTGGACGTTATTTTGCTCTTCCTGTAGTGCGTGTGTGCGTGTGTGTGCGTGTGGGACTTTAAGAAAAAGCAATATAAAATTCAAGTGAAGTGAAAATGGAAGTGAGGAGAGAGTGAAGTGAGAGAAACACCGAAATTCAGTAGATGATGCCCAAAGAAGGCCTTAGCGCGATACAAAACTTCCCAGGACAGTAAACAGGTCTCTCTAACAAGCATCCCTGCTCTATGGTCTTTTTCTTTGCCTTCCCAGTCCCAGTGCGCCCTCCTCCTCCCTGCACTCTCTACCTCATCCAACATATCCCTTCACCTTCACACACCGTCCACCCACAGCTCTTGCACTCCGCCTACCCCAAGGCGCACACCTAAGGCTCTCATGCATGCACCCCTCATCGTGCATCCATTGCAACTGAGAAAAGAGACCATCTCTACTTACTCCATACTATGTAGACATTCTTCGCCCCAATCGATTTGACAGAAACTCGCAAAATAATTGGAGCAAGGCCAAATCAAAATTCCCGCAACGGACTGCTCAAGGCATGAATTAGGATAACTGAGCCTCCAACGTCTTATGTTCCAAACCGCCATTATTAAGCACTCTACCTCTCTCAGTCTTTTCCTCTTCAGGACCGGACCCTTGGATCGTAGTACAAGGCTTAGGTTCGTAAGTGCAGCCAGCCAATCCTGTGCTGTTGCGACTTCCGCTTCTGCGGCTGAGCTAAGGAAGCTGAGCGAGACTGAAGGCTTTTTTTTTTTTTACTTCTTCCTCTTTATCTGGCCTCTATTTTTTTTTATCACAGCGAACAGCACTTGTAGGTAATCCTGATGATAGATTTGAAAACGCCAAAAGTGCTAAAAGTCCAGTCGGTCGTCGGGGACTCTAAAGGCCCGACTGCGACGATTCTTTTCCCCCGGCCCAGTCGACTGAGACTTATTCCTCGAATTCACCCTCCCCTCCGGATCCTCCAATCCCACTCTTCAACATCAAACTTGAGCCCATCGCATCGCAATTAGCGGTTAAACCGGCAACCCTCATTCCTGCCTGACCCCCCTCCCCCTTCTTTTTAAACGCTTTCCTCTCACACAGCGATCCCATCTTTGTCCCGTCTTCCCGGCACCAATTTCCAATCACTGTAATCCCCCACCTGCGCGAAGTATTAACAGAAGCGGTAAACCAACGCGAGGGAGCACCACAAGAAAAAAGGGCACAAAAATAAAGTAATAAATCCTCTACGATAGTACAGAATTGCCGAGTCTACGGTTACTCGCTTGTGTGTGTGTAGAATACCTAGAACTTCAGGGTAATACTTACCACCAGACCCCCCTCCCTCCCACCCCGGCAATACTAGCGCACAGAACAATGGTGCTCAAAAAAAAGTTATCTATCGATACGAGAGGCGAAAGAGCGGGCGCCCCCGGGGGGGGGGGGGGGGGGTGGTCTACGAAACTCTGTTGATAAAAAAATAAAACGGTTAGGTCAATGCCGATCCCACATTATTAGGCAACAACCGTTTCGTTTGTCGGTACGTTTTGATCAAGGTACAGATGTCGTACCTAGCTAGTAGAGCACCTAGCTAGAGCACCTCCTACAAACAACACCTGTGAACAGAACAAGGGCGACACGAAAAAGGGACTGGGCAGCAGTAACGTCACACGAACCTCGACCACCAGCAATCTCGATGTGTTCAATTTATTTCTGTTACAGTTTAGGATACATGAGAGAGAGCCGATGGTCGCCGACGGTCAGCAGCGCGCCCGCCGCCGGCCACAGGCGCGCATAGCCTCGGTTTTCCTTGAATGAGAAGGAAACTGTGCCTTTAGAGAGTCGAGTTGAACATACCGAGCCTGAGCCCGAGCCTGAGCCTACCTAACAAAGGGATCCGAACCCCCTCCCCCCTCTCTATCTGTTCCTGCAATTGAATTTGTATATGCCCCAATGGGACCCCCACATTTACCTTCCTTACCCTCCTCCGGACACTTTTTTTTACACGCTGTAAGTACCGCAGTAGAGTGCTCTACGGCTGTACCTCTGGACAGGTTTAGGTAGGTAAATTGTTCCCGCAGGTTTTAGCTACAGTGGTCTAGGTACTTGTAACGCTGTCGACGGTTCCAATTGGAGACAATTGGGAATGAGTCAACGACTGTGCATATTTTTCTCGATTGATATGTATGCCGCTCATCACAACGGCGGCGCGGACCCGTGGATAGAGAGAAAGCAGATCTTGAGGCAGGTTGGGTACAGCCAGTCGATCAGGCCGGCGCGTTGTCACGGCGTGACACCCAACCTGGATCCTCGTTTTTCTAAATTCGTATGTAGACCTTGTCTATCTCGGCCGAGTCCGTGGTGGTCCCTTAACCAACCTGCATTCCTGTCCTGAATCGTAATTGCGGTACTGTACTGTAGCTGTGGGCGTACGTCGTTATGATGGTCTACGTTTTCTCCTCAGGGTCTTTCTTGTTTAGAATTTTTTTCCTACTGCGTACGCGGGCTGCAAATTAAGGTGTACGTGTTTGTTCCATGTACGCGTACAGGGCCCGTTACGTTTTGAGGAAATCTGAATTTACGACGACACAATTCACGGTACTGTCTGTTATGTGTGTAGGTAGCCGGGCGTGTATGGAGGTGTATGAAGTTAATAGAATACTTGACCGCTCGCTCGTCAACTGACAGCTTGAGTGCCTGCGAGTCTACAAGCTAGGTCCCCAATTCGCAATCCTCAATCGTCACTCACTTGCGCGTTTCATCTTCTACAAACCCTCCCTCCCTTTAGCGTTTCTCCATCCCCATGATCATTGACATCCCGCACCCACGTACAATCCACTCCACTCCACACTATCCTACACTTTAAAACACAAGCTCCACCATGGCCAGGCTTATTTCCATCGCAGCTTGCTTCTTTGAGTCAGAAGCGAAAAACAGTCTGCAAGATACACGTACGATCTGCCGTCGTCGCATCCATCCATCCATCTACCGCAGATGCTCGCTCGCACACCTCCCCTTCCCCCCGGCCCTCCGAGCGAACGACGAATAACGCTCGTTTTGGCGGCTGGGGTGGTATAATCAGCGGAGGAGGATGGGTTATTGGAATGTACCCTTGCACTTTTTTGAGGATTTAAAGACCTCAGTTAGAGGTGAGACCTCTTTCACATGTAGGGTGGGTGGGTGTCTGTCGGTCGTCCCGGTGTTTGGGTATATGGTATGGGGATGGGTGGGTAGGTAGGTAGGGTGGGTAGGTAGGTAGGGTGGGTAGGGGAGTATGGGGTCCCCACGATTAGATACCTGTCCCGTAACCTAATATACCTCTGGGCTGGTAGCGGTATGTATCGGGCTTGTGAGACGGTCGGGTGTTTGCCCAACCCTACACTCTACCTACATACACACTCTACCTAGGCCTGAGGATTGAAGGCTGCGTTCTTATGTTACATACAATACACGTAGACTCTCGAAGCACTCGTTTTGGGTTTCCGGTCAGTTGTGCAAAATACATGTAGTAATCGGGTGTTTTTCATGCCAACTGTGGAATCCGATGTAGAGTTGCTATATCAAGTATCGTTATCGATAGGCAGTAGAGTACGTAGGCGGATACCTAGAGTACTATAGAGTTCCCGGAGCTATGTAGATAGCTAGCTAGTCACACGCACACGCGCGATGCGATTTCATTGATCGAGCTCACCTCAAATCTCTGTAACCTTGATCTCGTCGTGTCTGAATTCAAACACCTCTACCTAATTACATGCCAGATTTCATGTGCGGGGATTAGTTATTTACAGTAAGTGTGGCACACACCGCAAAACAAGCCTCGAAATCACCCCCCAGCACTCGAACCCGCACACCCTACTCTACCTCCCCTACCCACCTACCCTACCCGCAGCTCCTGATTCGCCGGTTGCACCCACTGACTCATCCCCTCCGGTGAACTGTGCATATGTACGCCAGTTTACGGATCGACATCCATCCCCGCATTTTCTTCAGCTGGCTGCGGAGATGGGGCTGGGATGGAGGAGGGGGGAGAGAGACCGGCCGGCATCACGCACGAGCACTCGCTCGGGGTGCAGGTAGGGTGGAGTTAGAGTTCGAGCTAATTAAGCTAGCTGTGAATCATAGATCGATGGGAGATGGGATAAAACTCCCTTGATAACTGTGATATATGATCGTGGACTCTAGAACCTAGGAGCACATACACACACCACACAATTGAGTTATAATTAGGTGAGTGTTTTGCGTTTGCGTTTTGCGTGCTGGATCTTTAAAAGCACAGCGGCGCTGGCTGGGGGCGCCAAGTAGCTAGCTACTAAACTAACTATGTAACAGACAAACGAACTGACTGAGTGATCAGAGTGAGTGTCTTGGTAACTAACTAGGTGGGCGAATGGAATCACTACACAGCACTCGGTATGTGGGTATGTGTCATGATACCGACAAACCTCCACCACAACTCGAACCTCGACAACGACGACCACAACGACGAGGACGAGGACAGCAGAAAACGAATATCACAAACGACGAGAAGAAAACAGTATTTCGACACGCGGCTGCAGGGTGATGGGCCAGTTTTGAAACTGGGGTGAGTCGTGGTGTGGGTTAGGGCTGGCGCTGGCGCTGGGACGTCGTCGACAATGATATTGGTGGTGGTTTGATGGATGGAGTGATGGATGAGTTTTCACTTTCATCCTTTATGCGCTGAGTGGCCGGTGCCAAACAGCAGACAGCAGACAGCAGGCAGCACTGAGAGCTAGTTCTCCATCTAGTAGTAACAGCACAACCTTCTACTAGACAACAAACCTCACATAGGAAACCGCATGGAGATGACGACGAACTCAAAAACCGTCTCTCAGTTCTAAGCTACACAGCATCAACTCGGCCACTACTATCACTTCCAACTGTCTCCATGACTGGCCTATTGAAACATGCACGAGGTCCTCCGGTATTTTTCTACACTGGATTATTACCGCGTTAAGCCGGACGTATGGGATATCATAGGATAGATACGGAAGAACGACTCGTTCCTGCCCTCATTTTAATGGCGAAACTATGGAACCCCGTTCCCCCAGAGCATATGTGCACGAATTCGAAACAACTCGACGAGAGCTAGCTACTATTACCAACAACCGCCTTCATGGTCACTACATATTCATGATCGCTCACTCCGGACAGGGCACGCCGCACACTTTATGCACTTTATGCACAGCAATTATTCCCGCTGCCTCATGTATGGACGCTGAGCAGAGCACTCATTTCACCACCACTAACTGAACTACCTTCTTTGGGTAGGAAGAAAGAAGTGTTTTTAATCATTTCCACTGCTCAATTTATCATTGACATTTCAAGCCTTGTCTCCTTACTCCCCGAACCTCGAGGGGTCGCGGTTTGCGGTGTGCAAAATACCTACAGGGCGCCACCTGTGGCGCTTGTTCCGCGTGCTCTTGGCTTCTCTTCGCCATTTACTTTTTGCTCCCTTTTGAGCACTCAGCTCCTATGAACCTTGTATCAACACACCGACACACACAATCTCATAACCTCACAGCTTCACAACCTCACAACTTCATAACCTCACAACCTCACACACACCTTAAAAAACACATCCTCTCAAACTCGAAGAATATAAAATTTGCCTTTGCTCTGCGCTAACGAAATGCGAGAATCCGAAATCCACTCGAAAGAGAGAGAAGCGAGAAGAGTGAGAGGGGGAATAAAAAAGGGAAGAGGCAAAGGGAAAAAAAAAAATGGTATACTAACTTTCCATAACGAAGAAAAAAAAAAACGAACAAGATAACAAACAAAGCCGCGTTAAAACACAACATACCGCAAAGATATATAAAAAACACAACGAATAAGAAAAGAAAAGAAAAAAGAAAAAAAGAAATCGCTTCTCCTCTCCCTTCTTCTTTCCCCTCGTCTCTCTCTCGCTCTTGCAAATCATTTTAGAGGGAAATTATTACAGTATCTGTGTCGAATATATTATAGAAAAAAAAAGAGACAATAAAAAAAAAAAGAGAATAGAGAAAGGAGGGAGAAAGAGAAAAATATAACCAATGATTTTAATTGGATATGCTGCTCTGTTCTGTTCCAGTGATCTACTGTCTCGTTAAAAAAAAGGAAGATTGAGCGAACCAAGCCGCGGTGGCGAAGAACTTTTTTATATCGTTTTTTTAACGAAGCCCGATGACGCTCTTTATGGTTAGAAGGACAAATTAGTCGGCAAATGTACAGCAAATATGATGTGGGTATTAGACATCAAATTGGGGGATACAGCACTTGGGTCAATAGCGAAATTCTAGGCTGGTTGCGCATGTTCGCTATTGCCCCAAGTCCCGACATGTTGAGGGAGCGTACCATTTCTAGGGTCCAGACACGCCGGATCCAAACCTTTAGTTTCCCCTCTACACCCTCCACACCCTCTAGCTCCATACCTTCCCACCAGCAACGTCTCTGTAGTTAAAACCACCCATTAGCCCATCACCCCCCCCAAAAGTAGAAAACCTCAAAATATAAGGTGCATACCGCCGGCTTCCTCCAGAAGAGAAGTAGCTTCTGCGCCATCCCCACCGCATTGCTGTCTTTCCCCTCACCCGAAGCATTCCTCATATCCGTCCTCAACCTGGCTAACGCCAAACTACAGATAACCGCCTTGTTCGGCTCACCCGCGCGATGTCCCCAGGTGTCATCTGGGTTGAAGCCGCCCGCCGTCAACATCTCAATGAGATGCTGCTCTGTCGTCCCGGCATCATCCGTCCTCCGCAACCCTGAAAAGATTCCGTCCTGCTTCAGTAGGACATTCCCGGCGCTGCGCTTCACGACCATCATCTCTGGATGGCTGATGTCTCTTCGGGGCGGGATGACGTAAAAGTCGAGATCCTCGCGCAAGACGATGATACCAGCGCGGTCCTGCAGAACATTGCTGGGGCTTGATGGCGAGGCGCCGTTCTCGAGATCTTCGTCGTCCTCACTGGAGGCTGCTGCTGCGGCCGCGGTGGCCGTAATGGTGGCAGAGACTTGGCGGAAGAAGTCCAACATGTACTGGAGGCATACGGGGTCGAACTAGAGAGACACCACGCAAGGGTAAAGAGTTAAGCATGTTTGAAACTAGGTAGTTTGGGCTCTAAAACAAAATGATACATTTGAGAAATGGGTACACACGTCTACCGAGTACACACCATCCTCCTGGAATTGGTTGACCTGGCCATCTGGGAACAGGCCGTTCGGGAAGAGCGACAGCAGGACGAACTCCGGGAGCGTTAGAAGCTCGTCGCGAGAAAGAACGAATTGGGTTCCCCTGAATATAACAATAACATCGTTAGTAACCAACCAGGTACATATAAAGCCCCACAGGCGGGGAGGGGCGTGTAAATAAACATACCGAAGGTCCAACGTCAAGTTCTCGTCATTGTTCACATTATCTGTATATCCCGCGCGTCAGTTTTACCGAAAACACTTTTTCCCCGCATACGCACGCCCATTCACGTGATAGAAGGGTATTTTTTTAAGTTTATAGTTAGTGCGTGCAATGGGGGGTTACATACCACCTAGTGTAGCAAGTTGAGGCCCCCCTTGCTGGACCTGGGTGATAATGGAGGCGGAACCTCCTGCGGCAGCCATGCAGAAAGCGAACTCGGGTAGCGGGGAAGAAGATTCTGTGTAGGGCGGCGGAGGGGGTTCCGGGTCCTGGTTGGTGTACAAAGGGGATGGCGAAGCGTTTCCTGCTGGGGGTGGCGCCTTGGACTTTTCTTCGTGGTGAGGGGGTGGTGAGGAAGGGGAGGAGGAGGACGAGGCAGAGAAGGCAGAGGAGGATTTTCTTCCTCGGAGGGGCGGCAGAGTTGTGGGGTGGTAGGGGGTAGGGGGTGGTGAGGTGGTGGTGATGGGAGAAGGGGGAGGTGAGGTTGAAGTCGTGGTTGGCAGCGTAGATGAATAAGGTTGCGAGGTGGTGGTCGTAGTCGATGCGGCGGGTGATTGAGCCTGAGCCTGAGAGGCCTGTACAGCAAGCAATGGGGACTGCAGCGGGTGAGCGTGAGACGACAAAGCTGCGAATGAGCCAAAAGCAAATGATACTCTGGTTCTAGCTGGACGGGGTGAGCGGGAGGCTGTAACTGGGGGGTTAGCTTGGTCGAACTAACAACTACAGAGGAGATTAATATCTCGGGGGGGGTGATTAAGGTAGGTAAGAAGAGGGTAAGGTATTCGATGTTATTTTACTGACCTGCTTCTGCTTCTACTTGTTCTTGGTATTTCTGCGTTAGGAAAACAATAAGAGACAGGTTGATTAATTGCACTGCAGACACGCGCTGGATTGGGGATGTTTTGCTTGGAGGGAAGGTGCTTGTTGGAAATTTGTGTGCTGGTGTACCTATTTACCTGCTCGTGTGGAGTAGGCGGCGGCTATTAATTGGTTTATGGTATCACGGGGAGCTCTGCGAACGGACCATCTCATTTGCTTGAAGGACTGTCTCATCAATTACATGCAGCGCTTCTACGATACGACATTGTGCTTAGATTCATATCGGTTAAGGATTGTGGACATGACATCGTAATTGGTAGTGTTTACTGTAAATATAGATGTAGTTAACAGTAACTCAGAGTAAACAGTGGAGTGGACAACATCGTTAGCTCAGTAGCTGATGTTGGTTTAAACATCTCCAACAGCCTTATGCCTCGGCGTGCTCGGTCCATACCTAACCCTGTCCTAGCCCGCTCACTCACTGCGGTGTGCTCTCACTAGCTGCCTAATCCCTGGAACCCATTATATCATATGGCACAGCACAGCACAGTGCAGCAAGCAGCAAACAACATTCAAGCAAATCTACAATCATAATTGTACAGGTAAAATATAAAACGCCTAAGGAAATACTAATTCATCTACGCATCTATGAATCCATTACAGTCAACATTCATCTACCCTCCGGCCCAACCTCAACCTCAACCATCTTGTCCCCCTCGACCCTCACTTCCCGATCCCTCAACCGTCTCATCAGCGCCAGGAATGTGCTATCCTGGAACTTTCTAGACTGGTTCCCACTCAGCGACTCCAGCAGCTGTGCCGCCGTCCTCGCCAGCTCGTCGGAATCGTGCTCCTTGTCCTTCACCTCCTCTACCTTGTTGACCTCTTCTACCACCACCGGCACCGGCACCGCCTCCACTACCCTCTTCTCTTCTAGCACAGGCTCAGACTCCGCAAGCTGCGCTCTTGCAGCTTCGAACGCCTGCTCGAACGCCGCATCGTCAAATTGCGCCTGCACATCGTTCTGCTGGGCGCTGTTCTGCTGCATCAACCCTGGGCTCGCCATTCCGCCCATATACACAGGACTCATAGGGCTGTACATCCCGCCCATACCCATGCCCATGGCTGGCGTCCTCATATACTGCGCCTGCTGCTCAACTACCGGCGCCGCTTGCTGCTGCTGCATCATGAACTCCTCATGCCACCCGCCTCCCCACTGCTGCTGTTGCTGTTGCTGTGGCTGCTGATGGAGAAGTAACGGCGGGGGCGCACCAATGTGCAGGCGCTGGAAGTCGGAGGCCCAGGCCGGTGCGTGGTGCTGCTGGAGGGCTGGGGGCGGCGCATGCTGGAGTTGGGGTATTGACCCGGCGTTCGCGGTGAACTGGTCGAATTCGCTGTCGAGCGCGCGCTTTTGCTGTTGCGTGCGGAAGGGCTAGTGGGGGTGTCAGATAGATTGCCAGAGGTAAGGAAGAGGGTTTGACGGTCAAGGACTAACCTGGGATGAAGAGGCGGGCGTGTGGACTCGGTCCTGTTGCAGGGAGCGGTCGGCTGTTGTGTGGTTCTTGAGCGAGGAGAGCGCGTTCGTGGGACCGCACATTGAGGAGGCCATGGTTACGGTATGTTTCTGGGTAGTTGGCGAGAGCGTAGATAGGCAGGCAGGTGGGCTCTTTCTAGTTATGTAGCTGTAGATATCCAAAGGCAGAAGAGGGAGAGAGGTTGTGGGTATTTCTGTCTGTCTGTCTGTCTGGCTGTTGAAGGATAGTGGCGGGGATACTACGGGTACCTCTAGCTTTAGGGCCTGTCAACCTGCATTTGGCCCAACCGAGGCTCGGAAGGGGCAGCGGGAGTCACAAGGGAATCACCTGGAGCGCTTTCTTGGGGCCGAGTGAGACGGCCAGGCTGATCTGAATTGTTCTACTCTTGGTAAACAACGAGGGATTAATGACGTGAGAGAGGGCACACGGCAGAGAGTATCTCTGAGCATCAAGCTCTGTCGGCAGCTCTTGGGCTTGATGCTCATCCCACTTTGTTGATCGTGAACTCTAACCTGCAACCATCTCTACTCTACTCGACCAGGGACACAGAGCACCAGTGCTACATCTACGGGTATCTGTAGATGCTGCGGACGTCAGTAGATGTAACCTGGTAACTGGACGAGCTGTGTTTCACGAGCATTTGTAACAATACCATGTCTCAGTGTGCTCGTTCACGATGCTCATGAATCTCAGTGAGATCAAGTGAGGCTCGTGATGATGATGTCCAACCACATGTCTCACGCTGCACAACGACGTAATCCAGTCCACCCCACCATAACCCAAATATACACCCACTACACTTTTATACAATACTGCTATTATTTACTGCTATAGATATTTACTACATACTACCAGCAAACCAGACAGATGCCTCCCTCAATAACCATCCTCCCGCTTGGTACTGCCTCCGCCGTTCCCTCCCTCACGCGCAACCATTCTTCCCTCGCTGTGATCCTCCCCTCCTCCTCCACCCTCATCTTCGACGTCGGCGAAGGCACCCAGCACCGCATCCAGCGCTTCCCTCTCAAGCTCAACAAGGTCGAAAAGATCTTCATTACCCACCTCCACGGCGACCACGTCTTCGGTCTATGCCCTCTCCTCGCAACCCTCATGAACGGCGCCGGCGGTACCGCCGATCCCGACGCTGACCCACGTACCCACGACGCCGACGCTCCACCCACAAAGCCCAGAATCGAGATCTACGGCCCCAAGGGCCTCCGCGAGTACATCCGCGCCGGCCTGACGCTCACATACACGCACCTTGGCGACTGGTACGTCGTGCACGAGCTCCACTTCCCTCACGATGCCCCGTCAGACCCCACGGAGCACTGCTACCTCAAGGAGCATCCATCAGGAACCAACATCCCGCAGGACCCGCAGGGCTTCTGGCGCGACTTCGCAGCGTGGACGCACCCCGCACACGGCAATGTCGAGTTCACGATCTCGGCCGCGGAGATCAAGCACTCTGTGCCCAGTGTTGGATACGTGCTGACAGAGTCGCCGCGGCCAGGAAAGATCCCGCGGGACTATGCCGCGAGGATAAGCAAGCACAAGGAGGCGCTGCAGCGCAGCGGCCATGAGAATCCAATGAAGTTTCTGGGGCTGCTGCAGGCGTGGGATTGTCCTGAGGATGCGGCGCTGGAGCTGCCGGACGGGACGAGGCTTACGAAGCCGCCGAGGGTGAGGGGACGGAAGATCACGGTGTTGGGGGACACGTGTGATCCGAGCCCGATTATACCACTAGCAGAGTATAGTGATGTGCTGGTGCATGAGGCGACGAATGCCTTCCTACCCGGGCTGGACCCGGCCACGAAGGGGACGGAGACTTATGAGGCGGTGGAGGAGCGGACAAAGTCGCGCGGCCATTCGACGCCGGAGATGGCGGGCCGGTTTGCTCATGCTATTAAGTTGGGAGAGGCGTCGGGGACAGAGAGTAGAGAGGGATTGCTGATATTGAACCATTTTAGCTCTAGGTATAAAGATGACGATGCGGATGGGCCGGATGGCGCTGCGAAGAAGATCATGGTGAGGATTGGAGTGTGCGCTATGGGCTCTTGGATGACAGCTACGGGGTCGAGTGAAGGCCTTAGAGTGACTTGTGCGAGAGATGGTGTACCTATTGAGGTGAAGGGTTAGTTCGTGTGCCGGGGATAAAAAGTCAATGATTGTGCGCCCTGGACTGTGATTGGCCATGGCGATAACGTTTCTGCACTTGACATGCATGATGCACAGATGAAAAAATAGTAGAATAGGTAATAGATATCCAGAAAATAAATTGGAAAGTTTACTAGAAATATTTAAGTGCGACACATTATGGTATTCTACTCTTTTGGCCATATCATTAGACTAGAAGACTCGTTGAGAATCTAGCTATTTGGATACATGTAGTTCTCAGCGTCTTGACACGGCCACTGCTATCTCTCTATATACCTGCCCCAAAGCTATCATCGTAGCCAAAATATCCAGTACCTCATGACACACATATATCCCCATAACGGGTATGGCATCATTCTAGATCTTGATTTTAAGTACAATTTATAGCATCTTAACCGATTCTTACTGAGAGCGTTCAGCTACGAGACCACTCTGCGGCCGGACTATTGACGCAACCGGCCGAAGCATTAAGAGGGGTAGTCGTACCGTATTGCTACTATGGGCCGGGTGGCTGTAGTAGACGCCTTCACTGGGGTATGGTGCTCACGGGGGTATGGTGCAACAACTAAGAACGACAAAAATGGGCACAAAAAATACGAGGAATATCAGCAAATAAAGCTTATAGATACAATTCCCTGTGCAAAATAAGGACTTCTATTGATTTTTCTCGAATTCTCCATGCTCATTTTTGACGTTCTTAGTTGTTGCACCATACCCCCGTGAGCACCATACCCCCGTGAAGGCGTCTACTCTATAGGGCATGTAAAGTAGACTATGAGAGGGCGGGATCGTTCGGGAACGCGGGTTTGGCAATATCGAGCCCAAGGTTTTGAAGTTGACCTTTGAAGTTTGGGCCCTATCTACTGATGTTTGTGAGCATAGCTATGGCGCTAGCCAATATCCCCGGGCTGGGCATATACATGTAGTAATATAATTATGAAAATAAATGGGCCTTTGATATCACCCATTCGCCCTAGCAGATTGCTGTGTCGTAGGTATCTTCGCGAACAAGCGACTATCACTACGACTGGGGTTTAAACTCTGGGATGGAAATGGTAAGAATGACTACCATGTGCTAGTTCTTTAAAAGGGGATGTGCGTATAATGGGGAAAGACAGTTAAGAGCTGGCTGACCGGACCGGCACAAACACTCTAGGACCGGATTGGTTTCGTGAGTAGAACGCTTACATGTTGTTGTTGAGCGTTCGTGGATGAGTAGTTAGCCCCGCGCTTACTCTTGACATTTGGAGACTTAGTCATAAATTATCACTCGGGAGCGGGTGAATCATGCATGGGCAACAAAACTGTGGAAGTGCTTTGAGTAACGTTGAATGAGATGCGGGGGAGCATTTAAGAATATGTAGTACACCGCATGGTACTGACGGGAGCGGTTCTTGAGGTGCTTTGCATTTTGCACATAGGTGATATCTTCAATAGTATATGGTAGGTTCGTGCTAACCAACAAAAACCTAGGAATATCTACTATACTAGAAAAGAATATGGTCTGAAAAAGTTTCGCTATACCCTAGTCCTACATCCGGCCCTGACAATGGGGGAGAAAGGGGGGGGGGGACCCAAATAATGGGCGAGAAGCCAAGATAACGGTTCAAGCTGCAATCACAGGGCCAGCCAGAGATCTGCTCGATATAACACCTAACCCACGAGGCCTCCTCAAGAGGGCCACCAAGCTCCAGAGAAAAAAGTCAACAAATTTAATTAAACACAAAAAGTCTTGCTGACGAATATGCTTTTCAGGGGAGTTAGTGCCATTTATTACACATAACGCCAGTATAGACTCCCACCCCTCGGGATTGAACCCATGACCTACTGATGGTCATGGGGACTCAACCCACTCGGTGTCCTCTGTTGACGAGGCGTCTACCACTAGAGTAGACCACGCTCGCCCCACAATTGTCAGTGGCCGGGAAGTAATACTTAAGGGAGCGAGGGCAAAGCGGCACCTAGCACTTCCATGGCAATCTATCACGACCTAGATGCACTTCATCATGACCTACTGGCCACCCTTTGTTTTTTTTGAGCTCCCCAGATGACTGGATACGCAAGGAAAGAGTAAGAAATACTATAGCTATAACCGGGTATCAAACATGCGGGATAGCTGGTCAAGTGGCCTAGCGTATTATCTAATACATTCTAATTGCCCATATTCTCAAATATTCCATATCTGACAGGCCTGCATAATACATGCCAGATATATAATCTAATATCTATCAAAATATAGTGAGATGGAATTAGACGGGATGGAATTTGGCTTGTACATGAGAGTTACGTATAAAATCCGATATGTGGTGGCCCTAGTGGGATAGCAAGAGCCTTTAATACAGGCTGGATTCTGGTTTCATTGATTTTACTGCTACGGTACATTCAATAGTCAAATTCCCGCTATTTTCCAAATCATGAAGTGATGTAAATGATGGGACGAGAAAGTAATGTGATTGTATCTTCGGCTTCTTGCAGATCTCGTACAGCTTCCCATGAAAAGAAAGCTGCTCGCAGGGGATGAGCACTAGACTAAATGTATGCTTAGGAAAGCGTACACGTCCGCTGCCCCAAGCTCACCTGTTACGGCTGCTGTGACATACCTCTAAATTAGGGCACCCAAAATCTAGGCTAAGGGTGTGGGTGCATGCCTCTACGTATGTAAATGTCGCTTCTTCTCATCCCCAGACATCAAACCACGATACTATCGACTTCTCACAACAAGACAGACAATCCATCTCACCACAGATTGAGCTTCATAAATAAGAGTCTTTAACCATGGACTATGAGCTCAGGCCAAATACTTGGGCCGATCCAGCTGATGAAGTTAAAGCAGTTCGTAAAGTGAGGACCCCTAAGTCTGCAAAGTCCGCAAAGTCTGGCAGGTCTGGCAAATCAACAACTTCCAGAGCTACTAGCATCAGTGAAGTAGACTCCGATACTTTTCTCTCTCGTGCCCCCACTGTCAGTGGTGAATGGAGAGAGGCTTCTAGGCCTGAAACTCGAGCCTCGAGGACTACCATTGATGGCACAATCGCAGGCCAGTCAACTGTTTCTTTCCATTCTCCACGGGAGAGGCCAAGCGGTGCCTCACCCATCTTCGAGGCTAATGGCCCAGGACGCTCAAATTTATCTCTCCGTTCTTCAATTGATAGACCCCACACCCGAGCCTCAAATATCACCGAAGCTAGCTCAAGGCATTCAACTTTGTCTTTTCGTACCGCACCTGATACTCCACAAGATAGGCCTGTAACCAGGATATTTTACGGGAATACCAGTCATACACAGTCGACTCCATCTCTGTTTACTGCAGATGAGAGAGCTACAGCCTGTCCACCCGTTCGGAACACAGTTTCCAGGCCTCCTATCTCTTGGGTAACAAATGTCCCTCCTAGTGTTAACCACTACCCACTAGAGAATAGGACTGGTTCTTTCAATTACGGAAACGCATCACCGCCATCTTCGTTCAATGACTTAGTCGATAAATACAGCAAAAGTGGCCCCTCGACCTCTGGAGGTCAGGTTAAATATCGCCTTGGGCCACCAAGGCCACAAAGTCAAGTGAATGACCGCCGGGCCTACACACCATCTGGGTCGAGCTTTAGAACCCAGAACCGCTCTGAGAGCGTTTCATTTTCCCGGAATTCGGAATGGGGGGCCTCGGACCGTTCCGTTTATATCAATCCAAATCTTTACTTGAGCGACCCTGATATGTTAGGACTAGGTCCTGACGGCTACGAGGGCCCTGATGGGTTTCTAAGGGATAATGACGCTGATAGGGCTGAGAGAGCTGGATTTGAGCCTGATTGTAAGTTCCCTATTATCGATGCTATAATTGCTGGTGTTTCAAGAATATCGATTATTGATACTATTTTCTTCTATAGCGCATTTCAGTTTGCCTTTGAGGCGTCATCCTGGATTCGATGAGAAGTTCTTTGGCCCCAGAAATACCAATCTTCGTCATATTGCTGTGAAGACAAATACTCATTTGTCAATGCCAGTTGAACCAGATGACCCTGTAAGTTAACTGTTTGATATCAAGCTACCATGTCCCGCGCTAACAGAAAGTCTTAGAACATACAAATATGGGGATCGGAAGATGATGTCATTCTAGCTAAAAGGGATCTCATGGCCTTGATGGACCACATTCACACCGATATCCAAGAGAATACGGTCCGTTATGGCGGCACCTGGGCGAAGGTCAATGCAGTTCCCAGTGCTCGGAAACTAGCTCACCTTGAAAGACTTGCTCAGGAGTCAGCCATACGTAAGAAATTTCGTAAGCCACCTGCCGAGGGCGAAAAGTTCGAGGCAGTTGGCGTATTTCTCTGGCCGGCCCAGGAAATTAACCCACAATTCTGCCTCGGCATGAACTTTGAAGCTCTTGATAACATCAGGTTTCATTGCGAGGTTTATATCATTTTCTCTCGCGCCAAGAATATGTTCCGTATTCTTGGACATAATCCAGGCAAAGTCAACGAGGCTTTGAACAGGGTCTTTGGTGCCTTTTGTGAGATAACATCAAAAAATCGAAGGCCAAATAAGAGATTTTTAGTCCATCCACCATCAACTCAGCTCCCTGGTACTGGTGTCCGTATCGTAAAGAAGCATAATTTGGAAGGTCGTCAAGTTACCATCAAGCATGCTCCAAAGGGCGTTGGCATTCAAGTTTTCCTTACTGGAGCCGCTCCTACGCAAGGATATTTGAGAGAGTGGAAACTCAAAAGACGGAGGATAAAGGGAGCAAATTACAGGTACCTACAGGAAGTAATCCAAGAAGGCCTAAAGGATATCTACTACTTCAGAGGATATTCAACAATGAAGATTCACTTCGGAACATTATTGCTCTTTGGGTATAAAAAGCCAAAAGGTGGACTCTTCGAGTTGATGGATTTTTGCGATATGATTGGTAATTCTCAAACATCCGGTGAGATTGTTAGATAGTAAGTTTATTTCCTAAGCCATAATCGACGAGTACTGACCGATTTTATAGCATCGGAGAGGAATATGTTGCCAAAGCGATCATAGAAGAATGTGATACTCGTACAGACCTCTTCGGTCCGGCAGATAATAAAATACTCAGTCTTGTAGACATTTATGAGGAAGGCCCAAACCCCAATATCCCCAGGCAGCCACCGCTTTCTGTCAAAGTCGAACCCGCATATTTTGCGACATTTGAAATCAAGATGTACGACGATTCAGGTCAAACCAACGATATTCGCCTCGAGGTTAAGTTTGAACTCATTTTAGGGGACCACCCCAGTGATATGACCAACGAGGTTGGAGAGGTTTGGAAAATTGGAGCGAGAAGATGGCTTCATGTACGCAAGAACCTTACTGGTGGTGAACGATCTAGAAGCACATTTTCGCACCACAGGGGACCTGTTGACGTCAAAGTTTTCGATCTGGAAAGAGATATATCCTGGCAAATAGAACTCATTACATACGACTACTATAAAGACACCGATATTTACCCCATCTTTTCTGAGTTTGTGCGAAAGGTCAGGCTTGAGGAAATTCCTGACGAATCTGATCCAATCGGCCCTCCATTACCGAGTAGGCCGGACCTCAGAAAAACCGTCAAGAGAATTAAATACGTTAATTTACCTGGAATGAGTGTCGAAACAGTGATAATGAAGACTAAATACCGTTACTATATCAAGGGAACCCCATATCTCTTCGAAACCACCAAATACGAGCATTTTGATACGCAGCACGTTAATCAACTTTATCCCGATGGTATTGCGATCTCTTGGAAGGGTGTCAAGACCAACCATGACACTCGCTGGGGTTGCTGCCTTGTCAACACAGAAGTTAACGAAGCCTTCTCGAAGCAAAAAGGATTAGATATCGGTTGTGTTGCTGACTGGGACCCTGATGTTTTCAGTGTCTTTCAAAGTTCTGGTATTGGTGGGTTTGAACATCCAGCTTGGACCAGGGATAGCAATGTTCAGAGAGCTGGGAAAGATGATCCTTGGCAGGGTGATGGATTCAAGGAAATGATTTGCAGGATCGAAGAATGCGCAAGATTAATCGCTAGGATTAGAGATGATATTCTAGCAAAGGAATTGGGGGTCGAGGATGAAAATGTCGTTGTAGATGAGAACGAAAAGGTCTCTGACGAGAACGAAAAGGTCTCTGTGGATGAGGATGAAATGCTAGACTGCCTCGACTTGGCGTACTAATGAAGGAACTTGCCAAGGATTTCATATTGGCTGACATTTTACGTTTTGTCATCTAATTTACTATGACTCCCGAAACTGTAGTAGAAATTTTAGGCATCTAACCTTCCTAAGGACTGTTTTTATCTTCAATTTGTAGACTTAGACTAGTGCGCCGACCTGACGTTAGAGTCGATGTCGTGATGCAAGCCAAGAAATGCGGCTCTAGCCACCGGCGGCCCATGCCGAATTTCTCGGCAAAGCTTCGTAGGACGTCGCCCAAGAAATTGGAGCTCCCTCCCTGTCCATTCCAGAATTTATTAATCATGCTTACGACCATCCATCAATCCATCCACTACTCACCTCCAATTAAATAAAGGAAACAATCATGCGAGGGCATACGTCCTCCTTTTCCCCAAAGCACCCCGTTTCCACCACTAGATAAGGGAGAGTAAGGCGCGGATAAGCGAATTCAAGGAATTATTGCACGCAGGGATCGGGATAAATGAGCACAGGTGAGCGTACGCGCGTCCCTTGCGCCGCCGGGAAGGGAGGGAAAAAATGAACATAGGTCGGAATATAGTCCTAGTCTTGTGGACATACATGTACTTACGTAGAGAGGCTGTAGGCGCTGGCTATATGAGGACGTAGGTAGGTTAGTAGTAGCAATCTAGCTCGTTTGCCCTAAATGCACTACGTATCAAACTATTATTACGGGCGTGGGGGGTACCAGAGGGGGAGGCGGACAGTTATATGTTATAAGAGCTTCCCCTACGCAGCCCTGGCTGTCATTTCATACTGTAATGTGCTGAGCCCGTCTTCTTTTCTTCAGGATGCTGGTACAACAAGCCATCCTTCCGCTGCTGCTCAGTACGGCAGCAGTATCTGCGTCTGCATCGTCTCAGATACCTCTTGGAGAAGTATCAGTAGGAGAGAAAGAATCAAACCCCAATGACACCGAACCCGATGTTTCGCCCTTCGTCTTCACGTCCCTCCAGGGCCTGATGCGACAATGGCAGAATGTCTTCGCACCCACGGGACACACAATAATCCCCGGTACTATTCCTGCACACACCCTACTGTACCATGCCAGGCGTGACATGGAGACTCCGCCGAGTCCGGAGTGGTTCGCGTTCGATATGTAGGCATTTTCTTTCTCTTTTCTTGGCTGTTTTAGTGAGGTGAGTGATAACTGATGAGTGGTGATGGTTAGTGAGATGTCGTATGGGATTATTGCGCCGTTTGGAGACTGCATTATGAATACGTATACCTCAACACGACCGATTAAGGTGTTATACTTCGACGGCATGAGTGCTGCGCTGGGAGGTGAGGGAACGCTGGATAGTCAGAATGTGTTCCTGTATGGGAAGGTTGTGGACGATGATTGGGGTCACAGGATGGAGGGTGATGAGCATGGCCCAGGAGGCCCAGGAGGCCCAGGAAGACCTGGGGGACCGTTGTATGGGGAGTATAAACGGGGGAAGGAACTTTGCGAGTGGGCTAATGGTCTGGGTGAAGGTGTGGTTGAGGGGTTCGTGAGGATGAACTCAGGATTGTAAGTTTGCCCTATCTTATCTATATACTGGCCTTAGGGAGTTTGACTTATCGATATTTTTAGTGAGCTACTTTGGTGTGATTTCGAGTCTGAGTCTATTGAGTTGGTATCGAGACTCAACGTCACCGTGCCAACTTCCGAAAAAGTGACGGTCTTCGAGTTCGAGGAAAACTTCGAAGAGTTCGAGGAAGTTTCCGAAGAGTTCGAGGAAGTTTCCGAAGAGTTCGATGACAGTGAGAGCGAATATGAACACCACTGTCCACCGCCGCCGCCTGATCATTGCCCGCCCCCGCATAAACACGAAGGGGACCACCACCATAACAGCCCGCCGCCGAGAGACGGGCATAGGCGCCCACCACCTCGGGGAGAGCACCCACCGCCTCCAGATTGCCATCACGGGCCTCCAGACTGCCATCATCCGCCGCCAAGAGGCGGTCATGGACCGCCAAAAGGAGAGCACCCACCTCCTCCAGATTGTCACCATGGTCCTTCAAGGGGAGAGCACCCATCCCCACCTCCAGAATGCCACCCACCACCACCAAAACATGGTAAAAGACCACCAAAGGGAGAATGTCCTCCTCCACCGCCTCCAGATTGCCATCATAGTCCCCCAAGAGGAGATCATCCTCCCCCAGATCACCATGGTGGACATGGACCGGATAGATGCCCACCGCCGCCACATTGCTCGCATAGAGACCATCCGCCACATGGACCGCCGAAGGGAAACTGCTCTCATCCCCCACCTCCAGGCTGCCATCATCCGCACGGCCCACCGCCCTGGAGAGACTGGAAATCAATAATCAGGAAGTTTTTGGGACGGTTCTTGCCTGGGCACGGACATCACGGAGATCATGGGCACCACTCACCATGCAAGCCTCCGCATAAGGGAAAGCATCCACATTCTCCATGCCATAGACCACCACCTGGAAGACACCACCCACCTCCAGGCCATGGCGGGGACCGACCAGGATGCCACCACCCACCACCCCCACACCGTTGCCATCCGCCACCGCCGCACCACTGCCCGCCGCACCACTGCCCGCCGCCCGACGGCGACAAGCCTCCACCAGATCATCCCCCACCTTACTACGGCGAGCCACCTAACGGTAGCCACCCTCACCATCCTCCTGGCCAGCGCTCCCCCTTCGCCCTTGAATCACGCTGGGAGTGGGTCCGCAGCGCAACATGGCACTACACAAGCCCCGAGGGCCGCGTCAAGCTTGATTACTGCCGCATGACCTCCTACTACAATGTCTCGCACCCCTCAGGTGTGAAGCGCTTTCATAGACTTACAGCTATTACGCCAGAGCAGGCAGAGGCCGTCAAGACGGAGGTTGTAAATAACCTTCTTAACAAGGACGTATACTGTACGGGTATTGATTGGAGGGAGCTTGCGGACGGTATTGCAAGACGATACTTAGAGAGGATCATAGAACTGCGGGAACTGTTACTCATGAGGCCGACCCCAGAAATGTCCAAGAAAGCGCGCGGGCTAAGCCATGCGATTATCATGCCCTTCCTACAAGTCAGTGATGAGAGCACGGAAGCGGCCATGGAGCGGTGTGTGAAGGAGTATACAGGCCGCATTGACCTCTCCCGCATCGGCAACTCGGAAAGGATGCTGGTTGGTGCCGTAGAGGGCGTCATGCAGGGCATCTGTAAGCTTGCTTTCGGTGTCTACGAGGACTTCTCTGGTTCCATTGACAAAGAGATTGTAGTGAAGGCCAGAGAGAACATAGAAGAGCTGGTAGCCTGGGTAGACTGGGCGGGCTGGCACAGGTGTGAAGAGTCCTGTGGATGGAATGAGGTATGCGCGGTACCATTGTGGCCAATTCTGGGGACGCCCTGGAGGAAGGGTGCGGATGACGAATTGTTGGCCAGGCCTAGATGCGTGAGCATTGAGTTCATGGAGACGGGTAATGGAGGGTGGGGGCCAGGAAGGCCACCGGATTAAATAATCTTGTCTTTGTTTTGTTTATGTTTGTTTATTTTTGATGCGGGGGGCCGGGACGCTCTTTGGAATAGGTTTTCCCTTTGACATGTATGTACTTCGTTAGCTGGTTATTTCTTGGAATATGACTTTCATTATGGGGATAAAAATATCGGAACTTACCAAAATCTTCGTTGCCCGTAGCATGTGAAACTCGCACCAGAATTACGAGGTATATGTAGATTGGGGATGAGTTGAGGCGGTGCCAGAGCTAGAGGTTCTACCATCTCGCTCCTAGTTATTGAGATTGCAACTACTATTTTTTAGCTAGCAAATTCGGATTGCCTGCAGGTTCGGGATTGGGGAACGCAGAGAACTCAGTCCTCTAAACTACCAAGAGCGGGTCCCCCAAAACAACAGTTCTAAGGACTTCATTCTCTGCGTTCCCCAGATCGCGAACCTGCAAGCAATCCGAATTTTCTAGTAATACCATTGCAACTAATACCCGCCTTCCAAATCAAGGTCTTGCCAAGGCCGAGTGACCGCTTGTGAACACCTAGTGGGTAGATGACCTCATGAAGTCTGCACATGGTGGATGTAGATACCGTAGTGAAAATTAATATTTATCATCTACTTGTTTAGTGCCCGCTATAACTCCAGGTATGAGTGTCTCTGTGTGGATGGTTCTGGTGTGAAAACTCGCGAAGCTTGCTTAGGCCGGGGAGACTATATATGGCTATGACGACAAGTTCAAATCAGGTTACATATAATCAAAAGGTGAATGAAGGTTTTGGCGGAGGGGCATATCGTACCGCAGACAGATGTTCTTGACACTGTAATAGCCCGCACAAATCTGGGAGCTTGAAATGATAAACAAGCATGGCATCGATACTTTGACTCTCCATGGTTACAAGAGCATGGCCATCTCTAAAATCTCAGGACTGCATAAAACTCAAGACTTAGCCTAAGCTTCCGCTGGCCAAGACAGCCCCACTTCTTTTTTCCCCTTCCTTTCTTTTCTTCTCATCACACCCAAATCTTCCAAAACCCCGCTCCGCATGCTCACGTTGCCAGAGGGACAGAATCATACCCTCACGCCCCCGCCCTATTTCCTTGCTCCTGTTGATTTGGATTTAGGCCGAGGAATCGAAAGGGCTTGTGTCCTGCAAGGTTGCATGCAATTAATGAATTAAACAAAAAAAAACAAAGGGCTTGTGTCGGAGCCGCCCCCCATCACCCTCTCATCCCAATTAGCCACGACGAGGGACAAGAGGATACACAGTAGCCTGGAAAAGTGTGCGGAAGAGTGGTCTAGTGGAATCTACGAAGGAGAAGTACTTACTACTGGCTGGGTAGGGGATATGAGCCTGGGAAGCTCTCTTTAAACTGCCTTGCCCCTGGTATTTCTTCTGAGTCCTTTTCGTCTCACTCAGAGGCTTGGTACGTAGATAGGCCTAAATACGAGGGGGAATATTTATATTTGTTTCTCTATCCACCAAGCTGTAAGTTGGCACGGGAGCGACCGGTTCATCAAGCCCATATAAACTGAATGGATCAACCTGTTCACCATGCTGAGAACTGTGCCTCTCCGTTCACCAAGCTCCCCGATATAGTAAGTGGACTTGCCAGTGCAGTCGTCGATGTTAATTCCAACCACGGTCCAAAATAGGACGATATCGGCAGTGGCGGTGCCGGTGCTGGTGACGGTGACGACTGGCCGAGGAATCCTCTCTTACCAAGCAGACGAGCTGTCCAGCCAGTTATATACCACCCAAGCCTCATTGACAACATCGTGGCGTGGTCGAGGGGTAATAGCCTCTACTACGTTGCATGACATCTCCGGTTCAACCCGGGATGGAAGCAGTGATGAGAATGCCCAATATGGTAGCGACGCTCTTGAGGGATGATACTCATCACATAAGTCTTTTGTCTCTCAGTATTTCTTCTTTTTTCTGCTACCTCAGAGCATACTATCGCTAGTAATAATGGTCCACTATAGAGTTCGATAAGGTTGGCGAGGGTGGATTGCGTGCCGCGATGTCCTGGGGGCACGAAACCTGGGGACGGGTACTGGAGAACGTAAATCATGGAATATCACTCGCTCGATTGCCAAGGAACTAGAACCTGAGACGGTAGGCGCAGGACCTGGGTACACTACCGGCACTATCACTACCACCGTGACGATGGCCTAGTGTGGTCCACGAGGACCAGTGTATTTATATCCTTCGCTTGAGGACAGACAAGGACAGAGGCCAACGAGAATGAGGTATCTCGAGGATATCCTCAAACATCGCCTCGAGCCTCCTCGTGGACCACACTGGATCATACTGCTTTTGCTTGACCGTCAATCTATAATATATATTTGACATATCTCATTACTTCCACGAGACCTAGTCAAATTTAGGAGGCTACATCTCTCATGTCGAAGGTGAAATTCTACCCTAGCTACCTTTGAATTTTATCCCCTCGGTCGTAGTGGAGTTCCTATATACTCGCGCGTTAATTAAAGGTCGGAATTTTGTGTGGGGGTTTGGTTGCAACGACTTCTGACCTTTTAATTGACGAGCGAGTATATTAACGGTGGAAAATCAAAATATGCCGACATTCACGTACGCTATGTTTACCGCTAATTGCTTCAAAGATGAAGAGCTTGCTACTGAACGTCTCTGTGCACTCAAACGTTTGTCACAGGCCTTTCTGAACTCTTGGTTGAAAAAACCCGAAGAAATTTTTGGTCCAAAAGGACTATAATATTGGTTGTCGATACGACTCAGGGGATAAATCTGTATGAGCCTTCTTTATCTAAAAACAAAGCGAATTTGTATCGCAGCCCCTTGGTCAACAGAACACATATATCAAGTACTGACTTCACCGAATATACCTAGTAGGGGTCTCTTGGTGAGAGGCTCAACCGTTTACCAATCCTACCCCGCTGGCTGGCGGGGCGCTCTGTAACTTGATGGATAGAGCCAGTGGGGCGACTTTTCAGGCGGAGTAGAATACTTGTTATGGATATGTAGATTGAAACGGTGTTTTTTTGGTGGCTGCTACCTCGTCTATGCAGATACAATGTGCGTATACTTTACCCACGTTTATACAATTGAGATAACTCGCTGCTGCACTCTCTGAGCTTATGGCTACATGTAAATTTCCAGCGTGCGATCCCTCCGTACACAAGGACGCTCGAGACTAGTAAAGGTGCCTTTTTTGGGGCCAGATATTATGTACTGCCCTGTTCTAGCAAAGTGAGGCGATGCCCCAACGCGCACGAGGATATAGAAGTAACAATGGACTATCGCCGGGGTAATGGAATTCGTTCCTAAATACGCAAGTGCATCAGAAAAAGGTTCTACCAGGAGAAGAGATATTATTAAAGCCATCTTGATCATGCACAGGCTGACACAAGTGTGGACAGACAAATTGCAAGATATCCAAGTCTGGTTCCTACGACATGTATGGGAATTTAGCCAGGGGCTGGTTTCTCATCCTGGATATATAGAGTACCACCGAAATGATTGCCCTGGCCTTAGCTTTTAGCCCAGTTGAGTCTTTAGCACATAGCCTTTGACATGAACCTTTAGCTGTTGGTAGAAGGCTAGCGCTAGGCACATGCTTTTTCAACAGGCAGTACAGATTTGAGCTAGCCCTCTCAGGAATAGACCAGACCAGGTCAGGCCCTCTATATTTTTCAATGGACTAGGCCAACCGGTCTATAGAACCTTTGTAGCCTGAGCTATCTATGTATACATACAGAGATAAGTTGTTCTGCTTGATGGCACAGGAATCATTAGTCGGTGGTAGTTGGGATATACCACCTCTGTGTTGCTATCGGAGGAAGCAGAAGTTCTCTCATAGCCGTACCTAGGCTGTACACAGACTTTGTCTTTTAGTCTGAGCTAAATAATATAGGTGAGCTGTATCAGCTAAAATATTCCGGTTCGGCGAATATTTATGTCCGGATAGCCCATTGGAAAGCTAGGCTGGGAATAATGTTTCTTAGAGAGGGTCTTTATCCATAGTCACACTTTACTTCAAAGTCAAAAAGCTTGATGTGTTGAAACTGTATCACCAAAGATTATAAGTTTACCTACGGCCTACCCCTGGCCTGGGCCGACTAGTCGCTGAACATGAAAGGTCTCATATATTCTAGATGTGCTAGCGCAGGAACACAAAAGGTTTCATCAACCAAAGTTTTGAATTAGAAAAAATTGTAATGAGGAGATTCTGAGTTCAATAGACACATAAGGTTGGAGCCAACTAATACTGTATGGTACACAACACACGGAAATTGCCGGCTGATAATAACCGAGTGATTTCCCGTGATCTATGGCCTGACAGGCACAACCTGGATGTGTGAATATAAATCACGGGGTTATACTTATATCACTTATTCATCAAAGTTATTGTACGATAAATATTGGCAACAAACACATGGAGTAATGCCACGGGATTTGCATCGTTTCAAAATAAAACCTCCGATTCGCAAGACTCCTGTATTTCTGTTTCAACCAGTAAGCCCAAAATCTTACTGGTCGTCAGCAGTATGCACTGAGTATTAGGGTAGAATTGCGTTCTCGCTAGTTGGATACTTACCTTTTCTCCGGGTACCTGGGTGGGAGGAGGGAAAACAAATATGATCCATCTCCTTAATCTTCACTCATCTTCATCATTTGAAACTCGGGTCGAAACCCGCACTTCGTCATGATAATCTCCAAGGTCGCCACGAATAACCTTTCTGAGGAATTATGAGTGTCCAGATGGCAGTTCTGTATGCAAAGCAGATTTATCCTGGCACATGGCACCGGTAGAACACTCCTTGGACGCTATGCGGATCATAAAATTTGACAGCTCGTAAATGATACTCTACCATACCACCATACTCCCCAGTTCTCCCCACAAACCGGACAGCGATTTTAGCCAGAGATGAAAAATAAGCGGGATCGGAACCACGGGTGTCTAACCGGGGTTTCAGAGATTAGAAATAGAAACAAGCAAGGAAAAATCGACCCCGGATCCCCATGAGCCAAGATGTGACGGTAAAGATGTGACAAGCACCGTGGGCGACTTAAAAAGCAATTATTCGTACATCAAGCCATTTAATCAGGGGTAGTCCGCAGAGATGATCTCCTCGGATATGGGTTAAACGATGCTGACATGGTCGCGTCACCGTGGCCGATTGAGCAGAAAAATGGCAAATAGACGTGTAGAGATGCGCCGTTCTGGACCTCTTAGTACGAGCAAGTGTAAGCCATAGCCAACTATATTCAGGCAAATATCAGATTGTTTTGATGCGGCTTCAATTTGGTAGCTAGAGGGGTTGGAGCCTGATAATGATACTGCGTCAAATCGCAACACTGCAGCTGAGTGGTTGGTCCCAGAGCTGTTTCGAAAAGCTGCAGCGTCTCTTACCGTATTTTCCATGAACACAGAGACTTTTAAACAATGATGATGATATATTAATGTGATTCGGGTTTGGAAAGATACAATTAATGGAGCGGGCATGAATTGGCCAATTCGGGCGGTGGTGGTCGTTGGTGATCTGGGAAAAAGTACCAGATGAGGTTGGTGTTTGAAAACGTGGCCAAGAATTAGTACGAATGTAACATCACGTAACCAGACTAAGTTGAGTCTAGAGAGTTAATTAGATGGCCCAACTCTAATAACGTTGGGGTAACGTAGAGTAATACAAGCTTTCTGTCAACTCACAGACCATCACTCGAGTCTTTTGTTTTTGTTTTTTGCTTCCCCGCGACATAAATACATGTGATAGACGCTAAAGCATCTCACTTCGATCGTAGTCGTTTGTATTGCAATGCTTAGTTCGTTTCCTAGACCTGCACCAGGTCTCAAGCGAAGATAGATGTAGATCTTTTATTTCAATAAGTCGTAGGGTACATGAACGAATTAAATAAACGGCCAGTTAAAGACAAATTGTTGTGGGATTAGAATATTATTTGTATCTTACTTGATTTACAATCAGAATTCGCAAACAAAAATTGTTTGGAAGAACTGTAGCCTACTCGCGCGATCAACGTAAGATATTGTCTTTCTGTGGCTTGTCGTGCAGTAGATCTGGCCAGCATATCGTGGCTTGAGGGCTTCGTGCATAAAGTGGCTATCTACATGTATGTAGTTCACCTCGCGAGCTCCCAAAGTAGAGTGCTCAGGTGCTCAGGGCTAACGTCAACGCAAGGGCTGTATGTACCGGTACTTCTTATGCATGCCTAGCCAGTTTTGTTCTATTCTAGCTCATACACGCTCTACTTACTCAAAAAGTCGTACTCTTCTTGCAGCCTAGTCTAGAGCCTTTCAAAGTGAACCGAACTGCCGGACATATAGCGAGATGGGTCCGAGTGCTGATTTTCGATCGAACCAACGACTGCCCGCGCGAAGGGCAATGGAGTGGTATGTCTGCTCCATGTATGTACTCCTGCATAGAATTTTCGAGGTTGACAGCAATTCTTCTTTTCTCACCGCCAGAAGCTGGGTGTGCTGTGTCACGTGCCTAGTTTTTAAGATTTTTTTGTCGGGAATCGGAATCTAAGTAAGTACTTTATGTAGGTATGTACTCTAGTTCTTTTTCCTTTTCTTTTATTTTGGGCGGCGGGGGCGGAAGTTAGCTAGAGTACAATACCGTATGGACGATTGTGTGTGAATGTCTCGGAATTATGAGTTGACGAACCAGGCCGGAAGGGTCGTGGACGGGGAGACCCGAAGGGACGGGTAAGTTGAGGTGGGTGAGTTCAGTTTGGCCGATGTGGTCTGCCCTACCTGTTCGACCTTCCGATTAATTGCCATGGTGCGATCGTGGGTGAATGGGCTTGGTGATGGTGGATGGGGGTGGATGATTGCAATTGTGGGTTGCGCGTCCTCGGTATCAATGAGCTAGATTTCCGGCACCGGTGTCACTTAAATATTATTGTGTGCGATCTCATATTGCCATTACAGCTGGCGGGGTTTCGGGGTAGCGCACGGAGAAGATGAAGTATGCCAGTGCAGAAGATGAACGGCGATGGGTGGTAGGATGTAGGTACATGTATCAATAGGAACAAAAGAAAGTTACATACATGTATGTATGTAGAGTAGATAGACGTGATTGATTGATGAATTGCGGGAGTTATGCAGGAGGTTTTTCTAACTGCAGCAACTGCGAAGGGGGGTGGGTGGGTAGAGAAGAGTTCTTGTACCTGTTTTATGAATGAGTACCTGGTGATATGTATCTTGGATAGGTGAGCGGGACTGGAAGCAAACAGGCAACCAAGTGGCCTGTCCACCGCCGCCGCGGCCGTTGTCTTGAGTAGCACGAGACGCAAAAGTGACCATTCTTGTGTGGATTGCCGTTTGAATGTGCCTGTTCTTGGGTACCATGTCTAGTTCATATTTTATCCTCGCAGGTAGAAAAGGAAGGTTGTTGGATGGTGGACGGTGTATGGTGGTCTGGTTCTCTCCTGAGTCTTTCTTCAAAGGCCAATTAGAAACGCAGTAGGATAGAGAGGGAGGTTCTAGGCGGACTGCTTGCTGTATGTACCAAAGTCTTTATCCACTTATTCCTCCCCACAAAATCTTGGCACCTAGACCTACATACACACTAGGCACTCTACACTCGCCATCCACCAGCTGCCTACATGTACTTACTGCTCTGCTGCTGCACCATACCCATCTGTCAACCAACCACTCACGGTGCCCAAAGCCGAACGCTGGCCCACTCGAACGAACAGCATCTCTCGTCCAAAACCCAATCTTCTCTCGAACTCGGGTTATTTTTTTTCCCTGTGCACTTGCCAGCGCTGTCAAATACCCGCCAACAGGGGAGAAAAAGAATCTCTCATCTATCTCTGTTGATCGCCTCGAGAGTTCCATTCAGTGAGGAGCAAAGATTCTTCTTTTAATAACCTAGTTCTTCTCCCTCTGCAACTTTATTCCTCTGCCCTTGATCATCTTCCCGCTCTTCCTTGTCCTTTCAATCTATCTCTTTATCCTCTTTCTGTTCTTACTTGATCATTATCACTATCACTATCGTCTATCGTGCTGTTGCCCGTGCGCATCCATAAACAACGCCCCTCTCCAGACCAAAGCACAACCGCCCCCTCCTATACCATACCCGTACCATAAGGTACCCTACTCGAAAGTAAAAGGAAGAATCTAGTAAAATAATACCCAAATATGCCAACACCGAATGAGACTATTACTATGACCCCTACAGTCCCCGTCGGTGACCCTTCCCGTCCTTCCCGCCTCCAGCTCGCCTGCCCTGAGCCAGAGGAACCTATCGTCTTTCGAAACTCAGCATCCCTGTCCACCCGGCGACAGCAAGATTCAACCCCGACAAACATGCCCCAGCAGCAGCTGTTGTCAAACAGTAGCTCCTCTTCATCCTCCTCTTCCTCCGATGACGAAATATTAACGACGACGACGACAGTCACGAAGGAGATGGACAGAGATGTTCCCTCCGCAGAACCATCACCTACCCTCGAGCCTAAGTTCGATCATTCACAACAGCCCGCATCTTACGGGTTGCCGCTTTCTTCGGAATCGCCATTCGTCCCGTCACTCTCATATGAGTTCTCCGCGAAACGGGTATGTTGCAACTGCATTGTGAGATATCTCTTTGTATACCGAGTGCTGATTTCGGTCCCTATAGTTACTGCCGTCTTCTTCTTGTTCCTTTCTTCGTCCTGGAAGCAAATTCTCTGGAAAGCAGACTTCCGACAGGTCTACCTATGATGTTCACGTAGAGCTTAAACACGTTGACATGAGCGAATCTTTCCTTTGCGGCTATCTCCGTATCCAAGGTGCAACCCCTCATGGCTCAATTGAATTAGGCGCCAAATTAACCTTAGAATTAAAATAGGCCTCACTGAAGACCATCCCACCCTGACAACTTACTTTGAGGGGGAGATGATTGGTGATAAATACACCTTCCAAACGCGCCGTCCCGAATGGGGCTCTAGCGAGAAGAACGACTTTCAACACTGGGCGCGGTTCCCCGCATATCGGCCACTAGCGACCAAAGCGAAGCGCTCAGATTTCACTCACAAGAACTTCGCGCAGCGGGAGCATATTTTCATGCGCTGGAAGGAGTACTTTTTGGTTCCGGACCACAGGGTGAAGCAGATCTTGGGGGCAAGCTTTGAAGGATTTTATTATATCTGCTTCAATCAGGCCTCCGGTACTGTGAATGGGATCTATTTCCATGCGAAATCCGAAAAGTTCCAGAGACTGGAGCTGAAACATGTGCCTGAGAGGTATTTCGGGGCGGTTGAGTTTCGGTGAATGAGCCACCATTACTCAACCAATGAGGAGTAAAACGATGATGGACCTTGGTTATTTATGGTATAGGTTGGTGTATCGGCATTGGGTTGCTTGCTTCGGTCGATTGCTTCTTTTTTCATTCGGACCCTTTCATGGGGTTTTTTTTTTTAGGGATGGTTGGTTGGTGTGTTGTCTTGCCTGATTGTCTTTTTGCTTGGGGACTCTTTCTTGTTTCTATTTCCTTAGGGGTTTCTCCTGTTCTTTTATTTACATTTTGGAGATCGTTTTGCATTTGTCTTCCCCACGTTTCCTTTTTCGAATCGAGGAAGAGTATTGGTTGACGATGTAACAATCTCAAGCCATTTAAGCTTTCTTTCCCCGTCTTGTTCATCTGCCTCTTTCTCGACTCCTAAGTTCTCTCCCGCCTTTCAGTATCACCCTGTACGGTAGGGGAGACTGTACATTATGCGCTTCTTACCTACCTAAAATACTGAAAGAAGAAAAAAATGACCTTCCCCCATGGACACCCCTAGGCGTTTTTGTTCATTACTAGTGTATATAATTCTTGATTCAATTCTCAAGCTTAATGTTACAGACTGGTTTTGTTTTCACTTAATTCTCAGGCATTGCTCTAGATGAGGTTGGTTATGATGGACGCCTGACTCAGCAGCCCACATCCAGTTCAAACGGCGGCAAGCAAGCGAGTTGCGAAGCGGAGAATTACCAGGTGGACCGTGCGTGAAGCAATACATTGATAATGCTGTTGGTGTGGCTGGACGGACTGTGCCTTTACCCCGCGGAGGGGGTGGATTTCTCTCTGGGCCTCGGGTCGGTTATGTGTCTCTGAGTTAGCCAAGCCATGGATATAAGAGTGAGGAGAAGGCTGAGGGATGCTCCGAGCTTTAAGTTTGATGCGTACAGTACATAAATACTTCCCGGGACAGCAGGAAATTTAATCGACAGTCGACGTAACGTAACACTACATGTACATTTATATAGAGTTGACTGGCATATAGGACTGTTCTCTTTCTTGAACTCATGAGTATTCGCTACTAGCTTGTGCCTAGTCTTTTCCTATACTATACATAAAGCCCACTCCCAGTACTACTGAGATATCATCTCTAAATAACTTGTACTGTAGGTACAGTCACTCACGGGGTGAAGGCGGATCCTGTCTGATGGCGGTCAGGGATTTGAGGCCAATAACAGAGTTAACTTTGGGACGCCAAGGGGAAATTACTGCAAACACAACCATCAGACAGGATCCGCCGTCACTAGGTGAGCGACTGTACATGTATTTACGTTGTCCCAGCTAGCCAGGGATGTCATTATATAATAATCATAGGCAGTAAACTGTGGGGTTTGACTTAGGCGCTTGGGACTATTAGTAGAAACGGCTACAAGCACTTACTTACAATTCTGGACGAGATCTTTGCAGTCAAAACAAAGGTATACATGCATGCATTGTTGCTCCAGGTAGTTCTGTGTAACACTAAGCTGAACTGAAATAGAGTGGATGCCTGAAATTTCTGGTTGGATCAAACTCTAGGCACATTCTTCCAAACTTCGTATATATTGAAGAAAGTCAGCCCGATTCAGTCCGATTCAAACAGAGCAACCATTCGTGAAATCCACATATCAACAGTACCGCTAGTCTATAGTTACCAAAATGCCGGCGCCAGCGCCCAAGAGCAATAACGCGCAGCATCAACCTCTCACGACTATTCTACGTAATATCATACTTGAATACCCAGCTGGCGGCGGTGTCCTGCGTGAGCTTTGCCAGAACGCCGACGATGCCGGTGCCACTACCATCGAGTTCGTGCTGGACACGAAGACCCACATAACCACGGACATTCTGCACCCAGATCTAGCGGAATACCAAGGGCCTGCACTGTTGGCATATAGTGATAGCATGTTTACCGAAGAAGATTTTGGTTCATTGAGCCGTATTGGTGACAGCAGGAAGGCTAGTGACATGAGCGTAACAGGGAAGTTTGGGAGGGGGTTCAATAGTGTAGGTTTTTGTTGCGCCTGCTATCATTGCCCTCAATTCTAGTTTGTACTAGTACTAAATGAACGTAACCATATTTAAATAGGTGTATAATTGGACAGATACACCCTCTATTCTCTCCGGCGGGGACCTACTTATCCTTGACCCTCATCTCACATGGTCCAAGGACGTCTCTCCACAATCGCCTGGGGGGCCCCGTTGGGACTACGTAAAAGACATTAAGAACGGGTGCGAAATGGGGAATCAACTCTCTGCCTTCTCAAGCATTATCAAGGACTTCGACAACCCATTTCTCGGGACAATAATCCGACTTCCACTTCGTACATCGCTGGAGAGTAAAATTGTTCCAGGCAAGTCCACAAGCCAGGAGGATATACTAGAGGTGTTTGAGAAGTTTGCGAAAGAGATAGTAGACAGCCTACTATTTCTAAGGAACGTGAATACTATCGTGATGCGTGTGGATTCTCCTGAAAGTGATAGCTTCTATGCAAAGGCTGTGGTAACGGCTGAAGGAAGGGACGGTGTCAACAAGGGATTTAAAGAGGTATTTGTAGAGCAGATTGAGGAGGTGTATGAGAAGGATTTCGTTATGGAAATTGCCTTAGAGACCATCAAAGGCGAGGAGAAGGCTGTGATGGCGGAGAAATTTATAATCAGTCATTATATGAAGAAAGAAGCGGAAAACAAGCAGTTGCAGGAATGGGCGAGGGAGAAGAAGCTCTTTTCCTGGGTTGCTATCGCGACACCGGTTGAGGTTTGTTCACCAGAATTGATTTCTTCTTACTTATACTGATACCACGACTATCTGCAGGCAACTATGCCATTTAACGGCCGCCTATTCAGCACCCTTCCTCTCCCAGTGCATACCAAGCACCCAGTTCACATCCACGGACTCTTCTCCGTCACACCAGACCGCTCCAACATCCATGCTGGCGGTGACCGGACTATGTCTGATACTTCTGAAACGAAGCTCGGAGCATTTTGGAATACCTGGCTCTTTCGAGAGTGCCTCCCACACGTGTGGATACGAAACATTGATTTCCTGAATGGTATGCCTGAAAGAAAACACACGGGATGGGACTTCTGGCCGGCTGGCATACAGGGTGAAGAGCAAGCCGGGCAGCTGTGGATGGGAGTTTTGAGTCTGGTTTTTCAGAGGATTGTTGAAAGAGACTTGAGATTGTTACCAACTATATGTGGGCGTGTTGGCAAAAAAAAGGAGGTTCTATTTGCATCAAATGTTGGAAAAGCCATCAGAGATGGTCTAAGTCAAGCAGGGTGCCTGGTTGTGATACCGACAGAGGACAGAAGATCCGAGTTGTCAAAGCTCAATGTCAAGGATTTGGGGTTCGAAGAGCTTACTGTGGCCACAGCTAGAGACCGTTTGTCGAAACTAAAAGATTCATTGGAAAATCTCACTCCTGAAAATAGGGGGGTTCTGCTGGACTATGCGCTATCAAGTGGAGACTATGGGACGTCCCTCGGATTCTTCCAAGCTCCTCTTCTTCCAGTCTCGAACGATAAATTTTGCAGTTTCGATCATTCAGAACAGAAACTATTTTTCCCAGTCACGATGAAGGAGACAGAGCTATTCAAGCGCTATCCTAGGATGATCGATCGTAAGAAATTGTCTCCCGAGACATATCAACAAATGAAAAAAAATATTAAGGAACTTGATAATGCAACGTGCGTATCCACCTGGACAATAGCAGAGGCAGCTTCCTACTGTAAGAACTACATTTTCACCAACCCTCGCCCCGCCCGGAACGCCAATTTTATCACTCTATCATCTCCTGAATCTAGAAAACTCGTCGAGCTTTTCTGGGACTGGATTGGAAATATAGGTAAAAATAATCACAAACAACTTTCGGCGAATCTAGCTGTGCTGGACGGGCTATGGCTTATTCCTACCATGGGGGATGGTGTTTATCATAGGATATCAACTACAGAGAGGAGATTTTCTATCTTGGATGTCTCAAATCTTGGATATATTGGCAGATTTCTGAAGGGCGCAGCATGGGACCTTCATGTACGTGATGGAACAAAGTACCCTATTTATACTGGGGAAGTGTTCTCGACTTTTACGGATACGCTGCGTGATTTGAGGTATATAGATGATTCAGAGAACGTGGAGTACCTGATTAGCTGGCTTTTGGAGAACTCAACAAATTTTGTGGACCGATTGCCTGATGAGTCGAAGGTCAAAGTTCTGGAGCACTTGGGTAGAGAGATCAAAGTGAACATGAAGTCAGAGAAGGAAAAAAAAGTGGCTAGGGAAAGGATAGGTATGCTAAGCCTTTTTAGAGAGGCAGTTCCAATAAGCGCTAGTACTGATGATGTTTCATCAAATCAGTAAGTCTCTGAAAATCATCACAGTCCATATGAGAGTATAGCTGACTAGAACTGAATAAGACCGTGGATCTCCCTGAGAGACGGCTTCACATATATCGGCATCGATGAGATCCCGGTGAAGTTAGATGCGGATCATACGAAATTTATCGATACTAGTCAATACACCGGGGGTCCCATACTCAGTATAGGGCTAATGCCTTGCCCCTCCATGGGGAAGATAATTGAGGACTTCGTTATACCGAAGATTAATACAACGAGAGATCCCCTCTTGCGAGTTCAACTGGTCACTTTTGCGCTGGCAAAATTTGAGGAATTATCGGATGAATGCAAGCAACAACTTAGTAGAACAGAGATTGTACCTGTTGACGAAGATGGAGAAGTGCAGAAGTGTCCAGCAGACGTGGTCGATAGAAGCCTCGAAGAGTACTTTTTCCCAGAGGAACTTCGGATACCATCTTCAAAATTTTATAATAAGTATATTTCAGCACTCAGAGAACTTGGGATGATATCAAAAATAGATCACAAGTTTGTGCTTGACAGGATATTGGAATATTCGCAAAAATCCCACACAACACAGGAAGTTCAAGAGAAGGCAGAAAAGCTAATCACGAATTATAAACCCCGCGAGGAGCTTCCCGAGGAACACCTAATTTGCGAATGGATTCCAGCTTCCTCTGGGGAGAAAGATGGGCTTTATAATGCTGCAGAATGCAGAGGTTTAAAGCACGAAGCCTTGGTTAAGTACGCAATGCCTGTCATGAAAATACCTGTCTCTCAGGAATGGGAGAGGGTCTTGGGCTGGGACAAACCGCTTCCAGCAAAGTATATTTTGCGGCAACTGAAGGGTGCGACAAAGGCCAGGGATAGCACAGCACTGCGATTCTTAATTACTTATGATCATAAGTTCGGCACATTAATAGAGAGCAAGAAAGATTTTATAGAAGATGAATGGGTCCCTGATACCCGTGGATTCTATCATAGAGCTTGCGATGTTTTCCCCCACGATCTTCCATACGGTGATCTTTCACCGTATTTTGGGACTCTGTCGCCGAAATTCCAGCAAAGTCCATTATGCATGTTTTTTCTTGAGAAAATGGGGATGAATAATATGCCAACGTTTCGCCAGGTATTTCCACAGTCATTTGTTCAGTGTTGTGATACGATCCGGACTAACGTTTCATCGCAGTTGAAAGAGCTCCAAGACAAGCTTGCGGATAAAGGGCCTCTCAATGATAATGATCTTAGGGTTGCGCTTTTCATTGTCAAAGAAGTAGGGGCAAGATTTGCGGAGGAGTATCTCGATGGCTTTAAAGCACCCGACAGCGAATGCTTGCTCCTCCCGTTGAAAGACCTTACTGCCGGTGATCCTGGCCCTGACGACGCAGACCAAGCAGTCCTCCACCAAGAAATCTCCCTCGAAACTATCAAACAACTCAAGATCGCGACGTTTCAGAACCGAAGCTTAGACTCTCTTGTTGATCCTAACTTTGAGTTTGCCCAGAGGGAGAGTCCTGTCACTGCTATCAGCGATACACTGAACAGATACGGAGCTGCTACCACATTTAATGAGTATCTTGCCAACGCCGAAGATTCTGGATCAGCGACGAAGATAACCTGGATTCTTGACAATTCTGAGGGTTATAGTGTAGAAAAACTGATTGACAAAGGACTAGAGAAAGCCCAGGGGCCCGCTCTGTTCTGTTTTAATGATGGCCGTGAGTCAACCTGCGAACTTCGGAGATTTTAAATTCTAACGGCCACGAAGAATTTAGTGATAAAGATTTTAGAGCTGTCATTGATATTGGGGTTGGATCGAAACGGGAGGATCAGTCGAAGATTGGGAAATTTGGGAGGGGGGCTCTGACTATGTAAAGGACTCTTTTAACATCTAAACAGCTTAAAACATTACTTACCGGGATTTAGGTATCATTGGACCTCTGTGCCAAGCTTTATTTCAGGCGATTCTTTTGTGATATTTGAGTAATACGAATCTCATTTTCGTGATAATTTTTTGCTGCTAATTCTTTGATAGTCCAGAAGGGGAATACCTGCCTTTGAACTCAGAAACGAGGAGGCGTCGAGCTGGAATGAAGTTAAAGCTTAAGGACATTCGCAAAAAATGTGATCCGCTCATATTTCTAATTTGAGAGATACATCAGAACTAATGAGTTGAAGATCCTGATCAGCTTCTGCCTTTTGAGGATATTTGTGGATTCGACAAAGAAACGACATACTTCAACGGGACAATATTCCGATTCCCTATGAGACCTCCAAATTACGAGTCAACACTGAAAAAAGGAAATATTGATTTCGGAAAAACACGGGAGTACCTCATGACCTACTATAAAGACGCGATAAACTCTTTACTCTTCCTTGGAAAGGTCAAGGAGATTTCCTTCTTTGAGAAGAATTCTAAGGAACCTGTCTGGCAAGTATCTCGGAAGGACCTGACTATTAACGCCCAAACAGAGAACATCAAGAGATTCATTATCCACTCGCAGTGTACAACAGATGAAGGCGTCCAGAGAACCGACAGAGAGTGGTGCGTGATCTCCGGCAAAAAATCTGAGGAAGACCTCGACAACGAGTTGGTAAAAGTTTCGATAGAAAATAGGCTAGAAGCAAGATATGGTCTGGCCGCATTGATGTCTCCACAATTAGAAGGTTTCCGTGGTAAAAACTACATGACTTTGCCGCTGAGAAGATCTGGCATAATGGAAATTCCGGTGCACGTGAATGCAGTAAGTAAACCCTGTTGTAGAAATTGCTTTTGTATCTCGAAGACCAAAAGTCTCCGCTCTTCTGGATAAGATACTGTGGTAGGAATTTAGTTGCTCACCTACATGGCTAACGTCTCTAATTTTTCAGAATATGGTTGTTCAAAGTAATCGAATGTTAACAACCCCACTCGAAGAATCAGAGATGGAGGAGGGTTCGGAATGGAACAAGTGGATATTGGAAGAAGGTGTTGCTAGACTGTATCTGACCTTGGTAATCTACCTGATGCAAAACCACGGCGACGCTGGATATAATTATTGGCCACCATATCCATCAGAAAACAGCGACGTTATATCAAAGACCATATCGACTGCATTTTGGAATAGACTGAGTGCGAGTCCATATCGTCTCTACCCCCCAGTTACGGCTGAGCAAAACCCTTCATCTGCCGCCGGCTCGAACGTTGAGAAATCTTTTAGGCTCAGATTTAGCGATGTCGTATTCGATCTCCTGGAGCGTGACGTTAGCAAATTTGTTGTTCCGCTTCTTCTGAGGCTAGGGGTTCATAATATTGTCTCACCGCCTTCGAAAATCAAGAGATATCTTATCGAATGCCAGGCGAAATCAATGGAATCATTGTCTTCTAGCTATTTCTTGGATCATCTCCGTCGCCATAGCAGCAAGCTACTACAAATCTGGAAAGAATTCGATCCAGAAAACGATCCAGAAAACGATAGAGGCCTAGACTTCTTCAATTCGCTGTTTTTATTTATCTTCAAAGATTTTTTCAAAGATAATATATCCATACCGCCCGCGGGGGAAGTTAAGATTCCCAATTTGAAAGGCAGTACACTCCTACCTCTCGCAGACAAAAACTTGGGTACGTTTCGTCTCAAAGTGTCTGCCGATTGCTATTTAGTAGCTCGTACTCCGCAGGAACGGAGTCTATTGGATTTCGTTCCAAAGATCTCTGTTCATCCTGACTTTGACGAGGATGTGGTCAAAAGTCTTATAACAAGTGATCTTAATATCAAATACTTCGAGTTTGCAGATATCCCTAGGCTATATCAAGAGATAAATGACAGGCAAGACAGCGAGTTCCGCATAAGATGGCTCAAAAAAATGTGGGAGTATTATGAGACATACATTTACCAGGACCCGGGGCAAGAGAAAAAATGCTTAGGCGTTCTGGGAGACTTGGAGGTGTATTTCGGAGAGCGGGTCGGCCAGAACATTGATACTGATGCTGTTTTTATTTCGCCTGCCCAATTTTCTAGCGGCTCTTTTGCGGCCGTCTTGAGGCAACAACCCGAGGATATTGGTCCCGATATCTCTAAACTCCTAAATTCGTTCCAGGGTCTTATTTTGTTGGATACATCGGCCTTTCCGAAAAAACAGTTACCTCAAGAACATATCGGAAAGTTCACAGGAGCTTTGGGTTTCAACCGACTTCTAAAATCTATCGAGATTCTTGCTCTTGAAACCCAACATTCGATTGAAGAATACATTATAGAAAGTCTTAAAAGGGACGGAATTGAGGTTCGATCTTGAGGCCTCCAATATTTGATCTCTTTTCTAAACTAACTCCGACGTTTAAGGTTTTACGGGAACTCCTTGAACCTACTATGATGACCGTGCTATTAAAGGAACAGTCCCAATCGAAGGGTTTATTGGAACAGCTCCCAATCTGGCCTGCCGAAACTCGAGATATATCCTCGTACAGGACGGCACAGACGGCGATGTTTGCTCCTGATATCGATATTCCTTTTGACGCGCTGCCTGAGAATGTCGTTTTTATCGATGCTAGCGTTGCAAAAGCTTATAGGTCTCAACTGGAGCAGCTCGGTGTCAAAAAAATGAACATCGACCAACTTCTAGCTCAAAATGTGCGCCAGGGTCAGTCAATTCAAGCAAACAAAATACAACGCTACAAAACCTTTTTGAAAGTTCTCTACCGGAATCAACCCCAACCATTTTCAAAACACCCGTTAGCTGTCAATGGAGAAAGAAATTACTGCATGGCAAATTCCTTGTATTGTGCAAAGGACAAATATTTCCGCGCAGCATTTAGAGACCTCCAGAAAACACACTTTCTCTTCCCAGCCCTACAGGACTTGACTTTCTGGCAAGATGCGGGGTTACGTAGAGATAAAACAGAGTATAATTACTTGGAATGTGTGAGATCTATCGAGCGACGGCGCAGGGAGTCATCAATACCCGAGTCTGACCAGCTGGTCACGGATGCGGAAATGATTTATGAATACTTGAAATTCGACGCCCAGGACATGGAAAGATGGGCTCCAGAAACTTGGCAGATTCTGAACGACACCCCATTCCCTGTCAAGGCACAGCTAGGCCCTTCACATCGAGTATCTCAAATGAGACAGATCCGTGGGAACAGCCGTTTTGCTAAATTCAGGAAAGCTGTTATCCAAGAGCATGAGAATATTGCATGGAGTCAGTGTCCAATTTTAAGCATCACACCTGGAAGAATAGTTCTCTCGAGTATCAGCCCGCAGGGCGGCGCTCCCTCTACAAAGGTTGTGCTAGATCATCTCATGTTCCTTTCTGAGAACCGATTGAATGTCCAGAAACATCAAATTTCGCCTTACATCCAAGATGTCAAAGCAACGTATCAACACCTGCAAGAGAACAGAACCTCGATCATTTCCAAGGATCGCAAGGCCAAAATTTGGCTTAACATTGAAGCAGAAGACGAGTCTACTATCACTCTAGAGGAATTCTTTGAGTCTTGGAAATGCAGCGAAGATTTGTGTTTGAATAGGAAATACACCTCCGGTAAAGTCCAGCCTGCCCTGAGTTTCCTCGTTCCGTTTGCGGTTCTACTTGAATATTATGGCGTGGAAAGGGTGGTACCTCCGCCTCTACCACCTGGACCTATTGAATTTGAAGATCGCTCAGAGATTTTGCTTGCCGCCTTTCGGCGATTCCGACGCGAGGAGAAATTCATCGATATATATTTTGAAGTGGAGGGTCAAGTCCTGGGGTCTCATAAAGCAATTCTAGCTGCAGCGTCAGAATACTTTGAGACTATGTTCTCGGGAAAGTGGAAAGAGTCGACTCTCCAGGTGATCCAGCTCTCCGATGATTTCAAGGCCAGTACTGTCTTGGCGATTTTCGATTATATATATTCTGGCGAGATTCCCGCCCTCGATGAAAAAGCCGAAGCCGAAGCCGAGGGAACTTATCACCACCTAATCTATCAGCTAGAGCTCTCAAACCTCTGGCTGTTGGAAGATTTGAAGATCAAACTGGGAGATCAGCTCTGCTCCGAACACATGATACGACTAGAAACCGTCACAGATATCCGCCAGCGTGCGATCGACAACAATGTCCCCAGACTTCTATCCGTGTGTGATGAGTATATTCAAAACAACAGGAGATTGGTGCAACGGGAGCTAAGTTGTGATGATTCTACCTAAACGTATGTGGAATTATACCATTTTCCCTTGCGGCTTCTTATCGCCCAAACTAACAAATAATTCAGCACTCACTTTTAGATCGATTTCTTTGATGTTATTTTTTTTATTTTTTATTTTAGTTCTATGGGTCTATCTTTATTATCTTCCTTATTACCGGTAAATATGGAGTTATTTCTGTTACAATATGTATGTGTAAACCCGGTGTCGTTAAATGGCCTAGGGAATCATGGTTCATTAGCTTCAATTGATGTCGAGACAGGTACCATGAAGTTTGGGGGCTCATGTTCATTTTGATCCATATATGTACCAGTAGTGCCTGTAGGTTTTATGAATGTACTGATTCATCATTGGTTAAAATAATCCCCCCCCCCCCCCCCCGGGTCGTCCCTAGGCCTGGGCGCTCATCTATATAATGCCCACGTCAAAAGCTTGGGATTAGCCGCAAGCCCTCACATATCGCCAATAAACCCTAAACTAAACCAATGGGCTTAATCCAGATCGATGTGGACGTATTAATGACGGGATCTTAGCTGTTTTGGTGAAGTGAATTAAAATATCCATTAGTCATGAAATATCACTCATTCAGCCCTTCTTCCGCCTGAGAATAGGGTTTTTTTGTTTGTTTAATTCATTAATTGAGAATAGTGTGTACTCGGAACCCCCCCCCCCCCCCCCCCAAACTTAAGATGTCGCGCGGTTTGGTGTGAGCTCTTTGGGTGTTTTGGAAACACCATGAGGCGTGAGGAGGGCGGTAAGTAAGGTGGCGGTTACAGTCGACTCTTGCTATGCGAAAAATAAGGGTTAGGTCTTTACTCGATCGACTTGATCAATCGAGCTTTTGGCTGCAAGATAGAGACAACTTTCTTCTCTCCTCTAGAGTCTCTTCCCCCCCCGGGGACCCAAAGAGAAAAAAAAAAAATATATGTATATAAATAATAAATATCGCTAGCCAAATTAGCCTTGAAACCCACTCCCACACACCCCCCCCCCTATCGTGTAGTGAATAGTGCTGGTGGTATACTAAAAAAAGCGTACTAAGGGTATTTTACTTGTAGCGGAAGAAAATACAGCCATTATTAGCCCTATATAGCTATCTATCTATGGTCGAATCCCTCCTCCTCTATACGGGGTAGGTTACCTCCCAGAAGAACAACCCGCCCCCCACAAGAGTACGGACGCCCCCGGCGCTCCTCGGGGGCCGGGAAGTGCAAGATGACGCTTTGGTGTAAAAGCTACATGTACACGCCATACTCTATAAGGGTACCGATTTTTCCGGCACCCGAGCGTATATACCCTTGTTAGGGAGAACTCCGCTGTGGTGTGGTATAGTTAGATGGCCGCGCGCGGAGGGATTGGGCCCGGCTGGTATTCTGATAAAGATATAAGCGGGGGGGGGGGGGGGGGAGGGGCCAAATGTACGCGTGTGTAGCCATGCTGTAAAGAGGTGTGTGAGACCGGTTTGGCATCCATGTACGCACGTAGTGGTTTGGCGTGTAAAGGGCTTGGGTGTCCTCTGATGTAGCATTGGTTTTTGTTGATGTAGTGTGTGGCCGATGCTCCGCTAGGCTGGGCGAGAAGATACACCTACCCTACCCCTCTGTGGTTAAAAGAATATTTGGGGGAGTTTGGGGGGGGGGGTGGAGGGTCTTTGGTGGGTGGGGTGCGGGTGATGTTCGGGCGGATGGGTGTGAGTGCAGGCGGTGTTTGGTGCCGGTGTACGTGATAGGTTTTCGAACCTTAGCTGTAACGGGGGGGCCCACACCATTCCTCTCGAAGCTTGGGCGTGGGCTTACTGATTGGCTGCTGCCTTGTTGGTTTTTGAAACCGTGCTCTTGTTTTTGTTGGCTATTTACTTTGGGTAGCAAGGTGTCGGGTTGCTGCCGTGTAGTTGGGTGCTGGCCGGGGAGCGGCTATAAGTTCTGATATATAGTGGATGATGGTTTCGCGAGTGATTGCACGAGTGAGGTGAAGTGGGGAGGAGGTGGTTGTGGTGGTAAGCTAAGAACGACTCGGAGGGTGGCTGCCAAGACGCGAGTGATACCCCATGATTCCCGCCATCCCATGGGGTCTACGACCACAACCTAATACAGCACACCTCTCACACCCCCCTACCTAACCTGGATTGCTTGATCTGAGCTAACTCCCTACCTAACATTGTACTAGCTGTTTATATTCCACCGCCCAGCACATACGGTGGGTTTACGCTGTCTGTCTGGCTCAGTGGGACTCGGAGAGAGAGTATTGTTATAACACTCTAATCTACCGCACCCTAATACCGGGAAACATTTATACTGCGAGCTACATTTCCGTCTCTAACTCCAACGCCGCAATTGCTAAGCCCCCCTACCTCTACTTCTACTTCTACTCCCACGACCTCTACTTGATCTACGTCGTCCAGAGCAAGCTTTCCTTGAAGCTGCAGCTCCGGCCTTGTGATAACATCGACCCTTTACCGGAAGCACGAACGACCGGACGACTGGCTAGACGTATCATTGGCCATCTAGCTAGATACACAGATGGGAGTAGCAATAGAAAGTACAGGAAAGGATGGGGTCAGTGGGCTATGGATGGATGCTTTTATTTTGGATAATGGAAGATACGAGACGAGAAGAGCAGCATGACATACATAGCGCGGCACAGCACAGCACAGCACAAGAAATAGGACAGGAGAAGATAAGAGACAGCCCATAGCAGCCCCCCATTGACGCGGCCAGGACACCGCCATCCAACGAAGAACAAGGAAGATACAAAAAAAAAGCGAACAAAAAAAAAAAAAAAAAAACCAAGGGGACAAAGCCACTAATTCCCCACCCCCCTCCTCCCCCTCGTCTTCTTCCCCTGCACCACCGTCTCCACCCCATCCTCCTCCTCCTCCTTCCCCTTCTCCAGCGCCTCCTCCAGCCCCCACGCCTCGCCATCATACCAGTCCTCGCCGTCACTCAGCGCAACCCCAACAACCTCCTCCACCTCGCCGCCGCCCAGATACTCGCGCGTCCCCTCCATCGCCCGGCACCACCCCCACACCCCCTTCCGCAACCGCTCCGCCCGCAGCAGCCCATCCCGCACCTTCCCCAGCCCGCGCAAGAACTCGTCCTGCCGCTGCACCGCCGTCGACAGCAGACACCGCGTGTCCTCCGCCTCCGCCGGCGGCAGCCCAAAGTCGCGGTCCACGGAATAATCCGGCGGGAAGAAGAATGCGTCGACCTCTGGCGCTGCTGCGGCGGCGGCGGCCGCCGCGGCAGGCGGGCTGCCGCCCGCGGCCTGCTGCGTCGACCGCGTCGTCATCCGCCGCGGCGGTGAGTCCGGAAGGATCTCTTCCATCTTGTACTCCTGCGTGGCGTCGGGGTCGTCGTCGGGCGGCGGCGCGGCATACTCCAGCGTGGCCGAGGACGCGCCGTTCTCCTGCTCCTGCTCCTGCTCCTGCTCGTGCTCGTGCTCGTCGGCGTCGGCGTCGGCCATGTCTGTATCGGCTTCGGTGGGCTTGGTGGCGGTGGAGGGGGAGGGCCCCGAGACGCTGCCGCGGGCAGAGTCGGCGTCGGGGGCGGGGCCGGCGAGTTCGCGGAGGAGCTGCTGGGTGCGCTCGCGCGCTTGGGAGAGGTAGTCTTCGTTGTCCCAGGTCATTTTTTCGAGGTTGACGTAGGGGTCGTCGCCGAGGAAGATGGTGAGCAGGTTTTTGAGCTTCATGGTGTGGGCGTGCTCTTCGCAGAGCTTGTCGAGCGATTGTTGGAGGAGCTCGTTGAGGGTTGTGGTGGTGTAGATGTGCGCGAGGGAGGGGTGGGAGGGGAGGTCTGCGGCGGATTCGAGGGGGGCGAGGATCTCTGTGGGGTGCGGGTTAGTGCTGTGTTCTGAGGTGGGGGGGGGGCGGTGGGCTTACTGTCGAGCTTGACCTCCGCATATGGATCGTCCTCGTCAACGCCGCTGCTATTCGAGTCGCTGGCATCGGAGTCTTCGCTGGCAGAGTCGCGGTCGGCGGCGCGGTGCCGGGCTTTACGGTTGCGCCAGATTATCTTGCGGCGTTTACTGAAGTACTCGATCTCCTAGGAACCGCACACACACCATGTTACATTCAGCACTGGGGGGAGTACGTTGTGGGCAGTTGGTTGGGACTGGGGACTGACCTCCTTGTAGGTACGCGGGCCCTTTGCGTCGTTGAGGGCGCCCTCGTGCACGAAGCGGGCCTTGCGCTTGAGCTTGCGGCCGCGGTTCGACGGGTACGCGATTGAGTCGTCTGATTCGGAGCCTGGTGGTTGGAGGAGAGGGGGGGAGCGTGTTAGAGGGGGATGGTGAGAGCAGCAGGAGGAGGAGGAGGAGGTGGGCTAGGAGGTGGGCGTACCATCGGATGTTTGGGCGAGGGCTCGCTTGAGTTCGCTGTGGGGGAGTGGGGGAAGGGTATGTCAGTCTCTCTCTTTCTCTCTGTTCTCGAAACCTCTGGCTGGGGAGCTCTCTGGCGGGCTGGTAGGGGGTGATGGATGGAGGGAGGGAGGGAGGTGAGAGCCTACATGATTGCGTTCAGGGTTTTCCGCTTATCTTGGGCGGCACTCATGGCGGTGCGTGTAGGGCCGGCTCAGTCAGGCAGACAGGCAGACAGACAGGCAGCAGACAGACAGGCAGCAGACAGACAGACAGACAGACAGGCAGGCAGACAGATGCAGGATGGGGTGGTGGATGTGTAGACAGCTTCCGTGCATGTAGAGTTGAGCTGCTTGTTGGGTTGTGTTTATCCCTCAGATCGATCCCTCTCTGCCCAGAGACCATCCAGCCAGTCCACGTGACGCAGGCAGGCAGGCACCGCTGTTACCAGATCTGGTTAGACACACACGCTAGCGATGCATGCTCACGGTAACGCGGGGGCGCAACACATCACGTCCCCGCCCCACTACGAGCTGTCGAGATGTCGAGATATCTCAATTGATAGACACCGCACACAGGCAGTGGATATCCACAGCTCTACAACCACCAGCAGCCACCAAGCCAATCCAGTCCCAATTAACTACATCATACATCTACACATAACTACCACCTAGCAGCCCACTTGTCCGGGAGCACCAGCTTCACGGCCCGCCAGCTACATAGCTCCAGCCATGGACGCCTACCCCCCCGAACTAGTCACGCACGAGACGCCCCTGCTCATCGTGTCGGGCCTGGGCTCCCCCGAGCGCCACTCGCCGCCAGCCACCTACCCGCAGCTCGAGCAGAACGGCTCGCTGGTCGCCTGTGCCGTCGCGCCCGTCACCACGCCCGCCGGAGAGCTGCTGCTCGACTGCTTCCTCAAGACCGACTGCTCGGGCATCTGGGCTGCCCGGCCCACGGAGCGCCAGAAGCCGCAGGCACCGGCGTGGAGGATCAGGGCTGTGGGGAGGGTGTGTATATAGCGCTGCTCTTTTCTTGTCCCGGTAGTTGGCTGCTGTGGTGGTGGTGGAGGGAGAGAAGAGGGTCAAGGATCGACTGTGCTGACAAGGATTCCCCCCCCCCCGGTGCAGGACTACACGCTCCCGCCGCGCAAAGCCAGCCCGCCCGCCGACGAGCACTTCGCCACGCCGCTCGAGGGCCCGCCCACGCGCATCCACGCGCTGCACTCGCCGCTCTCGCCGCTCTCGCCCTCCGCGCCGCTCTACCCCGACGGCGTGCTCACGCCGCTCTGGCTGCGCAAGCACCAGGCGCTGCTGCCCGCCGCCTTCTGCGCCGCCTACGAGCTGTACACCGACACCAACGACGGCCCGCTGCAGAACCAGCACGACAACGCGCTCATCGCCGCCATCAACCACCAGAAGCGCTTCTTCGCGCCGCCGGGCTCCTCCCCCGCGGCAATCAGCAGCGACGACATCCGGTCGCCCGCCTTCCGCAGCCGCTTCGTCGTCGCGCTGCTCTCGGAGAAGAGCATCCTCTCGTCGCCGCGCATCGACGAGCGCCTGAGCTACATCAAGCGCAGCACGGGCCTGGTCCCCGGCATCACGTTCTTCTTCCTCCCCGCGCACTCGTCGCCCGTCGAGGTGCACCAGTTCGTGGCCACCCTCCTCACCACGCTCCACCCGCACGCAATCGACTACTACCGCGAGCTCTCAAAACACACCCGCCGCAAGCGCAACCGCGGCTCCGTCCCGCCGCCCACCGTCCCCTCCTCGCGCGCCCTCTCCCTGCACGCCTGGTCCCTCCGCTACGAGCTCAAGCTCGCCGTCTTCGCCGAGTTCCGCCAGGAGCTCGACGTGGCAGCACGCAGCTACGAGGCCGCCTACGAAAAGCTCTTCTCGGAGGTCTTCGAGACCACAACCTCCTGGAGCGAGCGCTGGACCGAGGCCCGCCTCCTCGCCGACACGCTCACGCTGCGCATCGTGCGCTGCCACCTCTGGAACGAGCAGTACACGGCCGCCAAGCGCCGCTGGGGCCTGCATGTGGCGCAGATGGCGGCCGTGCTGGACCGCAAGGGGCTGGGCACGGAGACGTATGGGTTTTCCGCGTGGATGGCGCGGTGGAACCGATGCCTTGCGGAGCTGCTGCAGGCCGCGAGCCTGCCCGTGTTGGCGCCGGTCGTGCCGCCGGCCCGCGGGTCCCTGCTGGATGTGGACGGCGTGCGCGAGGCGCAGGCGCTGTATGTCGGCGGCGAGAAGGGGGCGGCGTCGGTGGGCGGCGTCGGCGAGCGCATGGGGGCCGCCGACTACCTGCACCATCCGGGGTTCTACTACCTCGCTGCCGCGGAGCATCTGGGGGAGCGGGCGCGGCGGGGCAAGCGCGTGAGCGTCGGCGCGAAGGAGAGTAGCTATGATACGTATCTGTGTCTTCCGCCGTCGGAGGAGGTGGCGTGGGAGGGCGAGGGCCCGCGGATCGCGCTGCTGGGGCTGGCGCGGCGGGAGTTTGAGGCAAGGGGACAGCGGCGCATGGCGTGTGGGGTGCTGTATAGTGTTGCGAAGCTGCGGATGGCCGCGGCGGGGCGGAGCGGCAAGGGGTGGGGGGAGGCGCTGAAGGATTTGAGGGCGGCGGCCGGGGTGTATCGGCGCGAGGGGTGGTGGGAGGTGCTGGAGGAGGTGCTGTGGGGGGTGGTGGAGTGTGGGAGGAATAGTGGCGATGGGGGGAGCGTGGTGGTGGCGGGGTTGGAGCTGCTGTGTGGGGAGGTGTTTAGAGAGAGGAGGGGGTGGAGGTATGATCTGGGGCAGTGTCTGGCTGGCATTGAGGCGGTGAAGGTGCGGCCGACGATGGTGGTGAGGGGGGGGGATGTTGTGAGCTTTTGTATATCTCTCTCTCTCTTGTGCTTGCTCTTGTTCATTTTCATAAGTCCTTTTCTTCCCGCAAGTATAACAAGAGCCACGGCTAACCCCCCCCACTCGCAGTGACCGCAACCTACACCTTCTCCACCCCCAAAGTGCACGTCGGCGACCTCATCACCTCCCAGCTCTCCATCACCTCCACCGCCCACCCCTCCTCCACGCCCATCACCTTCACCGAACTCAAGCTCACCTTCGAAGGGCCCCTAAAGCCCATCCACTTACACCACTCCTCGTCCTGCGTCCCTCCACCCACCACCACAACCAGCACAGTAACAAAACTCGACCTCAAAAACAAGCTCACGGAGCAGCACCCCACCCCCGACGCACCCTCGTTCCTGACCGCCGACACAGACCTGACCCTCGCCCCCGGCGAAACCAAGGTCTTTGAGCTGGCCGCCGTCCTGCGTGAGGCCGGCGACGCGAAGGCTGTCTGCGCGACGTTCGGGTTCGTGTCGGACGGATTTGAGCTCGACTTTATGATCATGCTTGAGGCGGACGAGGAGGAGGGGGGCGTGCATGTTCTGCCGAGCGCTGCCGCGCGGCGGCGCCAGGTCACGGCGAATGGAGGGAGTGGGGCGTGGTGGATCGAGGCGCCTGCTGATAAGAAGGCTGGTGGGGAGGGGGAGGGGGTGGTAGAGTTGAGGAGGAAGCCGCTGAGGGCGGTGGAGCCGGGGAGGGTCGAGATATTGCCGAGGCCGCCGAAGATGGATGTGACGGCGCGCAGCGCGGTCGTGGGCGATGTGTATGTGAATGAGATTGTGAGGATTGAGTTTGGCGCGTGTAATGGGGAGGACGAGGAGGCGGTTGTTGGGGTTGAGGTTAAGATTTTGGGGTGGCCCGGGGAAGAGCGTAAGTTTTTTCGGTTTCTGTCGTTGTGATCATTTCCGGCGCGAGTGATGGGGTGTGATTGGCTGTAGCATACTGATCTTGGACTCTGTCTGCAGCACCAAAGATAACCTGGCTCTCCCCCGACTCCGCCACCGCCGAACAGCTCGCCACAACCGCGCACTACCCCCTCGGCCGCCTGCCGCCTGGCGCCTCCGCAAAGCGTACCTTCACCTTCCCCTCGCCCTCCGTCCCCGCCGACTGCGCCATCGAGATCACAGCGCACTACCACCTCGTCTCCGACCCCGAGACCCCCATCTCCAAGCCCGTCGTCGCCGAAATGCCCGTCATCAACCCCTTCCGCACCAGCTTCGACTTCTCGCCGCGCGTGCACCCGGCCCCGTGGCCCGACTACTTCTCGCTCCCCGACGACCTGGCCCCGGACAAGCCGCTGGGAATAACGCAGCGCTGGGCCCTCACCGTCACTATCGCCGCGCAGGGCGAGGGCACGCTGCACCTCACTGACTGGGCACTGCCCATCCATGCGGTGTCTGGCGGCATCGTTGCGACCGTTGTTGCTGACACCGTCGACCCCCCAGTGCAGAAAGACCTGAATAGTGGGGCGCCGGCGACGCTCACGTTCTTGCTCGACGTGCAGAAGCTGTCGCTTGAAGACCGGCGCGCGGCGAGCGCGGATGTGGCGCTGCAGCTGAGCTGGCGGAGGACTGACACGGCGCCGGAGTGGCCGGAGGTCACGAACACCACTGTTCTGCCGGTGCCGCGGCTGCCGGTGCCCGGGAGCGAGCCGCGGGTGCTGGCCGCCGTTGTGTCGGCCCCCGCGCCCGTGTCGCCAGTCGTGTCGGACGACGAGGCGCCGCAGCGGGTGGGCGGCAGGGCGCGGGCACGGACGACGTCGAGCCTGATCCCGACGCCGGCGGCGGGCGAGGCGGATGTGCCCGGGGTGCTGCACCTCCAGTATGTGCTTGAGAACCCGACGAACTATTTTTTGACGTTTAGCGTGGTGATGGAGGCGAGTGAAGGGTTTGCGTTCAGTGGGCCGAAGCAGACGGTTGTGCAGGTGCTGCCGGTGGCGAGGGTGGCGCTGGGGTATCGGCTGTTTGTGTATCGCGCTGATGCGGCGGCGATGGGGGTGAAGGAGGAGGGGAAGGAGGGGAAGGAGGGGAAAGAGGGGAAGGGGAAGGGGGGGGAGAGGAGGGGGGGGGAGAGGGGCGTGTGGGTGAGGCCTGCGTTGAGGGTTGTGGATCGATATTTTAATAAGACGCTGAGGGTGAGTCCGGGGAGTGAGGGCGTGGGGATGGATAAGAATGGGGTTATGGTGTGGGTGCCGACTGGGGAGGTGGAGGAGGGGGGGAAGGTGGTGGAGGGGGTGGTGTAGATAATTTTAGTGGTGGTAGTAGCAGTAGTAGTTAGGGGAGAAGTAGGTATAGCGCAATAGAGAGCGTGATTCTGTGTTTTTCGTTGAGGTGGTACTTGTGCTGTGTAGAGAGGTAATTGTGATATCAAGATGTTGGCTGTGTCCTGTGTAGTGGTTAGATGCTCTGGCTTGTGATGAGATGAGTGGGATATCCCATCTGAACCCCTCGTCCTGTTGTGTTCAAGAGGCTGGTTTATCATTACCTTGACAATATCAATATTACAGAGAAACCTATCATAATTCCACCCTCTCGAAATTCCATCCCTACGATACTTCTAACAAAGTTCGGTCACCGTAGGGGTGGAATTATGGTAAGTTTTACTCTAAATCAGATGCATCGTCCTATCGTCCGCGGCAGGGATATATAGGACTATATCATTTCCCCTAGTTATGCAGATGTAATCATGGTACATCACTCGGCCTTGGCACGAGACTGGATTACATGTAGTATAGCCCGACTAGCTGCTAGTGCTATCTTGTTGTTGTCGCTGTTACGTCCCGAACGCCGAGATGTAGCTAAGCGCGAGGCCGTTTGGCACAGCTGTAGTGAACCCATTCCAGAAACGATATTGTTCGTGTTGAAGCTGGGTTATCGTGGCTCTGCCCAGACCGGCCAGGTCAGGATAGGCTGAGATAACAGCAGCAGCTTAGCAGCTCAAGACTCAAACTGGCAATCCAGGTACCCATCTAGGTGACCATACACACGTGCACACAGAAGACACCTGGCTCTATAGTCAAAGAGTCCGCCTAGCCATGGCGTTATCAATGCTCCTCTATGGGTCTTGAGTTCTTTCTTCTCTCGTGGCACAGAAGACTGCAATTCAGCGTGTAGAGCTTTCTTCCACTTTGACATCATGGCGATTGACCCCTTTGTTCTTCGTGGTGATATTAAACACCCTCTCACCAATTGCAGTCTTCATTTGGATCTTAAGAAGAGGTCGATATCCAGCAGTTGTAGCAAAATAAGCATCCCACGCTGCTCGTGGACATGGTATATATAGCGCCAACCTGTACCTAGTAGGTTAGGAGGCACCCGCGCCGTAGCTCATCTTCCCGGTGCCGTAGCGCCCCGCGGGGGGGGGGGGGGGGGGGGGAGGGGAGGTGAGATCATATCATGCTGTGTTTAGGGGGTCGTTCAGGGTGGTAAGGGCACACTAAGGCTTAGGGTGCTCTGGTTGTAGCTTGGATACTGTGTGTCGGCTTGGATAAGTACTATATGCTTGGCCTGTGGCTATCTGGGAATATGAGGGGTATGTAGGGAATTAGCCACCCTTGCAGTGCAGTGTTTTTGCATACATGTATATACTAGATCTGTGGTAGTGACTATGAAAGTCGTTGCAATTGGGAACATCGATCGTCTACATGGCACGAAATAGAAAAAGAGGCGTCGTGAAAGTCATCACGGTATACAGACCAGAAGTACGCACGTATGAATACTACGCAAGATCATCCAGAGCGGTCCAAAATCACCAGTAATATTTTTGAAGAAAAACAAAACAAAACAATGAGTTGGTTGGTAGTTGTTCTGTACAATAGAAGATTTACGTGCCCTGGTACATGCAGTAGTACCAGGTATATATAGGACTGCTCTTTCCCAGAAGGCTATTCTACGTATGTATCGATCCCCTACGATTTCAATATGTTTTTTTTTTTTTTTTTTTTGTAGCTTTATTTATACTTGCATTTCTCGCTAAGAGGGCTTGGCATATTGCAATATTTAGCGGAATAAACACTCAACTGACTTAAGCAGCTGGATGACCATCATCAGGATAAGGGCAATAAGTATAGCTACAGGTTCACTATCACGCCCATGCTAATAGTGGTCGTCCTGGGCGTTTTGGATAAACTTCTGTTTCAAAGAGGGTGTGGTAACATATATTTGATGGGCGAAATGACATGCCGGCCCGGCTCAAAGTTCTAAATCTTCGTCCGATAAAAAATGAGGATGTAGATAGCTCCTACCCCACATCATGCAAAACCAAGATTAAAGATGAGACCCTTCGATCCCGCGCGCGTCTCAACGCCGCCGTCGTCATCACACTGACTACTCTACTAACTACCGTGTACTTTAGAGAACGGAGTGTCGGTATTATCATCTCACCCAGAAAGTGTACCTACTTGCCCACGCCTTAAGTTGTCGGCAGTATTCCAGGAGCACAGACATCGGTCAAATCACAAAGGGATTTGAACGCGCCACGCTCGAGCAAAGTGTTTGGTTCCTGTCCGACCAATTAATACTCGCTGCCCTTATCATTGGCTGTCCTCTTGAATTCTAGAAACCAGTGCAAGAGAGTGCTTTACTGAGGCATGATCACTGTGGTCTAGTCTGTTGGTCTACCATCATGAGAGACCACGATCCCCTTTCCATCTGGTCTCATATCGCAAAAGCGAAGTACTTACTCTAGTTATAATGATTGGAAATGATTAAGGATAAACAATCCCAAGGCTTGGCACATACACGGCCCGTTGGTTGCTAGCGCCGCGCCTAGTTTTAGAAGCCTTTATTCACCACCAATCACTCGCCCAACGAACCCTAACCCAACCAACCACCGCTATCGTATCACGTCACGTGCCGTGTCCAACCCCAACCCCCTCCCCGCACGTCAACGTGCGAAAATAGAGTAAACCACCTCCACCACCGAATGGAGTAGACTAGAGCACTCCTCCCACCACACACCACCGGCCTGCACTCGTTGCATTGCATATCTGTCTGCTGACGCTGCGCGGCGCTTCGAGCTCCCCCTCCTCCCCCCCTCCCCCGGCCGAGGGTGTGTGTGGAAAAGCTGAGGCTGAACCTGAATCACATCATCTGAAAAGAAGGAAACTGGGTCGCCTCTAGAGTGGACAGCCAGATAGAGTGGATAGGTGAAGCATTATAATCATTATGTAGGAGTGCGGAATAGTAGGTACCTACATACAACGACAAGGGAGGGGATGGTAAACATTTTCCCTTGACTCTAGAAGCACAACCCCCACCGACCACGCAATCGACAAAAGTCCCTAAGATCATGGTCAACATCGACCCCCCCCCCCCCCTCAACCCTAGCACTGGACCGGATTTTTGCTTTTTTACACATATGAAAAGCGAGAACTTCACCGCAGGCTGATTTCTTTGTTTTTTCAGCTGCCAAGTAAGAGTACAGATGGATATATAATAGTGAAAAAAATAAAATATATAAAACGACGACTCTGTTTTATGTGATTTTGAAAAATAAAGGACATCTAGCAGAACAACAGATCGATGAGGCTTCCAAAGATGACGAAAGAGAAAAAGAAAAGTTTGCTGATGAGCATCATATCATGAAACCATAAGATAGACGAAATATGCCCCCCTCCCCCGCCTACCGTGACAATCCAACCCCCAGTACAGAAAAATGTAAAATAGAAAATAAAAAGAACTCCTAGATCCCCCGCCGCCCATAACAAAAACCGGCATCAAACCATCCACCACGGTCTGAACAAATGAAAGATATGGGTGATACACCGATAGTCAACTATCTCATAAAATCGTACCGTGCTCTCAGTGGCAGCTTCATCGCTATCGCAATCACTGCCCTGGCATAACATCCACAAGCCTAGAACTTTGAAGGTTTGAAAATGTCGGACCACTTGATCTTGATAGGATCAACCCGTTGGGTTTGGCCACCACCGGGGGTCTGGGTGAAAGTCACTGGGAGGGCGATCGGGTGCGGCTGGCCAGCAATTTGTACGTATTTGACATAGGCGCCTTCTTGTGTACGGACAGTGGGGGCTCGGTCTGCAGCTTCTTGAATTTGCCGGTAGTAACCTTTTGCGGGAGAACGTTAGCTTGACTAAATGCATATCTAAAAACATCCGAGTCACTTACTCCTAATTTCCTTGGTGCGGGCCCAGAGGTAATTCTGCTCGTTTTTATCGACAACTCTATGAACAAGGAAGTGCTCGGACTAATAAATTGACACATTATTAGAAACGATCATGTATCAAGACCGAGTTGAATCAAGCCTTACCTCTTCCGTGTAGCCAATGTTACGCTCATCCAAAGCCTCCTTGCAAAGATGGACTTTGGAGAACTTGGTGTATGTTAGGCGTGCTGCGGGCTGCGGGGGCGGGGGCGGCTGCATTTTCTTGATCCGTTCCTCAACGATGAGCCTCATCTTTTCCTCGTTAGCCGCTTCCTCCGCTCTCTTCCTTTCTTCCGCGGCCTGTCGCTCCCTAAGAAGCTTCTCGGCCTCCTGCGTGATCCTGGCCCTCTCGGCCTCCTTAGCGGCCTTCTCGGCCTGCTCCTTGGCGCTCCTGGCTGCAAGTTGCTCGGCAACCTTTCGCTCGATCTCGCTGTTTCGCGCTCGTTCTGCTTGCTCTCGCTGTTTTTGCTCGGCAAGTGTTTCACGAACTCTGGCCTGGACAGCTACCTCCCTGTGTTTGTGCTCTTCCTCCTCCTTCAGCTTCGTTTCTTTCTCTAGCCTGACTTTTTCTAACTCCATCTGCACCATACGGAGCTGCTCAGCCAGTGCATTTCCCTGATTATTTGCACTATGGATGACCACAGCCCCGGACCTAGTCGTTACGGCATGATCCTCTTCGCAGCCGGAGCCGCACGAATCACAAGACGGGGACCTTGAGTGACGGACCCTTGAATGAGACCTGGACCCGTACGAGGAGTTGCTGTAAGTAGACCCTGCAGCATTGTGGGTATACTTCTTTCCTCCATCTCTGCCATCGTAATAGTAGTTAACGCTGCCAGAGCGGCCAGGACGGCCTCTGTTGCTTGTACCGGTTTTAACCACGTCAATGTAATCGACCTCAGCAGGGGCCCTGCGGCGGGGGCGGGAGCGCTCTGAGGCTGAGCGGGACAGGGCTTGGCTGCTAGGACCAACAATCAGGTGGCTAGTGTGATACATTCTCTCTCGCCCACCATCCGGAACGCCAATGAACGGCTCCCCCCCAAAGGAGCTGGGCCTTGGTCGGGAGCTATCGCGAGAACGAGGCGGGGATCCTACTGGTGATACCGGGTACACAATGGGGGAACCAGGCTCGGCATAACGGATGTCGGGGCTCTGCGGGTAATCGTACTGGCTAGGCATTGGCGCTGGGGGAGGAGCAGCATGGACATAGCTGGAAGGCTGGTTGACATAGGGAGACTGGTAGGGGGCGTTGTAGGAGGCGCCAGGATGCGACCAGTCGGCCATGTCGGCGTGTTTGTGGAGGGTTGTAGGAGTGGGGTAAAATGAGATAGGAGGGGGGGGGGGGGAGGTGTCACTAAGCAAAAAAAGTATTTATTGCTTCTTGCGATGGTAAGAGGGGCCGTGTAGTCACGTAGTCACCCCCAAAAAAGCCTATTAAGATTGTTGTTGCTGTAGATCTTTGTAGTATAGTAGACTTTGTGGATCAGTTGATAGTTGGGCGGTTGGGTAAGCGATGGTAATTAGTTCGGGGCTATCAATCAGTACTTAGTAGTAAGTTTAAGTGTTGCGAAGTAGAGACAACTCCCAGAGATAGAACGAGGGATGATGAGGGGAGAGGGGGGAATTAGGAAGCAAGAGGGTGATGGGGGCCTTTTAACGATTCCTGTCACACACACCACAGCGGCGAAGCTTCGCAGAGAGGGGAAATGTCTGCACTTTGGTAGGTCAGCGCTGGCACGGAAGCAGCGAGAAGCTGCAGCAAAAATACCAAACGGGGTACCAACCACTGGCCAGCACCCAATACCCCTCCCTCCGCCATCTCTACTCCATGTACCTACTCTAGACGTACCTCCACCCTCCCACCGCCCCAGAAAATTGAAACCCCCTCTTCTCACACACTTGTGACCTCCTTCACATCCTTAAACGTTACTGGTCCTAGGCATGGTATGCACATACCACCATATGCAGTAGTGGAATCAATATGTAGGTACCCTCATTCGACTCTATGGCAAACTAGCCTTTATGGCTTCTCTCAAATTTAAAATGAGACCCCAGTAAACTCTACTGTTACTTCTATCCAAACTGCCGGACAGGTTTGTTGAGATCCATCTTCTGACGCTCACATACATGCTCTACGTGCGTACTAACTAGCTAACTACAGTTTATAAGTAGGTACATGTACGTACACTCCTTTGGACCTTTGGTGTCACGCTTAGTGTAGGCATAAAAAATGGGCCAAGCATCACAAGTGGGGCGGTACCGTGCTGCAGGGAAGATGGTTATTTATGACTCAACTGTATGCTGGCGCTGGAGGGGCACAGAATAGAGGAAACAATCGCGATCTTGGATCCCCCGCAGACGTCTGTGCTGGACTAGATGTGTTCATGCAGCGAATCAACATGCGAACAATCACGAAAAATGTCCCCTTCTGATACACTGTACCATTCACAATTGAGCCTTTTTTAGCTGTTGGGTTTTTCCGAGAGAGCCGCTGACGTTTGTCACTGCTCTATGCTATACTTTAGAGTACATACATACGGTACTGCATTGCTTTTGTGAGTCTACAAATGCCACTGCTGGCACGTCTATTCACATGCTGTGTACCAAATCTACCTACATATCTGCGGGTGCCTTACAGTAACATCTCCTATCATAAGTCCGCCACAAAAAACGTTGAGAGTAGTTAACACCTTCCACGAAACACGGATATCCCTCTCTCTTTTCAGATCGATGGTCCAAAAAAAACTGGTGTTGATAGAGGTAGGCACAGTCGTAGTCCAGCGACAAAGTAAACGCCAATACTTAGACGCCAAAATCGCGCGGGGTTGGGTCTAAATACAGTTTCACACAAGTTTCGGAAAGGTTTGGTGGACGCTTGAGCAGAGCCTCAAGTTTACCGCGCTCCTTGGATAGATGCCAAGGGAATTTTTCAGCACGGGCCTATGTCCCTAGGTCTCTGTCTGCCTGCCATTGCCCGGAACTACATGTACTCAACTCAGTAAAGAACACGAGCCCTGACATATTCACGATGGTTCAAGCACCCGACTCGCCGCCCAAGAATGCCGTGTAACTACAGTCTATATCTATAGATAAGGCGAACTTGAATCTCTCCACACATACAATCTGCGTGTCTATAAGGTCGCAATCAATAGGAACCATTGCATTGAAGTTACAGACAGCGACTCGATTCCCGACTACCAACGTGGTGGCTGTCTCTTTAAAAAATCCTTATTCCCCCCCCACTTTCCATGTGGCAATGCAGAGTACTGAAGCCTCCCCTTTCCCCGCGCAGCCTGCAGGTGTAGAGCATGGTAGATGTGGTGCTCTATATTTTCCTTCTTCTCATCGGCTCTTCACCGATATGCGTGCAAAGACCACAGTGAATATCATTGAAGTACAAGGAAGGGTGGTTAAGCCTAGACTAAGGCTTAAACTAGGAACAAGAAGTAAGAGTGTGGCGACATGTTGAATGTATGTACTTTGTCGATCATTCCTCACTTCCGAAAACTCTTATTTCGAGCATCCCAAGTATTTTTTTTCATTCCTAAAATAAACACAAGCTGTCCAGCTACTCTATAATAGTCCGGCCCAGTCTAAGCCGAAGCGCGCAGTAGGTCCTAACTGGCTCGTCATTATCTGAAACTTGCCGTCTTGACATGTCAGGTACTGATTGGGAATAGATCAATCCCTTCTTGCTATTCCTTGTGACCGAAAAAGTCAAGTTAGAACTTGGGCCAAAGGGGGCAGGCATATATGCTGTGCAATCCAATCCAATATGGACTGGATCCGTTGATTTGACCACAGAGAAAATGGAACGGGCAAGTACATATCACGAGGGGAATCACCAACTATAATACCAGCTGAGCATTAGCTATGTGTAGGTAGGTATGTAGGTAGGAATACCATCCGAAACCCGGAGGCTTCGTCTCCAACCGCTCCTGGCTGCAGATGTGCTCTGCACTGCACTGCAGTTTACTTACACGAAAGTTGGAGTACGTACTGAGGCGATCCACGTGAGAAGCTTTGATCGCACGTAACAATTCCTTGCTTGCCTGCGTGTATCACGGGGAACCGCCGCTGCATCGCTGCCTGCTGGTCTCAAATATCTCATTCTTCTCTTTGAACCCAGTCGACTTTATCGATTCGCTCGCTCGTTGCTGGGTGTCTAACTAATTACGGGAGGAATGCTGGAGATATGGAAACAATCTGGGGTCAGCCAGTTGGGTCCGACGGCAATCAGAAGTTCTGTTTCAATTCATTATTGCACTAGCAGTGATTTCAATGGTCCCCATGAAAATCGCCTAGTAGTTGGAAGAGAGAACTGTCAAGAAGCCCCCCCGCCCCGCCACAAGACGTAACGAATTATGCTTTCTGGCGAATATCAACATTCTCGTGGATGTAGATCTCGGGAGGACATTATCCTCTAACGAGATTTGCCGACGGATGCACGAACACCTTAGGGTGCTAGTTGACGCAGTTGAGGGATATAATGCTACAAAAACAGGAGGTAGTGTTTGAGAATAATTTTTTTTTTTCCATTCTCTTTTTCGTTGTCAAAAGACTACCTGCTTCCTTGTGAAAAAGTTCAAGTGTGATGAGATGACCGAACGACAACGACAATTTCATGTAGGTAGGTAGCTTCTCTTCTATGCGGACTGAATTTTCCCGCCTCAGGTGCGAAATTTACAGATCAGATGATATGAAATTGATCTTTGATACTGCAGCTACCTAGTAATATAATAGCCATGGATGGACGTTCCACATTGCGTTAGCAAGAAATGATCCGACATCCCAAAAGTACCGGAGCTTCGGGGCCAATGATGTCAAAAATAGTGTTGAACATCTACATAGTGTCCGGTGTTTTAACTACATGTATACAAGGTAAACGCTTTCCAATACAATCAGATAAACAAGTCACTAAGTTGGAAACATCTGATTTTTTTTTTTTTTTTTTTTCCCCTTGCGAACAGCTCATCAAACTTTTTGCAACTGGTCAATCATAAGCCTCTTCTGCTCTCCGAAAGTAGAGTACCATCAACCAGGGATCCCTCCCACCAAAAAAAATTCCACACAGAGCTAAGAATACTCGACCAGCATCCTGCATGCAAGGGAACAATTTTTCAGAAGCACGGAAGTTTTTCCGAAACATACTTAAGTAGATTAGCCACTATGAAATCTGATTTTCCTAGGATACTGTGACCTTCTCCACAATCCACACGGCGGTTTGAGTAGGCGCCTATCATAAACAATCCCAACTAAACTTTATTAGCATTTCGACTGCACCTGAACCAAGCGCCAGAAGCGCCCACTCTTTCTGGTCCCCCCATAGTAGATACTACTACTAAGAACGGTGGTCGATCAGGGGAAACGTAATCTATAGGCACGTAGGATATACATTTTTGTTACTCTATATGGAACTCCCACAGAGTTTCTTCCCCGCCTCATGGCCTGTCAGAGCACGATATCTGAGATGTCGATATACACCATGTCGTGCGGCCCTTAAATCTTGATTGCGCCATACGACAATGTCAACCCCTCTACTCTATGACTCTGGAGTACTCTACCTACATAGATAGCTGTATTACTGTTGTTATAATACCTTGCAGGGTAATAGAGTATCTAGCAGATAAACGCCACATTTGCAGACTTTTGGACAATTTGCCAGCTAGCAGTCGGACCCTTCTGTGTTGTCCGCTTTTCGGCGGCTGCCAAGACTATAATATAGTACATCCCTAAACCGCAAACCCTCGATTCGGCTTTTATCAGAGAGTCGTCGACGTCGTTGTCGGTGGTCAAAGAAGAAATAACGAGAAACTCTAGATTCGGACAGAGATCCGAGATCCGAGTTACTCTCTCGTTATCTCTGCTCCCTCACAGCAGCATGTCTGGCTGTCTGAGATGCAATAATTCAATGTCGATTTGGACGATTACGGGTAGATGCAGATATCGGTGGGGGGGTTGGCTGGATGTTGATTCCCGAGGTTACGCATGCAACGGTCGTCTGAAGCTGATAGTACTTACCTAGATAGCTCGATGGGCTGTGGTGGGAAGATGACCAGGCAGTAAGCTGTTCATATCATATTATCGGGGTGTTGCGAATCAGAATATACCGTTTGAAGATGGCAAGATTACTTTTGCGATGATCCCAGATATCCCCACAAAATAAAAAAAATAAAAAAATCATTCCGTAGAAAACTTCGCACTCTTCCCCTACTGTACCTACATACTTGCATATCTGCTGCACGGCAGACGGCAACGGTTGAGGTTGAACGTTTTCGATGCTGCGCCGCCGCCGGGTTGTGTGTTGTCAAGACTATTAAATTTTTATTTTCTTCCCTCCTGTTCAAAACAAAGAGAAGAAGAAAAAAGAGGGCGTTGACCGTGAATCCACTTGGCTGGTGAAAGAATACATGTAAGCTGGTATGTTGTAGTTGGTTGTTACTTGTCCGTCAACGTTACACCTAGTCCACATGCCCCGGGAATTCATGCATAGGAAAAATCTCGTGTCCTTTTCATGAAGAAAAAAAAAAAAGTCATTCTACTTTTTCATGTTCCCTGTGCATACGTACGATATTAATGTTTGGGGTATGCAAACAGTCAGACAGAGCTCAGTCAGACAGAGCTTCCAGAAACATGGATGAGGGAATTCTGGAAACCCAGCAGTACCTTAAGCTAGCTGCAGCATCGATAATATCAACGACTCGGATGCTGCCATCTGGGTTCCTGGACGCATAGGGCAGGCAAGATGAAGCTGGCTAGGCAGGGAGGTACCTGCTCTAGGCAACCCTATCAACCGTCGTGTTTATCTGCGTTGGTTGAGTGGGCTTGCATACTCTACTCTAGTGGCCGCTGTCTTTGCGTCGTACATAAGCTCTCTTTATTAATTTGGTGCGCGCCCAACATCTAACAGCATATCGTATGCACGTTAACAATGCGAGATCACCAACAAAACACCTCTACTCCGTGAGTAAGTACCTACTCTATCTTACCTATTGTGCTCTTTGATGGTTTTCTATGTGCTTTCGAGGTGAATATCCGAGGATCGTGTGTTGGCCTCCAAACCAACCCGGTAGAGTAGAAGATACCAGGGCCATTTCTTGCAAGCCACAGTAGGATTTAGAATATGGCTAAGGCTGCATGAACTCTATGTAGAGTACTTTACTCTTCTCCGGGAGCGTGGCTAGGCAACCAACGACACTCTTGAGAATATGAACTACTTCGGAAGGAAGTACTTTGGTGGGATATGTGTGTTAAATATACCTTCATGCTCTTACAGTAATAAGGAGTACATGCATTCAATTATGCTATATGCCAGATATAGGGTTCATGTGGAGGGGGTAATGATATGTAACTAGGCATTATCGAAAAAGTCAATACGCTCTATCTAAGCATTAAGCTTGTACTAAGAGTAGTAATTAAAGAGATACAAAGGAGAAGTGGATATGTGGGTAACAGAGGACAAGAAGCAAAACATGTAGATGGACATCCCCAGAGGAGCCGTGGGGGTGCCAACGTAGCTGCTCTCTCGAAACCACTACTGTTTCCGCTGTTTGCTCTTCCAGTAGCCCTATTCTCAATATCATGATTCATCTGTCCGTACCACCGACCCTCGGAAGCACCCACCAAAAAACTGCAAACCATTCACTCGAAGGGGGTGTGAGTTTCCAATTTATTCATCAAGAACATTTCAGTTTTTGCTGCCTTTTCCGTTCAGCGGCTGCTTCAGCCATGTTTCTTATCCCCATCGCCATCGTCCTTAGCCCCTGATCATCGCTGTTTCCGATTAACTACTTATGCCTATATGCCTATATGCCTACTCTGCCTTATCTTTTTATCTCCCTCGGTTGAGGATCTGATTGATGTTGTCCTGCGCCTTTTCATATGTGGTCTCGAGGTATCGGAATTTCTTCTCGAGATCTTTGATGTCGCCTTCCGAACTCTTCTTCTCATCCTCGAGGCGCTTCTGAATATCCGAAAGCTCCTCCAACACGAACCTGCACTCGCGTATCGAACCCGTTAGCGTACGCTCTGCCTATCCACATCTCACCGCCGGGGGCTATCTCCACACGCACATTTTTCCAACGCCTTCATAAACCTTGGTTGAAGGAGGCAGCGTATCGAGCTCCCGAGATGTCAATTGGAGTAATCGGATGTCGCGCTGCTTTCCGGCCATTTGCGACTTTACGATTTGGAGTTGCTGCTGGGAGAAGATTGCTCTTGCCTCGATCTCTTGCATCAACTGCGCGCAGAGTTGTTGGTTAGTCGTTTGCTTTTTTCTCTTTTCTTATCTATGATTATAACCTTGTTCGGGGAGAATGTCAAACCTTCTGGAGGGCTTCATTGGGCATCGACATTGTTGCGGTTGGTGGGGGAGGCGGTTTGGTGGATTGACGGCGTGACAGCGGGGAGAGATGTTGTGGTGCTGCAGGCCTATGTAGCTTCGTTGCTTGTTTGAGGATCACCACTCGTGGTGTGGCTGTCTGTCTTATGTAAACATCCATTTGCGTGACCGCCAAGGCGAAACGTTGTGGATTTGTCGAGTGAGATTTCATGTAGGCGTGTGAGATAATTTTCATTACACTTAAGTAGGATCCTGTTTGTTTATATGTTATGGATAGCATAACAGAAACTAGTAAGTATTCGGAAGTGTGTAGTTGTAAATTAGGGCTCAAGGCAAGTAATAATGCGCTCTAAAAAGCAATCAATTCTTAAATCCGCATGAATAGCCTTTAATTTGGAGTTAAAAATCGCTGCTAGAGAGGGATTTTATAATTTAGAACATATACTATTATAGTAATATTAATAACAAGAATAAATAAACTCCATCAAAGTCATGGTATGCCGCAGGCTATGGCCAAAACTTATAAACTATTTCCCATTCATATTATCTTTTAACACCCCCTCCCGACGTTCATTAAACCCACCAATAACTCTTACTTTCAGCATCAAACCTTCGCCAAAAAACGCTATAACCAGAGCGAAGATTCCAGCTATGATAGTCACTCCAAGAGCAGATACCCAGAACACCCACTGTCCCGACCTCATCTCTCTTATATCTACAACATTCATCCCAAATAGATTACTCACAAACACAAGAGGCAAGAAAATTGTTGTAGTGATGGTGAGGACGAGTATTATTTTGCCTATATTTTCCATCCGTGCATCAGTTTGTCTTTGGGCAGCCTGTATCAGGTGGATTTGTCAGTATTATCGGGGGTTTGGCGTTAAGTCGAGTGATGTCTTACCAGCGTAGCAAGCTGAGAGCAAGAAGTTTGGTATTCACGGAGTTCTGACTGAAACTGTTGCATTTTTTGAAGTGTCTTTGTGGATGTTTCTGGGAATGTTGATATTTTTTGCGCACTCGTGCATATATTGTTTTGCGGGTTCGATAGTACTTGTTGTTCATGAAAAATCCTCACCATCTGCTCCACGACTTTTCGTTGTGATTCAACTATTCCACTGATTATCCCCAATTCCTCCAGAGTTTGATATATATTCCCAGTGTGATGCTTCGATGGTTCTTGTTGGATCCATAATTGCTGCTCCGTCATTAGTGTAAGAATAGCGCTCACAACCTAGCCGCGCCGGAGACTTACCAGTCGCGCGATGTACTGAGAGTATATATCACTGATTCTGGAGCAGGCTGATTCTGTCGAGTCTCCAGGGGTCAAGGATTCTACAAGGAGAAACATAAGTTGCTCAAGGTCTGTGGGTATGTCGTGACGTCGTTCGGTTTCAGACAGGCCAGTAGCTGTCATCACCTGAATATTTAAATCCATGGCCGAGACTTTCCATAAGAATAGCTGCGATTGATGTTTGACGTCTAACCATACTTTACACAGCAGCTCTCTATTTGATGGAAACACTAGAGTAGATATCATTCTAAGTTAGCGCCGCATATACAGGTGACAACTTCAGCTATATGGGTACCTGTCTAGGGCATACGTACAAAGTGCTATTGTACTCTTCCTGCATACTTTGGAGAATATGTCAAGGTATATGCCAACACCCTCATAAAGAGACATGTAAAGGGATTCTGATTGTAGCTCAATCTCTGCGGACACTGCAGATTGTTCCATGTGTCTAAGCCCTTCAAACCGAGCCCTGTTACTAGTCAAGAAGCTTTCCAATGTTGAAAATCGATGTTGCAGCCTAAGAATCCACTCTGGATTAATGAGCTACTCTAGATATCAGCTCAACGCCCACTTGAGTGTCAAGTTAAGTCTCTTGATCAACCTACGTAAAACATAAACCCCCAAAACCCTGTCGGGGAACCTCCAGAACCTGATGAATCTCCTCCCACCCGATTGGCAAATGAGGCTGGAAGTGATGTTCTGAACCATCGTTGATACGAGAGAAGATATTCCAATTCATCAATTGCAGACGAAATCCTTTGCTGGAGCCTATCTGCGAGTAAATCCAAAGTTTCCCAGAGATTTGAGGTCCTGCGCTCAGACCGTAGGGAATATGGCTTGCTGATCAACCCCAAGTCTGACCAAAGGTGTTCACCATCAGTTGGCGCGACAGTAATCATTGTTGCTAATAAAGGATACTATCAGATATCGAAAGCTGCCAAGTTTTGAGTCGTAAGCACTTACACTCATTCAACACTAGTATCCATAGGTTTTTGACAATGACTAGTCTACTTGAATCAGGACCTGCCAGTTTTCGAGAAGTCTGTTCCGAATCCCTTTTAGCAACCAAGGCTGACGACTCGCGGCGGTAATGGTATTGCAATAGCGATCTAGTGGGGTACGTATAGTCTCGAAGAGGAAGGAATGTATTGGATATGCTAGTATTGTCACCAAGTGCAATATAAGGCAGCGATATAAATTGAGGGGGAGCCCTAGTCTCCGATTCTGTGATTTGGAGATTTAATTTAGCTCTGAGAATAAGTATCGTATAGCAAATAATAGCCAAGGCCTAGCTAGACATATATCAGAATTAGAAAGCGCCAGTCCTACCTTCAAAGAGTTGGGTCTGTTGAAGACAAGCTGGCTCGAAGTATTTACCGTGATTTGAACTTCGCTGTTGATTCTCTCGAAACTGTCTCAACAGTTGATACATGCATACTCTGTCTTCCTTTGTGAATTCTTGATGGGTGAGAGCAAAGTTCTGAAACAATGTGAGCTAATTTGATCACCCATAGTACATTATACCCAAGCCGCTTACCAGAAGAAGATCAAAATCCATGTCGACAGTTCTTGTATGTCTTTAATAAAGTAGTTAGTACATCTTCATGGATTTTTTTGGCCTCAAGTTAGTTTTTGTTTTTGCTAGAACTTACATCCATCGAATGACAGTCCCATTGGAAAGTTCCGGTAACGATGACTGTATACCTTCGCCCACCAACACCCTCTCTGTCCCTATCGTTCCATCGGCCGCTCTTGTAACATCGAGTATCTGCACTTGTGTCGGTTTTGAATATAGGTTCGAAGCCTCTGCCAGAGGCCTGTTTAGAACGCGTGTATTCCATAAGTAATTCATCCTGAGCCGATGTGCAAAGAGACGTCGTCGGCTCCCACTCACGCGCTGGTAAGGATCATACATACATATTGCGTGCACGGGCCACTCTGACAGGTAGAGGAGAAATTGAGGCGTAGCTAAGGCGCTGGTGGTCGTACGAGATCCCCTCACCAGCTGCTGTAAGATCTGATCAAAACAGACCTCATTTGGGAATCATGCGGCTGAGTATCTACTGGGGTGCATGATGTAATAGTACCGGGTGCATGGGCGCTCCTGTTACGCACGTCGAGGGAATTTTGCTTAAGATCTATGACCCTTGCAATCCAGTATTTTGAGGGTCTGCTTACTCTACCTCACTGCATACTAATTCAACGCAGCTTTATTCAGCCAAATTTGGGTTGTGGATAAGAGTTCATTCCCAAATAAAATTTACCCAAGCTTCAACATGGAAATAGTGTATCACAGTTGGAAGAACTTGGAGGGCATTTGACCACGCTGTCCATTGCTCAAATTGCTCAATTTTATTACCTGGCCTTGTCTCTTTATTTTATGTGCGTCAAGGCGGAATACAATATCGGGAATTGTAGTAAAGTCGTGGCATCAGCTCTTAAATTAAGTAAATTTATAAATTAAGCTGTAGTTACGTTACGTCACTGCCAACGAATCACTTGAAATATTATACTCCCGCCCGTACTCATGCATACACGTACACCATTCATTGTACTCTACTATTTTAGAAGAGACTTAATCTCCATTGGTTCATCCTAACCTTATTCTTTCAACCATGAGGCTTATAACAATAGCTAAAGCCAACAAACATGTATAGAGTTTGGTTGGAATACACTCACAATCGATGCACGCAGTATAGCACTAGTATAGTACTAGGAACGATGATAAATTTTAAGAGGGTTGAAACGGCTGTCATATCTTCTTAATGGGCATACCTATATCAAATCATCACTCGCAAACTACTTGTATATAAATAGCGTTATGCTCATATTGCTTAGCCCATATACTCTATATAATTTCGTCCCAAAGCATGAGCCAGTTGTAAATTCTCAACTAGTGAAGCCTATCTCACAAGGCCCGCCCAAGTGAAATTACTAAGCTCTAACTGCTCCCAGTTCATTGTGCTAGTTAAGGTTTTAAAAAGCCGGTGGCTTGATCAGTACCTATCCAACTGTGAAAGTTCTTCAGCTTGTAGTCCGTGCCGTCTGTACTGCTCAATGGCTTATATTTTCCCGAGTCTAAATAAGATCTAGGAGGTATTCTTGTTCAGAACCATCTGCAACACTTCAGGTTATGCTGTGTACCGTTGCTATCAATGATCCATAAGACTGAATTTTCACATCTGTGCCTAGAGCTTCGTCTATGGGCAGCATTAGCGTTCGGAAGGCGCACAATCCAGCCATTCAGGGCCCCTCGTTAAGGACAACGTGACACATGTGCCGAGTCGCGGCTCCACTACCCTGACAACACAGCGCTATGCCAAGTACTGGCCCGAGCTGAGGTATGCCTAAACCTAACCCTGTGATACCAAGACTCAACAATTCAACTCCCAACACGAACACCTTGCCCACCCACTGGCTGAGTTGTCCTCTTTCAAACGGACTCTATTCTTTTTAAGCAGCTTGATTTCGCCACCCCCAGTTCCCCCCCCCCTCCATTATCACGTATTCAACGAATCAAAATGTCTACCAAAGCGTTCGCTACTTCATCGATCACCGACCTGGTTGATTTCAACCAGCAAAGCCTGCTTGGTACGGGTTTGCCCTATGAGGATAATACTTGGGGTTTTATTACTGATAAATGGTGCTTTTGAAGTTGCTGCTGGATCTATTGCATTCAATCCTATATTCTGGAAGTATGCTCCACGCCGCCGTTGAGAGTAACTCTAATTGCGTTGTGCTGAATCATGGCTGACATGTGATAATTTACAGCGTCGTTGCGAGACAAGGTTCGTCTTACTGGTCCTTGAAGAAGCGGAGTAGGTAGATGAGGAAGGCTGAAATTAACGCCAACAAAATTATAGAATACCACAACAAAGTCCTTACCAAGCTCTTTGGAGGAAACTCGCGGTATGGATGCTACTTCCTCGCGGCGGTGATCTTCGGAATTGGGATTCTTCGTGATACCATGTGAGTTGTTCTTGGACCCTATCCCGAACCCGCAAGCGAGATAGGCGAATCCGATATTAATTGAGCCCCTTGTGTAGTTATGAGCGCGCCCTCCGCGATCAACCAGCGCTCGATGTGCTGCAGACGGACACTGTCAAGATGGCCGCCGGTGGAATGTTCTTGGCCGGAAACGTCCTTGTTTTGTCATCCATGTGGGCATTGGGTCTGACCGGTACCTATCTTGGTACGCACCAACTTCCCCAGTTTTTTGTGCATTTTACGTTTTGCGCATTTTGCGTTTTGCGCATTCTGCGTTTTGCGGGGCGCGGGGGAGGAGGGGTCCAAGCAGACCACATGATTGATAGTGCTAACTCGATCACTTTCTTAAATTAAGGTGACTACTTTGGGATCCTTATGGACGCCCGTGTCACTTGCTTCCCGTTCAACATCACGGATGCACCAATGTACTATGGTTCAACTCTGTCGTTCTTGGCGACGGCGCTCTGGTTCGCAAAGCCAGCTGGTATCTTGTTGACCGCACTGGTCTTTGTGGTGTACAAGGTGGCTTTGACCTATGAAGAGTATGTTCAATTCCCCCAAAGTCTTGAATATAAAACCCGAGAGATGGTTATGCTGACACGTGCAAAACCCCTCCCAGCCCCTTCACCGCCGAGATCTATGCCAAGCGCGAGCGCACCAGGGCCCAGAAGAGCAAATAAGTGCAGCGCAATGCAAGGGTAGGGGGAAAGAAAGAAAGAAAGACACGACGATTATAATGGGGAATATTTTGGAGTTATGGGCAGTTCATTTTTTAACAAAAGCGGGCGCATGGGGGAATAATGATAAAAATAAAAGGGGAATTCAACTCTCCCGGAAAAGATATCTATTATTGTAGGGGGAAAGAAGCATCTCAACTTATACCAATGATAAACGTTTTATTATCTATTCTTATTGTTCCTCTTTATTCTATTTCGTGATGACTACCACCACGATGGCGGCGCGACGGTTACTGAGGTCGGAATAAAGTCCCGGACCGGCGAGACAAGCACGGGCATCCAGAGGTGCCGATCTATCCATCCAAACAAAAACCATCGACACCTGCACTCCCCCTGCACTCCCGTGACTGGGGGGGGCCGGGGTCCATCCAGTCTTAAATCCAAAGTCCGTTCGTTCCGCCCCCGCCCCCCCCAGGCGCGGTATTTCCACGAGGTCCTCCGTGTTTACAAATACCCACGGAGAAGGCCGCCCGGAGGTAGGAGGACTGAGGTTTTGTGGGGTACATAAGGGGGGGTTGTATTCTGTTCTGGTGCTGACAACGTTGACGTCGAATCGAAGAGGTTGGCTTGTCGTCGTCGTCGTTGTCGGTACCTGTTGCGTCATTGGTTGATAACCTTTTTTTTTTTTTTGGACCCTGCTGCTTCTTTCTTGCTTTGGTTAGGTTTGTTAGTTGTTGACCTATTTAACTACTGAACTGCCTGGCGACACGCTCCTCCTCCTCCTCCGCTGTAGAGAATACACGATACGACGATACGATGCATTGGTCCATCCCCTACCCCGCCGAGAAGCACCACCACTGGGGCCCCGAGACGGCAACGCTCAAGTACCTCCCCCCCTCTCCTTCCCCCTTCTTCCCCCTCTTCCAGTACCAGCTAACAGGCAAAAGCTGGTGCGAGGAAGACTACTACTTCACGCGCTACTGCGCCGAGATTGTCAACAGCGTCACCAACGCCGTGTTTGTGTGGCTGGCGGTCAAGGGGCTGCGCAACTGCTGGACGGAGAGGCATGATGTGATCTTTGCGGTCACGTTTGCGGGGTATCTGTGTGTGGGCGTGGGCAGCTTTTTGTTTCATGCGACGTTGTGGTGTAGGTTTTTTCTTTTGGGGGTGTTGTGGGTGTGGGGGAGGTGGGGTTTTTGGGGGGGGAGGGGGAGGGGGAGAGGGGAGATGGGGATTGAGAGGGAAGGGGCTAATGGGAGGTGTGCGGAGTAGATTCGATGCAGCTGGTGGATGAGCTGAGTATGATATATACAACCTGTCTAATGGCATGGGGTAAGCTCCCTCCTACTCCTGCGAGCTCCGTTTTCTAGAAGCCGCAATTGCTAACAAACCCCCCCCCCCCCCCCCACAGCCTCCCTCTCCAACGGCAAACCGCCCGCCATCGCAACCCTCTACGGCCTGCTCCTCTCCGCCCTCGCCCTCAGCATCACCTTCATCTACCACTCGCTCGGCGACCCGACGTTCCACCAGAACGCGTACGCGCTGCTGACGGCGCTGCTGCTCTTCCGCAGCTGGTACCTCATGGAGTCGCGGCTGCGGCGCACGCGGCCGCACGACGTCAACACCATGTGGTGGATGGTGGGGTGGGGCCTGTTTGTGTTTCTGTGCGGGTTCGCGCTGTGGAATGTGGATAATGCGTGGTGCGGCAGCTTGAGGGGGTGGAGGAGGGGCGTGGGGCTGCCGTGGGGCGTGCTGGCGGAGGGCCATGGGTGGTGGCATTTGTTGACGGGGGTGGGCGCGTATTATTATATTGTTTATGGTGAGTTTCTTCTCTGCGGGGGTGGTGGGAGTGGGAGTGGAGTTGGGGGAGAGTGCTGATTGTGGTGGGTGTGTGTGCTAGGCATATGGTTGAGGCATTGTCTCAATGGGGATCAAGACCAGTTCGACCTCGACTGGCCAAACCTCTGGAACCTGCCCGTGATTCGGAGGAAGCGCGGGGCCGCGAATGGCGCTGCGGTGGTGAAGAAGAAGAAGAAGGCGTAGATGGGGAGGAATTGTGATTTTGGAACGCTTTGTTTTATTAGACGGAGGTACGGTTGGTTGTGATCGATCATGTCACTGTGGATGCGCCAGACAGCCACACACACACACACACCTTGGAACTGGTGGAGTGTTGGTGGCATGGGACGCGCCGGATGTATTTGTTAGCATTAGCTTTAGCGTTAGCGGGGCCGCATCTTGGTTATGGAGTTTGGTGTATAGACGCTGGAATACTAGTATTTATTGTTCTCGTTGAGCTGTGAGTGTGAGTGAGTGAGTGAGTGAGTGAGTGAGTGAGTGAGTGAGCGAGTGAGTGAGTGAGTAGCGGCTGTATGATGCACCGTGTGTAGAGACCGGACCGGCTTGCGTAGGTGTGTCTCGTATGTATCGTATCGCGCCGGCCATGCACACGCATGCAGCCACGACGACGACGACGACGGCGGCGGCAGCTTGGGTGCGGCTTAAAATAGATCTGGAGAGTGCGGTATCGTGGAGGAGAGGATTGTGATTATCGTCTGCGTTCAGGACCACGACCAGGACCAGGAGAAGAGTGAGAGCCGGGAGTTCGGCAGACAGAGAGTCTATATTGCGGTGCGGTGCGGTGCGGTGAAGCTTGCCAGTTACTCCAGTCAATCGAGTCAATCAATCGAGTGCAGTTAATCGAGGCAGGCAGGCAGGCAGGCAGGCAGGCAGTCAGAGTAATAATCCCAGCAGACCACAGCTGCACAACGGGCACGACTCTCATCCCACCCATCCATCCATTCCCCTCGCACCCCCGAACACTACCATCCTCATCCTCTCATCCTCATCCTCTCATCCTCTCATCCTCTCATCCTCTCATCCTCTCATCCTCTCATCCTCTCATTCTCTCATCCTCTCATCCTCTCATCCTCTCATCCTCCCATCCCACCTCTCATCCAACCTCACACCTCGCACCCTCGAATACCGATTGCAATCCATCAACATCCACAGTACATGCACCATGAACTTCCTTCAAAAGGGCCTGGCGGGGCTCGAGTCCCGCCTCGACAAAGTCCTCCTCGACGAAAGCGAGCGCCAGCAGCACCAGCACCAGCACCAGCACCAGCACCAGCACCAGCACCAGCACCAGCACCTTGAATCCTCGCCGTCACCCTCGCCCTCGCCCTCCCCGTCCCCAGCTCCTCCCCCACTCACATCTTCCTCCCCCGCCCCCGTGTCGCAGAAGGCGAATGGCCGCATGACGATGCAGGAGCGCCTCGCGGCGGCCGTGGCGAAAGCGGACGGCGGCGGCAGCCGGAGGAGCTCTGGCGAGTCGCTGCGTGAGAAGCCGGCGGAGGACGGGAAGGGAGACGGGGTGGTGAATGGCGGCGGGGAGAAGGTGCTGGTGCTGGCGGCGGAAGAGGGGGAGGGGGAGGGGGAGCTTGCGGGGGTGTCGAGGGAGGAGCTGGTCCGGCTGGTGCGGGAGCTGAAGCGGTCGGCGGCGGCAGAACAGGAAGAGAAGGAAAAGGCGCGGGTGACGGTGAGGAAGACCCCCACGCCGGCGCCAGGTGCAGGTGCAGGTGGCGGGGCGGCGGAGAAGAAGCTCGCAGAGGCGCAAGAGAAGATCGCGCTGCTCCTCGAGGAGGGCGAGAAGTTATCGCGCGGCGAGCTGAAGCTGCGCAACACGATCAAGGAGCTGCGCATCAAGACGCAGGAAGAAGAGCGGCTCACCGGCGAGGCGCGCAAGCGCGCCGAGCGCTCCGAGAAGGACGCCGCCGAGGCAAAGGAGAAGCTGAAGCGGGCGGCGGAGGACGCAAAGCGCGATAAGGAGCGGCTGAAGAGCGTGGCGAGGCTGGAGGGGGAGCTGCAGGCGCTGAGGAGCGACAAGGAGGGGCTGCTGGCGGCGATGCAGGAGCTGAAGGCGCGGGTCGAGGAGGGGAACCGCAGGGCCGAGGAGGCGGAGAGTAAGGTGCAGACGGAGGCGCTCGCCGCGGAGCGGACGAGGAGCGCGGAGCTGGCGGCGGAGGTGGCGAGCGTGCGTGGTGAGGCGGCGGGCGTGGAGGAGGCGCTGAAGGTCGAGGTGGCGGACCTGAAGAGTAAGATTGCGCGCGATGCGGAGAGGGCACGGAGTATGGAGCAGGAGCTGAAGGCGGAGCAGGCGGTAGGTGCCAATTGCGTTGTGCTGGTGGTTCCGGGCTGATTGTGTGTGTGTTTTAGGTTATGGAGCGCAAGATGGAGGCGCTGCGGGCCCGCGCGGAGGAGGTGTCGAGTGGTGCGAGCGGCGACGCCCATGCGAAGCTGCTGCGGCAGGTCGAGACGCTGCAGACGCAGTATGCGATTGCGAGCGAGAACTGGCAGGGCATCGAGGGGAGCATGCTGGGCCGGATCGCGGGCCTGGAGAAGGAGCGCGACGAGCTGACGAAGAAAGAGGCCGACATCAGGCGGAAGGCGAGGGACCTGGTGAGTTTCCTTCCTAATAAATAACAGCTGAGTTGGTGGGATATATATATATGGGGAACTGACAGCCAGAAAAGAGCATCAAGTCCAAAAACCTCGACATGGACCTCGACACGGCCAACTCGCGCATCAAAGACCTCGAATCCGATCTGGCCATCTCGCAGCAGACCACAGCCACCCTGCAGACCCGCCTCAAAACCGTCGAAACCGAGCTCACAACCCTGCGCAGCACCTTCGAGCACGAACGCACCGTCTGGCAGCGCGACCTCGACACCAAGCTCTCCGAGGAGCGCCAGAAATGGGCCGACCACCACCACCACAGCCAGCAACAGGACTCACGCCCCTCCTCCCCGCTCAACCTACACCTACACACCGCGCCCCCCTCCCTCCCGCTCCGCAAGTCCTCGGGCCCGCTCTCAACCACAGAGTCCTACTTCGTCGGCACGCGCAAGCCCAGCCGCTCCCCCGGCGGCGGCGAGCTCTACACGCCCTCGTCGGCCACCGGCGGCACGCCCAGCGACCACTTCTCGCGGCGCGGCTTCAGCACGCCGCCCACGGCGCTCACGGCGCGCATGGCGACGGCGCCGGAGGAGGACGACAACGACTACTTCGACAACATCCCGTTCTCGCCGCACCGCGGCGACATGGTGAGCGTGTCGACGGTGGCGGCGGGGCCGTCGGTGCAGCTGGTTGAGCGCATGTCGGCGACGGTGCGGCGGCTGGAGAGCGAGATGGTGGCGGCGCGGGAGGAGGTTGCCGCGATGGCGAGGGGGCGGGATGAGGCGAGGGCGGAGGTGGTGGAGTTGGTTAGAGAGCTGGAGGAGAAACGGGGGTGGGGGGAGAGGGTGGCGGTGTTGGAGGGGGAGGTGGCGGTGTTGAGGAGGCGGGAGGAGACGGCGCTGGTGATGCTGGGGGAGAAGAGTGAGGAGGTGGAGGAGCTGAGGGCGGATGTGGAGGATTTGAAGCAGATGTATAGGGATTTGGTGAGTGATTTTAATAAATAAGGTGGGTGTGTGTCTTTTTCTGGGCTTTGTGGTTTGAACGGGGTGGGATTTGTAGCGTGGGCGTTTTTTTTTTTCTGTAGCTTTGCATTGTGTGAGGTGAGAGGGCGTGTTTATAGCGTGCGCTACTGTTCTGATCTGTGGAGTTTTTTTTTTCTGTTCTTGTGGCTTGGTGGAAAAAATAAATATTGGCTTCTTGTATTGCATGTAGCGCCGGGGTATAAAGAGGGCCGGGTGGTGGGGGACGGAGTATAAAATAATCAAAATCGCTTTCCTTCCTTCCTCCTTCAACTTCCAGATTCCAGATTCCAGATTTCATGTCGTGAAATGGGGTCCTGGACCGAGTGATAGGTTGTGATTACGACCCCTAGAGTAGTTCGAGGTGCTAGAATTGCCCTAACTAACCCTGCAAAAGATTTATCGGTAGCTCACTTAACTATGGAGTCTACATACTGTCTAGCCCTCGGGACTGGAAATATGGGCTCTTGGCGTAGCGTAGAGCTGTTATTGAGCGCTATGTGCGGTCGTTGGGCCTGGGCGTTTAGCTGGCTTCTGTGTATGAAACCTGGCCTCTGTGGAAAGATTTTATATCTTTGATGAGTAGTAGGTAGATACCCCCGCCTACGGTATAGAAATATGTTATCCTACACCAGATCCCTCTTCTGGAAGGGCCAAGTGGCGGATCATGAGTGGTCACTCGATCGTCTTGGCATTTCTTTTGCTTGACTCAAATCAGCTACGAGAATAAAACCACCGGCTCAAAGCAAAGTCGTCAAGAGAAATGCTGGGTATATACATATGTGTTCCCGTGATTCGAGCTAATCAATAGGCATCTTTCTCCCCTAGCAGCTGCCTTTTTTTTTTAACCACTACTGGCTTTGCCCAAGCGCTTATTCGCTAGGGGTTACGGTACTTCCAACTGCGTTGCGCTTAAGCTTGATGTAGAAACGTATGACTGTATAAGCATATGGGATAGTGGCTAGCTGTAGTTGAGCTTCAACTATGTAGTCACCTACCCAGACCTGCTTTGACCTGGACCTTTCTGCACGCCACCGACAACAAAACGAGACTAGGGTCCAACGCACTACGGTGTCCTTACCATGCGTTCTAAATACCTAAGCGTCCCCAGTCACGTCGGTATAGTCACTATACGGCGTGACCGCGTGAGACTTGTGTCCGTTTCTGGAACGAGGCTTGCTGTCAGATCTTTGTAATTGCTTTGTGCGGGGCTTTGATAGCATGTGCATGTGCCTTTGGCCATGGGTTGTAGTTAGAGCCTTTAGGTATAGCACATATATACTGGCTGGTTGTGCTTATAGCTATGCAGTGGCCCGCTTCAACTAAAAATGTGTACTAGTACTGTGTCGGCGGGAGACGCTGTGTGCGTAGTTAGGTCCAACTGCTCCCAGCGCAGCTCAACTAGTCTCTGGACCTCCTTCTGGGTGATATAGATATAGGACGCCGCCATGTGATATAAGAGCACCATTCCAGAATGCACTCTCGTACAGGCGCTATAGCTCGCTGATGTGTTTGGTGCGCAGTGTGCGCATGGCGTAGTCCGGTTGCTGGCGTCGTCACTCTACTGTGCTTCTGGTCCTGTCACGTCAGTGGATGTTGGTTGTGTATTTACGCTGCTGGTGACTGCGTGAGTCCGGGGTCCGGTATATACGTATACGTGCTAAGTGACAAATCCAGGACCCTGCAGTTTGGCCATGTCGTTGGACCCTCGAAGTGTGCTGCTTCTGCCCGCTGTATACACAGCGATGACACTAGCATCCGTACTCTAGCGTCAAACAGATTCCACAAGCGGTAGGGGCCTAACTCGCGCTTAATGTCTATAGAGCAGTTCATGCTCGGCGTCGTCCAGCTCGCCCGCGTTTAGTTACCCGCTCCAGCGGCCGAACAGAAGAGCTGTCCGGCGGCTTTTATACCACCCAAGCCCCGTCCACAACATCGTGGCGTGGTCGAGGGGTAATAGCCTCTACTACGTTGCATGACACCACCGGTTCAACCCGGGGTGGAAGCAGTGATGAGAATGCCCAATATGGTAGCGACGCTCTTGAGGGATGATACTTGTCACGTAAGTCTTTTGTTGCTCGGTATTTCTGTTTTTTTTTTTTCTGTTGCTTTACGTGGTCTATGTGTTAAATGGGGGTACGTTTGAAGAGGGTAGATTATATTGCGTGCCGCGATGTGCCTGGGTGAAACGGTCTATGGACGGGTACAGGGGGATGTAAGATCATGGAATATCACTCGGTTGGTTGCCAAGAAACCGCATGTAGTAAGGTGAGAGAACCACTAGGGTAACTCTGACTATTCGTCAACATTGATGAATGGTCTACGCTGCTCGTTAATGTTGATCAGCAGGCTGCACGATTTTTAAGCGGTGGCACATAGGGTAACGTTGGTGAATGGTTATGCCAGTCAATCTTCGGCACATTCACTGGAAAGGGAATTCCAGCAGATTTAAGGTACAAAGTACGCACTAATATGATCTACACGAATGAATGTTTGAGGCCCCGCGAGGGAACTCAGGGCAGGAGAGGTTACAGAGCGATTATTCTAGAGTGAGGTAGTGTTGCTGCCGGTACTATATTAATGGGCTCGCTGGTGAGTTTGTCGGGGTTTAAACAGTCAAGGGTTGTTTCTTCAACTCTAAACAGTGCAACGACATGCATGATGAACTCATCCGTTTACAACCCCTATCACTTGGAATATGTAGCCTTCTAGATGCTTAAGGTATAGTGCCCCACCAAAAGATCATGATGCAAGGGCTCGTCAAAACCAGCCCTAATATGGCCAGCCCTTTGATCAACTGTTGATGCCGCTTGCCAAACTTATATAATCAGCTAGAGTACGTATATACCTATCGATATTGGTATACAATCCGTCGCCTGTCACGCATGGCAGTTTTCTAACTGCTTAGGCCATATCTCAACGTTGAGGAACGGCTATGGCTAATATAATCCTAACCCTAGCTTCGACTCCATGATAGAAGTACGGCGACGTTGGCTATCGAAACTAAAATAATCGATCGCAATTATATCTTATCATTAACACGGTCGTTCTTTCACCTCGACAAGAGCTAGGCTCATGATGGGCGAGAAAGAAAAGATTCAGGCCGGGTGTGCTAGCTTTGATACTCATGCTCAGTATTTCTGCTGTCTTGCAGATTTCCTAGGGCTTGAGAGGGCTTACCCTACTCCTTTGGGGACTTGAGTTACTTTAAGCTGGGTAACTTGTGGCCACGGGCGGGTAACGTAACAGCTACACCTCGAAGAAATTGGATCATGAGATAATATTACTCCTATTTGATCACAAAGCTATCAACTAGTGCCCAACCCATCCAATTGATTGATTTATCCATTAAGTCACATATAAAGCTCAGTCATTGCTTGTTGTTAGTTCACAATACCAACTACTGGGGAACTCAACATTGACACTAGTGGACCAATTAGCTATTAGCGCTAGCCAATTGCAAGGGCTATATCATATAGCTAGCCTTTAATTCTCGAACCTCGAATTACAAATCTGCTGGGTGTGTATATAATGTGATCCTTTCGTGTGTTTGACGAAATGGAACGACATTAAAATTGATCATGATATCCGATAGGCAGTCAAGCTAGTTAAACTATGAAGAACTCTTTAATTACCTGTCTTCGATTTTCTCCGATTTATAGACCCCACTGTGAATTCTGGTATGCTTTTATATTATCTAAGGATCGAAGTAGCTAGCTACAGAGGTTGTGCATAGTAGGTGTTTAGACTCTAGAATTGTGTTCTACGTACAAACTTTCTTAAGATCTCTCCCTCCGGATCCTTAAGCTTGTAATTGGTCCATTGGCATTAGATAACCACCCATATATACTGTACAGTAATGTTATCGAGTTGCTGTAAAATGCGAATACCGAGTTTAGTGGACTCCTTGAGAGGTGTATCTACGTAGCTAGGGGCGTATGAAAAAGTATGCTTTGTTGTATTTGGATAGAGAGAAAATAGTCTCAATTGAGGTTTTCGGAAGCTTCGGAGTTCGAGTACGTAGGTGCTGGTTTACAATCGATCTAAGAGCGTAGTTTTTACTATACCTATAATTGACATGCATCTGACAGAGCAATGCCTTCTAGTCCTGTTGTTATCTACATCTGGCCCTTATTCGGCATGGCTCTTGACCACATATGATGACCATTCGACCAATGAGATTGTTATCCAAACTTACTAACATTATCCTTGGCAAACTCTCATACCCTCATTCGAACCCTTAACTGCTTTAGCCCTATAGCTTGACTCAAGAGCGGCCAAAAGTAAATCTTGGCATCGATCTCATTTCATTCGTTTATAAGACACGTTTCCCCCACACCCATTCTTCTCCCATTGTCCACTGCTGACGCGGTGCCTCCCGAAATAATTTTTATTATTTCGGGAAGTAGCTCTATTATGGTTTTGCCCATAGCCCTAAAATTAGGGTTAGGGTTGTTTAATGTAGTTTAGAAAGTTTTCTAAACAGTAAAATAAATTGATAAATAAATTTTTTTTTTTAGCCTTCTTCTCTTTCTCGTCGAGCTAGCTTCAACTCCTTCACATGTGACTTAAACTGTAGGAATAATAAGTATTTTTTTAGCCAATCTTCTACGACTCTTCCCAATTGCCACATGCCAGTACGACCACTATACAGTGCTAGTGTACACTTATAATTAGTATAACCGTAATAGAGCAAAAGTGGAAAATCCCGCCTTACCAATGCCAAAATTTCTATATTACCGTAGGTTTTGCGATCCTTCTTGGGCTCTGGTTGCAATTGGTCAAGGGCGGAATTCAACCGTTAGCCCAACCAACCCACTTACCCCCAAAAAGGGTCAAAGACCATTAACGATATGTCAAATTCGGGGAACCAATCACGAAAACCTCCGCGGGGTGCCTTTATGCATGTTTGTAGTCATGCTGTGTGAGCTCTTCCACTTATTGAAACATCAAACTATATATATCTCACAACCACTCATCAAAATTGACCACTGGTACCCCATGGGTCAATATCTTTTTCTCTGCGGATGTCCGGGCCTCTCATATTCTCACGATAGTCAATATTGATAGATAAGGGCGCGCGGTTGGCGCACGTACGTACGCGTACAGGTCGACGTCAGACCAAAACATACGCACTTAATTTGCCTATATAATCCTATCTGTATGACTCAGTGTAAGACCACACAAGTACACTCTTTTGTTGCACTTGCTCTCACACCGTAGACTATCTGGGCTTGTTCTCATGCCTATCTGAAGTAAGGATGTTCCCTACAAGGCTGGAAAAGTTGCCAAGACACGAGTGATATCCTGTGATTATCACTTCCTATGGCATAATGATATCCACATCTTATAAATGATGACGGTATGAAACAAACAAGGAAGAACAGTTCAAGAGATATTATTCGAGATGTGGGGCTTGACACAGAGAGTCATGGTAATATTGGCTTGTGCAATGACTGACGGAAGTGGTTGCTACGCACCACGTAGCCAATGAGAATTCGTTAATTATCCACTCGGTTTTTAAGACTCCCATTAGACGTTGTTAAGACCCTGATTTCGTAGATGGGAAAATATTTAGGGATGTGTCTTCAACACTTGCCAAACTTAGTACCGACCACCTCACTAAGCTTCATAGCTGTAGCACACTACCGATGTACTAGAGCTATTGGCCTCTCAAGTATTGAAGAGAATGTTTGAAAGAGAAAAGATCTGCGAGAAACAATTCAGGTGACCTATATATATGAACCACTCCGATGCATGCAGCTTTACTGACACTACTGCTGTATGGTCAGCATTAGATCGGCATTGAGATATAGTATTTGCCTTATTTATTATTATATATCTTATAATTAGCCAACCTGGTCAACAAAAGCAGCCATCTCATCATATATCATCTTTGACGGGGAAACATGTTGAACAGGACGACGCCATTGACATCCAATTACTGGCTTGGCGAGTTCGAACGGGGCACGCCGTTTTAACGAGAGGGCCGGTAGAACATCCCACTGGTCAATTATATTAGCCAGGCCCATGTTTGGAAAATGCCACAGAACACTGATCTGGCTATGGTGACCAATGATCCTCCTCAACTCCATAGCCCTTACCTTGGCACCTAGATCCATTTACCCACAGCATCCACCGTGCTAATATTATGCTTTGCACAATTGAGAAAAGAAGCTCTGATGTCAGTCCAAACCAGTGTGCCCGAGTTGGGTAACAGCTTCCGATATATTCTCGGGGTCCCTTTAGCCGAGTGCTTATAACTGTAACGATATAGCCATGCATGTTGAAACCACATGCCTGCATAACAGCACTTGAGGTTCCAGCCTGGCCAGAGGCGTATGTATAGTACATGTAGGTACATGCATTTTAGGTACATACGCACCCCTGCATAACGTCAAAATAGATCTTAAGATCTAGGTACAAATATGTCCCTAAACCTCAATTGGACGAAAGCATCATAGTTGTGGATTTGTTGCCCGGAAGCTCGACATTCAGGGTTCGAAAATGAAGACACATGTATCTCAGCGGGGCAGTCACCCGGAGATTAAATCAATCATTGCATGTGGTTCATTAAGTACGTTTAGCATTACGTATTGAGCTCACAATCATCTTCTCACCAAAATCTTGATCTTATCACACTGACTACGTAAGCTCTATGGATCGTTGCATTGTTTTCAGGTTTCCGACAAGGATAAAAAAAATAAGGTTCTACAGGCTCAGTTACAGTAAGGCTGCCTTCAAAACTATCCTGCCTCGTCAACTCAAACACCACCTCCTATGAGGCATGGGGGTATCGTAGGATGCTCCTCCTTCCGCGAAAACATCCCACATTCCATCTTCAATCAGGACTCCTAGCAAATGGTGGAGGTGTTTCGCACCCACTGCGCTGCCCAGTGCACAGATAACGTCCGCTCTTCAAATCTGTTGATAGTAATCCTGATTTCTGAACACTCCCCCACTTCCCCTGATCTTTGAGACGCTCCCCGCATGAGTGTAGTCAGTGCCTCGTAAATACCTCGTTAAATGTCCGGACGATGATGTTTTGTGGTCTCACTATCGTTGACGATGCAGCCCGATCACGGCCTCCTCCGTAGAACCTCAATGTCCAGATCTCTATTTGGTCTATGGGTGGTATGTTCTTGCCGTTTTGAATGGTATACTGTTAGACTGCTGTCCGAGCTCAAGGAGAGGCTTTACGCCGTAATATGCAAGTCACTCTAATTAGCAGTATCTGCATACGGAACAAAAATTATGCGAAGACAGTGGAATACTTATCATATCAACCCACGAGCTACACAAAGAGGTCGATGGTTAGCCTCGGTATGTGTCAAGAAAACATTTAAAAACTGATAGCAGCTAACATGACGCAGGCTCTAGATATGCAGCGACTCTCGACGATAATCGATTGGATTATAACTGGAGCAGACTGAATACGAGCTGGTAATGTTGGATATATGTTTTGATAGGTATTCATGCCGGACCACCAACCGATGCGTCATTTCCGGGGGAAAGATTTCGAGAGAAACAGAGACAAAGGGCCGATTTGATCTGATTCTAAACAAAGTCGACAAATCGTGCTACTTAGACAAGGTCTTAGAGGGCTACCTAGGGTATGCCTGAAAACGAACTTGATAAAAGGTCAGTGCTTGCTGCACGAAAAGAGGGGGATACACGTGGTATGTAGGACAACTTCACTTCTATTCTACTTTCTAGACCTGCCCTGACCGTTTCTCCTTTCTACTCTTTTTGTGTGCTATGTGCTCGCGTTTTGTCGATCAGGCCGAATTACAAAGACGCAATTCCGATGTTTGTACCACTCCATATGCACCCTTAGCTGTCTTAAAAACGACTTGCAGGAAGGCGGCAAGCAGAGTACGACAGACCGCACACCGAACGAACAGCTGCGAAGACCCTAACCAACAAACCTATTATCTCTCTCTGGAGTTCACGAATCGCAAGCGCAAACAAAAAATAAATAAAAATAAAAAAATAAAAAAAAAGAGCAACCCCCTTTCACTGATCGAGCTGGTCCACGCTCCAAACTCTACATTTGGCATACACCCCACCGGCGAGAAGGTCTAGATTCCCCACACCCCTCCCCCCAGTATCTAAGACAGGGTCTGGCTATTAAACACGGACGGTTCAGGCCCAGGCTCCTGCTCCCCGCTCTCTCTTCCTTCTTTACGTTGGTGATACATGCATATGGCTATCTCAGGTGTTAGCGTCATTTTGACCTGTAAGCGAGACACCCGTTATCCTGTTATCCTGTTATCCTGCAGATGGAACATGACGTGCTACAAATAGATATGTGGAGAGAGGAGGGGTGAAGGAAGGGTATCTAGGGCTGAAGTTCCTTAAGAAAGGTACCACTGCTGCGAGCGAAAGATGTCCGAGTGACAGGCTGTGACGCTATAATAATAACAACCACGCTACGATAAGTTCCCCTATTAACTATATGTAATAACTGGTGGAACAATAGCAAGTACCGAGGATCGATGACCTGGATTCGATCGCGCGCAGTATATTCAGGACGGTTCGGTAGTGAGTATGTCCAGAAGGAGAGATGAGATTGGTACTGCAGCGTTGCAGAATTATGTAAGTAGACCGATTAAATTCGGCATACCAGCCAAGATAACGACCCACCCACTCACCCCACCACCACAACCACCCGCAGCAATGCAGCTGTACATACGTACTAGGGGTGTGCCAACTCGCGACCGCGAGTTGTACGTTGAATTATGGGTATTAAATAAAATTTAATTCTCCCTCTACAATCATGAGGGGCCTTCGGTCCCATCCTCCTCCTCTCGTGAGTGCTCAGTACTTTGATGTGTCGTGCTGACTAATCAACATCCCTGCACTCAGCAGCCAATCAGACCGTTCCAATATTCGAAAAATTAGCGATAGTACATTATAGACCTGGGCGGCATTTTGTCAATTACGGTACGGTAACAGTCCAACAACACTTTCTGGTGCTTCATGTAGGTACGTCGTACGTCTTCTCACACCCATCGCGCCCCACTTATTTACACAACTTCTCGAGCACGGCATGCAGATTTCACTGTTGCAAGTACTAATGAAGATAGGACAAGCATATTCTTGTTATATGATAACTTACAGCCACCCAGCACCAACTACCACCAACCAATCCCTCAAAAGGATCGGCGGAAAGACTAAAACTGATAAAATATGAAGATAGCCACTCCAGTAGTAGAGATGATATATAGAGAGAGATAAAATAGACATAAGAGAGTGAGAGTTAATCCTAGACAGAGCCTTCCTGAGGCTGCCAAATGGTAGACTGACTATATATGAAACACGGAGCAGAGCAAGGCCAACCTTTTGGCCCTAGATAACTAGAATGCTAGTATAGAGTGATAACACAAAGAGAGAAAAGCTCGAGAAATACCGAGTTAGAAATAGGAAAGTTTGCTGGAGAAAAACCAAAGACGTGTACCCCCCCCCCCAACCCCTTTCCCTAAACAGAAAGAAAGAAAAACCAAATACCAGTAATAATAATAAGTAAAATAAGAAGACCCAAAAAAAGATGTAATAACTCCCCAAGTTAAATAAACAAAAAAAGCCAATAAACAAACCCCCACCAAGAAAAGAAACAAAAAAGTCCAAAAGTGAAGGAAAAAAGAAGTCTAAAACACATTTTCGCCGGCGCGCGCCGTCGCTGGCTTCGACAAGTACCTCTCAAATGGGAACGCATCCTCCCTCGCAAACAATCCCGCGGCATTTCCACCAGCCAACATCGCCTCCTCCGCCGCCGCCGACTGCATACTATACGTGAACAAGTCCACCATCGTCGTATCCTTCCCATAGAAATCTCTCGGAACTGACGACAGATCCTGAGCACTACAACTAGGCGACGACGCTGGGTATCCAATGCGCGGCGTGATATCCTCTGGTCTATCCTCATCTTCAGACCCATCCTCTGCCAGCTCCTCCTCGTCCTCCTCGTCGACAGTGTTATTGTTACAAGGGGTATGCGGCGGCGACATCTGACTCTCTGAGCGGTCGAACTTGATCGCCACGGCCTCCATGGCCGCCTGCTGTCCCGATCCTTCCTGCTTCTCAGAGTCGGCCGGGGAAACCGGTGTTGGCGGTGCGGCACCAGACTGGGAGAAGAGCTGTGATAGCGGAACATAGCTCGATCCTGAGAACGAGCCCGATGTACGAGGCCGGATTGTAGCGCCGTCCATGGTGTAGTTCTCGTCGTGGAAGTTGTATCCTGCAAGTCTCTTGAATGCGAATGGTGACGATGGTGGAGATCCCTTCGTCACTCCGCCGCCGCGCTTGTTCAGGCTTGCGCCGGTGGACTTGATCCTCCGCATGGGTGTGGCGGGCTGTGACAAATGAGCTGTTTTCGGCTCCTTTGCGGATTGGGGCAATGTCACGGAGCCACGGCGGTGGAGACTGGCAGAGCCGAGTGGTGTTGGCCTAGGGCCTCGGCGCCGGGCGGCGAGAGAGGCTTGAGACTCGGATTGGATGGGCTCTGGTGCGAAGGGCTCTTGCTTGATCTCGACAGATCCAAAGGCCTCAATGAATTCCCCAGGGCAGGAGTCACGGCGCATGGGGTTCTGGTAGCAGGGCTCTGGCTCCTCCCAAGGGTTGGTTTGCTTCTCTCTAACAAACCTTCCTGGTGGGGCGGATGGCAGGGCAAAGGTATTTGACATGGTGTTCATCTGAATTGCTGCTGCGAAGGCGGCATAGTCCTCAGCAGGGTAGTCATATTGACCGAATGCAGATGTATGGGGTAGGCTGTGCTGGGAGGTCCCTGATGCCTGGGTTAATCCATCATATTCAAAGGGATCCTCAAGTTGGCCCGCAGGCGTGGGTGTGTATAATGGCGTCGCATTACTGGAGCCATAATCTGAGAAGTGGGATGTAGGCCATGGGCTCTGAGTGCCATCCAAGCCCTGGGAGAAGGAGTTTTCTAGAGATTCGTTGAGGTATAGATGGGCAGATGTCCCATACAAATCACGCAAACCTCCCATGGAATTTGCGCGCGCAGTAGCAGCTGCAGCCTGGGCAAGAGAGCGCTCCAGAGATGCATAGCTTGCCTCAGCGGGCGACTCGTACGGTGAGGAATTCATTGAGCCCTGGAAACGTGAAGCTGGTGTTTTTGGTAGTTCAGTGGTTGACTTTGTTCGTCTTGGTTTTGAGTTTGCAGTTGCAGTGATATTGGTTGTTGTAGCACTGTTTGAACTACCTGCCTGGTAATACGTCGCTGAGCGCGAAGGGTTGAAAGACACCGGGGATGACGGCTCCGTTACTCGCCGTCGGCCAGCCGATTCGAGAATTTGCCTGGTATGCAGTTCCTCCTGTCTCTTTTGTAGTTTTGCCTTTGCACGCCGATTCTGGAACCAATTCTGCAAAGCAACAAAGAGGATTAGTCCCAGTATCTATAGGGTATGGATATAGAGGTACGAGGATCGGGGATTTGGGTGAGAGGGAGAAGGAATTAATAGAGAAAAGGAAAAAACGGTCATGCAGGTAACAAAAGAAAAAAAAAGAAAAAGAAGGAAGAAAAAAGTGATGCAATGACCGAATTGGCCATTTTGCCGGATACCAATCCGTAATAAGAAAAAAGAAACGGGCTATGGACGGCTGGGACGGCTGGGATTGGGCTATAATATCAACTGCATGTGCAACTCACCCCAACACGCTGTGTGGAAAGCCCGGTACTCTCAGCCAACAGCCTTCGAACCTTCGTATTAGGCTTCGGTGTTTCTGAGAACTGCCTCTCCAATGCTAGGACCTGATCGCGCGTCAAACGAGCTCTAGGGAAGTCCTCTGGCTCTGCGGTTGCTGTAACCTCGTTTCCAGTCGAGCTTGTGCTGCAAGCGGAACCTCTACGCGATAGAGATAAGGGTAGTTGAGATTGTGGTGGTTGTGGTGGTGGCGAGGACGGGAGTAGACAGGATGTTGAATTCGTATATGTGGGGAACAAGGATGCCTGCGCTGATGTTGTGGTAGATGAACCAGAGGATAAGGACGAGGCAAACCGGCTTGCGTTTTCCTGCTGGTGCAGGGGGTATAAGTTATTTGAGTAGTAATTCTGCGGATGCAGGTTCTGGTTCTGTAGGTGGTGGTGTTGCTGATTGAGGTTGTATTCGGGTTGGTAGAAGTCCGGAAACAAATTGGATTGAAGGGAATCCATGTTGGCTGCAGTTGGGTAGTTTGGGGGGGATGGAAGGATGGGATGGTGGGGGGGACCTGGCAGGTGACAAAGTTAAATTGCTGGGAATATCTGATTAGGATCTGCTGGGCATGTTAGCATTGCCCAATGAAAGTTTGTGCCGCTGAGCCCGTACCCGGCTTGCAATTGACCTATGACGCAACGTCCTCGGCTGTGCGCGGTAGTAGCCAGGTACGCTATATACGAAACGAAGATTATAGATGCGGTATGCGGTGAGTGAGAGCGAGCAGCAGACAAAGAACTCTCGAAGCGAGGATAAGCTATATGGGATAATGATTATAATATATGAGAAGAGTGGGATGAGTGAGAGATGGACGGATGGTCGGATGGAAAATGATATATAGTTTTATAAAGTGCTGTAAGAGCAGGTTCACTTGGGATGATATAAGACTTGAAAATGCAAGGGCACACAGTCTTGGGTTTAGGTGGTGGTGGTGGAATATCCAGAAGAGAATGGCCGGATAACTTGCTGCAGCACTGGTACGTACTTGCTGGTGGTGGTGGTGGTGGTTGATCCAATTGAAGGAGGGGGGTTGATGTCCTTCGCTGCTCTAACTGGTGGGGCTGGGCAGTAGTTCAGTTTTTGGTGAGGATTTAAACAAAGTGCTGTAGGTACCACGTACTACAAAGAATGGACGCACTGCGAATACCTTCCTGCACTGGAGAGAGGAACTACTTTAGAGGGGCGGGGCTGCACGATTCTTGTAGTCCAAGATAAACACGAAGAAAAATAAAATAATAAAACGGGGGGAAAGAAAATCAGTAATTAATTGACCTAGTTGATCGATCATGTTCAACACCATCCACATTATCCCCCTTCACATCCCTTGCCACCACCACCTCCACCACCCTTCTCTCAAACTTTTTTTGTGAGCGACTGAGAGTGAAGTGTGAGTGACCAAGTGAGAGAAAAGAGGATAGGGACGAGGATTGGGGCGTGTGCATCATAGTCTCACCATCCTCCCCACCACCACCACCTGCTCGCCGAATTAGACAGACTGGAAGGAGGTCTGTTCTTCCATCAAATCCACCATCCCCTCCCCTCGCACATCGTCACCTCCTCTCGGTCCCTCTGACAGAACGAGATGGGTAAGGCCAAGCAAAAAAAGCAAAGAGGTCTTTAAACAATATCATCGGCCCCAAAAAGCGCAGGAACCGCCGCGAACGTTAGACACAGACCAGTTTTAAAATACCTATTTAGGGCCCGGCAAACATGCAACATACAGAACAGGTCTGATAGACAATGATCTGAAGGATGAAAAGGATGAAGAAGAACTACATGTAGCTAGGGGTGGATAGAGAAGGTACAAAAAAAAGTGACGATCGCGAACGGAAGCTGACCTGGGAAAACAATCACCATGCCTCACCCTCCCCCCAGCGCACACCGATTATTGGCTGAACCGTGCTCCTGGGAATATATCTGGTGAATATCACACCCCCTCCCCCCTCCCTCCCTCCAAAAAGGGCACAGCATCGACTCCTTCTGGATCTCTCTCTCATCCAAGGGTCACACCCTTAGTTACTTGTCATCTCGTCTTTTCTATCTCCATTTCAACTCGCTCGCTCGGCGGTCAGGCTTGGACCGTCAATGACTCTCCGAGAACCTCCTTTTGGGAATGACCCACCCGACCCAACGCGGTGGAAAGAGCATCATGGAGTGATATTCCCGGCTGTACCCTACTCTGTGCGTGTGTTCCTGGTTTGGACGATATTTCATTTTTTTATTTTATTTTAGCTGAGCAAGTAGCTGCGCATGATGATGCTTGGCGATTGCGACAGATATTGTGTTTGCCTGACTGCCTCGGTCGAGCATAGTAATAAAATAAACGAACGAAGCGATTCGCGTTCGGGAAGGCTAAAAATGTGATATCGTGCTAAAATAAGTGTACCTGCTTCTTCGCCTAACCGTATCAATCCAACCCAAGCAATCTCACGAATTACACAGAACCATGCACGTGGCTCCAAATAGAGTAGCAGGGCTCCACAATCTACAGTCACTCAGATACAAAGTAGCACAGTAAAGAGTAGATATGGCACTGTAAATGATCTTTTGCTACATACTCTAATCTATGTACTCTATGTAACGTTTCCAACAGCCGCAACAGGCGGTGTCTATCTAATATTTGTCTCCCTTCGGGGACTACAACCATCCCTCCCCTCCCCAACTCCACACTGTTTCTCCCCTCCCCTCTCTCCCTCCCCTTCCATTCCCTCCCCTACAAAAAAGACCTGCATAAAAACACCCAAGAAACATCGTGGGGGGAAGGGAGAGAGGAGATGGGATGAGAAGCTGTGTCAGTTTTCCACCTCCTAACGTAAAAAACAAATGTAAGCGCAGGTCAGTGCGGGGGGGCTGACAGACGAGAATGAACTGAACTGAAGCAAGACCTCTCTTTTCTTCTCCATCCCCCAAGTCTTGCGGAGGCGGGTACTTGCGAATGCAAGAGCGCCGTCTCATCTGGCGTGCCTGCTGTCCGTCCGCCGTCTGTCCATCAGATCCATCACATCCATCCCCCTATTACATACGTCAAGCCAGCGCCACACACAAGGAAAGAAACCGGACGCAGGTACAGTCTACAAGCACATATCCATGAGTAGAGAGTAGCAGCTTACATAAACCAGCGAGCGGAGCGGTCAATCAAAAGAAGCAATTGTCCCCCACAATTATCGGGGGGCCTCATCTCGGATTTCTCCAAATGGCTGGCTGGCCCTTACCTTGCCTTGCTTCACTCTGCTTTGCCTGATCTGGCTTTCTTTGCTGCCTACTTTACGTTTTTTTATTTTGTTTTTTCCCCATCCCATCTCCAGCAGCGCGCGCATCGTGGGCGGGTTGTCTGTCCTACCTACTCACGGGCGAGGAGGGGGGGATGGATGGATGAATGGGGATGGGATAGCCAGGCACAAGGTCCCGATCGATTGTTGACCTCATCCGCGGAATTCGAAATCGGGCCGGGAAGGCTAAGAAGCGAGCGAAGGAAGGAACCCAAGCAAGCGAGCGAGCGAGCAAGCGTGGGAAGAAAAAAAAAAATTGCCCACGCGACTCCACCACCACCACCACCACCCAAAAAAAGAAAAAAAGTACTTTTTACTTTATGTTAGGGTCCCACCAAAAAACCAAGCAAGACCTAGCAAGCAAGCAAGCAATTGCGCAGACGAACGACTAAAGAGATCGCCCAGCCCGCAGCTCTAGCTGGCTAACCTCACGGACACAGCCAAGGGCAGGCATAGGACGCTCTTATGCAATGCAACACAAACCCTTTCCTAGCGTGTATGATATCTCGCCAAAGCAATCAAATGCGCCCTACTCGACCTCTACCCCTGGCTGGCTAACGGACCACTGGGTGCTTAACTAACTTGTGTAGCTAGCTGGGATATCATTCCTGACGTGCGTGACAAATACCGAACCAAGAGGGAAAGAAACACTCCTCATCCTCTCCTTCTGGTGGTTCGATGTCTGAAGTCTGGTGGATGGGTGGCTTATCGACCTGCATTCATTCCCACTCCAGCTAGTTAGTTAGGGGGAGCAGACAGGATGTCTGGGTATTCCAGGGACCAAAAGCAAGCACGCAAGCAAGCCCATGCGTTTCCTTCCTTCCTACTCCTGCTCGTCCGATCGGGACCTGCATATGAAGCCCTCGCACATCGAGTATGTATCTACAATCTACAAAAGCACTCCAAAATAAAAACAACTACTATTCGCTGGAACTCCCTTCCGATGTCCCCGGGCCTCTGTCATAGATATGATATCTCGAAACTATACCGGGCCAGGGCCGCCGGCTGGCTGACTCTCGGCGACATTTACGGAGGCACGGCATACCCGCGATATTCTCCGCGCGGCCTGTCCTAGACGTAGACTGACGGGGGGGGGGGGGGGGGAAGGAGTCCCATTCCAATTGGGTCGGCTTTAGTTTCCAGAGCTAGAGCATCAGATCAAGATCAAGATTTCAGACGGAACCCTAGCTTGACGGAGGCCCTATCTAGATCACCATCGAGAGGAAACTATTATCTAAAGCTACCCCTTCACTGTGCCTAATGTGTCTCTCATATCCCCCATCCAGCACTTACTCCCCAGAGGAGATCCACGGATTCCTGCTTTAGGGCCCGCCGCGGCCTTGCTTGCGTCCTTCATTTCTAGGCCCGAGTTCATACATAGAGCTAGAGATAGGTAGTTATGTAGGTAGGCTAGTAGAGATTCCATTACAATCACGCAACCCCGGAAAAAGCCATGAGGCCCGTTAATTATGCACATGCCGACGACAGACGACGACGTTTGGGGGACGATGGCGGATCGTGTTTGTCTGCTTCCGGAACACCCGTTTGTTGCAATGTCCACCCTTCATTCCGGGAGGGGGGGGTAATTTTATTTTTTTGTACTTGATATGGAACAGGTAGAGATTAGATTGTAGTTGTTGAATTGAGTTTGAGTTGTGAGTTGCAGAGATCATGGGGAGAGTTGGAGGAATCGTGAGTATCTAATTTGGGGTTGGGTTGGGGTTTTTAGGTTTTGGGATTGGGTTTGGGTGGTTAGGCCCGAAAGAAGGCATAATGCTAATAATACTAAGTGAAACTACTGAAACTTCTGAAACGGGGGAGCTTAATTAATATCACGCCCAAATCTATAGCCAATCTAACTGATCTATAGCCAATCTAACTAACAACCTGTAACCTCACTCACTTCACCTCACTTCACCTCACTTCACTTCGCACTCACCCACTCTACATCATCATCTCCCACTCGCTCCCAAACCAAACATCCACAAACGAGCCAATCAAACATACCCCTCCCCTGATCTCAATCTCACCCTCCAAACCTAAAACCAAACCCATCTAATTCGCCAACTCCTTCGGATCCCCCACAAGCACCAGCACCCCCCCATCCCCGTCCTTATTCATAAACTCCACGCTCTCCAAATCACCCACAACAAAATCCGGCCCCGCGGCCTCAACCTCGGCGCGGGTAT